TCTGTTGTAGCTCAGACATGGCTTTGACGGTGAGCTTCTACAGCGCTGTATGTGGTTATGTGGTGGTGGTAGTGAGCAGTTACCTTGCCATTACGACTAGCAACCGAAATTGCGAGATGTGTCCGCAAATGCAGATTTCCATAAAAGGGCATTGTTTGGGTGTTAGTGGCAACAAGGTTTAACATCGCTGGCTCGACTCAACGCCGGGGGAAAATAGTGATCTCATCAGGATTTGAGCAAAAAAGAAACAGACAAATTCAGCACAGTAAGAAAGATTTAGATGGTAAAGTGGACGACTAAGACGGAAATATGGCCGTGGCGAGTGTACCTGCAGAAATGCGACGGTAATGTGCTGATAGCCCGACGCGGAGGAAAGATAGTCAAAAACCGTTTTGACGATTTGGTGCGAGTTTGGCCAAGGAAGGATTCGGGTTTGCTGTGTCAGCGTGGCTTGGTTCCTGTTGTCCCATTCCCCGCGTCTCTCTTCCCGCCACTCTCTCACATCCCAACCACCTCCATCCCACTGCAAATACCAGGACCACAAAATTTAAAAAAACAACGCAATATGTCTCGTCGTCGTTCAGCTTCCTCCTTGATGGGTCCTCCCGCAGACAGAGACGTCGTCATGGGCCCACCACCTCCTCCTCCTTTGCCTTCGTCACAACAGCAACAACCATCAAAAGACCAAGATATCACTGAAAAATATAGAAAACTCAAGCGAAGGTACTTTGAGCTCGAGGAGGTGTGTCTACCATTGCCATCATGATCTATTTCCGGGCATGATACTCATATTTTTCTATATTGCGTTATTGCCATGTTGATAGCGACATAAAGAGGCAACCACCGAGTTGCATCGCTCGGGAGAGCGAAACGTGAGATTGAGAGACGACAGAGAGTATGCACTCAGATCCAATAGCGTAAAAGTGCACACTTGCTCAAAATTGAACTATTTCTAGCGTCCTTCTCGATCGCATCATCGAACTTGAATCAGTTCTACGAGATGCTCCTTCAAAATCGCAAAATGGTCCTCATCCCACTATACCTCATCCCGCTTCAGGCGCATTTCCTCGCTCACTTCTCACCGCTCGTGCTCAACATATCTTCCGCAACAATCTTCGTCAAGCGCAGGCCGAACTAGATGCCATACCGCCTGCATCACCACGCCAAGAAGAGGAGGACCCATTGTTGACATCTAAGCACCTGGGACCTCGAGCCAGAAAGGCTGCCGAGGATGAGCAGCGGGAGAGAGAGAAGGAGCGAGTCGAGGAAGAACAGAAGGAGGCCACGAGGAAAAGTGGGAGGAAGGGTAAGGGAGCAGCTGGCGCAGGTGGTAAGGGAAAGGACTCGGGAGCACTGCTGACGTACGCACCGCAAACAAGCCAAGGACCCAGTGGCGCACCGGTGTTGGTTACCAACAAGGGGACGAGACTGAGAATCAAACCACCTGCTCCTCCTGCTACTGCACCAATCGAAGAGCCCTCTGGGCGTCAGCAGCGGACCCGTGGGCACGATAGGCAAGGAGAGATGGTTGAACATGAGCGCGAGTCGTCCCTCTCCCCTGTCCAGTCACCTATTGGGGTTAGTGGACTGGAAGGCGGATACCAAGGTAATGGAAGCACGGTGTCTGCCTTGCGAGCACACACACCTCCCCCCGGTTCGGCATCCACGTCGCGGCCATCGGATTCTATTCCGACGCCGACCTCGACTTCAGCATCGCGCTCGTTCGATCCTATCTCTACACCGTCTTCGTCACGTCCTCTCGACATGTCCTCTCGCTCAGAGACTATGTCTAGCTCCCGTCCGTCTGACCTACAGCGACATGCGAAACCTAAGCGGTTAAAAGCTCACACAGTGACGTCCAAGTCATTTTCGATACCAACAGTACCGCGAGATAAAAGCGGGCGGCCTTTACTGCCGCTCAACGTAGGGATTATGACTGTGTTGAACCTAGGAGACGTGTGTATGCGTGAGCACTTTCATACCGAGAGGTACATCTTTCCTGTGGGGTATGAAGTGACGAGGAGGTATTTGTCGACGGTGGATCCGACCCAGGAAGTGGTTTACCAGTGTAGCATCCTTGATGGCGGGGATGGACCCAAATTCCAATTGGTACCCTCTGATGCGCCGGAGAGGCCAGTAATCGCAGGTACAGCTACGGGAGCATGGTCGAGTATCGTGAAGCAGGCGAACGCGATCAGGAACAGGCAGCATAGTAATAGCGTGTCTGGCCCAGACTTTTTCGGATTAGGACAAAATACGATCAAGCATCTAATTCAGGAGCTCCCTGGTGCAGATCGTTTGAGAGACTATGTATGGCAGAATTTTGTGGAGGGAGGGTGAGTGCTTGTTCTTACATTGGATTAGAGTTTTCTTCGTGTTTGATCTGCTTTCTATTTTATTCTATCTGCCTGTCATGGTGCAGTGTGTTCGTTGCGACTTGATCATTTTGGGGTTTAGACGTTAGAATATAGTCTGCTTTCTTGTTTCATTTACCTTCGTGTCGCCGTATATGCTGCTCGCTTAAGTTGAAGCGGATACACACCACCGTCTGCATTTATCATGAGAGACGTTCAATTCAGTTTCCTTTTCCTCCATATTTCTTCTTCTTATCCCTCCCTCATTATCATCATCAATCTCAATTTCCATCATGCGATGTGACACAGACCTCTAGGTGGTAGGCACGCAGCCGTCATACCTGCACTACCTGAAGATTACGACGCTGCTACCAATGGTGGGTCGACGCCTGGACCACCGGCCTCTGCAGCACATGGATATATTGACTCGCATAACTACTCCGACGCACATCCGCCATACCCCGACGGACAATTTTCGCAGCAATCGCATTACGCCGATGCGCAGGTACACCCAAATTATGCAGATGCGCATGTAGAGGATAGGCTCACTCCACCATATCACCTTCTACCGCCGCAAGCACATCCTCACGGACAAGCACAGACTATAGTGCTTCCCCCTCCTACAGCTGAAACTTTGAATATACACGAATATCACCACCCTCCTGCATCCACGAAGGAGAGGGCGCATGGTCATGGGTATGGCAAAGGAAAGGAGGACGCTCATATTCATGGACATGGGCACGATACACGATCGAGGCGCGCATACACGCCTCAACCTCAGCACCACCATCAAGCACAGCATTCTCACCCACAGCCGCAGCACCCTTATCAAACTCCTTCGCAACAGTCGCAACAGCACTCCCCATATCTATCGAACACTGAACCTGTACCCGTACCTGCTACATTTGCTAGTATTATGAATGCGTATCCTGCGCCTGGGCCTCCCTCCGGCCCTGGTTCTTCACCTGTCATTCACACTTCTGCTCCTTCGCGAGGAAGGCAGACCGGGAGTGAAGACTCGAGAGAAGAGGTTGAGAGCGTGGTAGAGTAAATGGTGCGCTTTTCATCGTCGGCTTTTCCTCCCTCACCATCCTGAAAAGCACTATTGTTTTGTTATACTTCTAGGGCTAGAACGTTTTCTTGAAGCTTCAGGCTTGAAAATACTTGTACACTGAATCACTCCGTCTCTGCTATATCTTGTTGTCGTCGGAATTGTTTTGCTTTTACGCCTCTGGCTTATATTTTCTGTTCTTTTGGTTATTATGACGGTTCCATCTCATTTCTCGTCTATCATATGTTGGCCTTGGCTCCATCTTTTTATGCGGTTGTTCCTTCCGGCCCTTTTGATTTGTCCTTGGTTCCTAGCTTTTGGTCTCGATATTTCCACTCCCAGTGCTTAATACTTTGTGTTGCATCACCTTGTGACGTTAAGGACATCCTAAGCTGAGTCATTGATTCCCACACTTCATGTTCACTATACTATGCCTTGCAGCACACCTCGTCTCTACTATTAACCCTCGTCTGCCCCCTTCAGAGTTGCGCCCACGCTAGTCTGGAATGTTTTCATGATGTGACGTTGGGTAAATTCCAACTCAAAGAGGGCAAGGCAGCAAGACATCCAACTTCCTTGGGAACGACGCAGAAATGCTACTTTTTGCTGACCCAGGTTCTTGGCTCTGCTTGATAGTGACATGCGGGGCGAGATGAAGAGTGTAGAGTGGAAAAAACCGATGTCCCAATATTCCTTACGCTTGCGCGGAGAAATCATTGGAGTCGAAGGCCGGTTTTTTTTACCAAGCTTCTGTGGGGACTCCTACCTTGCAAGGCACGTGCTGGTATCGGAGTAGTATATGAGGCTGACATTTTCTGGATGTTGATTCTGGGTGCTATTGGGTCTATATGCGCAAGATGTATTCTACGAAGTCTCCAATATACTTCCCTGATATACTAGGAATGTCGTAGTCTCGAACCCAGAAGCTAGGGCTCTGTTCCCACCCGTCTGGATTCGAGACTAGGAATGTCGAAATATTTCCTTGATCATATTGGTCAATTGAAGCCTGTAAATTACGGTGACGTGGCTGTTAACGACGGTTGACATATTGGATTCGATCAAGAGAATCCTATGACGATCGAGGCTTTCGTCTGTTGTGGATCTGTGAATTTTGTCCGCGTGTTCCCACTACGCTTCCTGCGAACTTGCGGCATCGTCAAGCCTTGTTCCAAGTGATGACCCAGTGATGACACCCACGCCTTTAAGCACCCGCGACCTCATATGACCCGCATGCTCCCTTATATCACCAGTCGTCCTTCTCGTCCCCGTTGCGTGTAGCAAGGTCCACATGTTTCGAAGCTTGGCGCGCTATGCAATCATGAGGATGATCAGAGAGTATACGGAGGAGGTGATAGACTGGTGATTAGTTCCTGATGAAGCATTGTTACGGTTGGTTTTGCTACCAGCAATCCCATTTGATGTGGGGTACTCGGGTTTATAAAGCTAGTTAGTATGATGAAGAAGCGAAGCTCTCTCTTTCCCCAGATCACAGTATGATCGCTCTCACCGCAGCTATCCTGACGTCTCTCGCTTTGGCGAGGGCGTCGAGCGCTCAAAATGTTTTTGCTCATTTCATGGTAAGCTGGTGGTCATTTCCACCATTGACCAACTACCAATGCAAATTTATAACTCTAGGCACAAAACTCTTATTCCTACACTCCAAGTGATTGGACCAACGACATGAAAACTGCGCAGTCGATCGGTATCGACGGTTTCGGTACGCAGTTTCTCCAAAATTTCCAAGTATTCTCGTTGGCTTCCATTTATTCATTTCAGCTATGCAGCTCTCAACATTGCCGCCAATGATTATGAAGTTGGCCAAATCGTTACTGCTTTCGCAGCGGCGGAGGCTCTGAACTTCAAACTCTTCTACTCTTTCGATATGTCGTACTCTTGGCAGCAATCTGACATGGTCGACATCGTTGCAAACCAGTCATCTAGCTCCAGTAACTTCCTCTGGAATGGTAACTTGCTCGTGTCCAGCTATGAAGGCGAAAGCTACGGCGATTCCTTCTGGTCTGGCTTCAAGTCTGCCCTTGCTTCGAAGGGAATCAACATCACGCTTGCTCCCGCTTTCACGAGCTACCGTGATCCAACGCAGGCGAGTACCATGGCGTCTACTTTCCCTTCGATTGACGGCTTCTTCAACTGGTGGTCCTGGTCAGTACAACATTGCATCAATTTTTCCCTTAAAATTCTCACACGGTGGAACTTAGGCCTGCTGATGTTGATGCGAACTTGACGACTGCTACTGACTTGGCTTACCAATCGGCCATCTCTTCCAGGAGTGGACCTTACATTATGGGTATGTTGCAAGTGTTATTATAGTCTCGAACCCAGACGTTTTGGGAAGCAGTCAAACTCAGACGCATTCCCAAAACTAGTGTTATTAAGTCTAGTTTGGATTTGAACTCTGTTTTCAGCCGTGTCCCCCTGGCAGTTCAAGAACATCGACGGCGCAGGTGATTGGGTAGAGTACAGTGACACACTCTGGGATTATAGATGGCAGCAAGCTGTCAACGATGTCAAGCCCGACATCGTGGAAATCGGTATGTATCATACGTATCAAAAACTATGGATATGTAACTGACTTCGTTTATCCAGTCACCTGGAACGACTACGGCGAGTCGCACTACATCGGTGATATCAACCCCGTTGTCAGTAAATTCACATCTATAGCATTTGCTTTCAAGGTTGAATACTATACTGACTTCATTTCCATGAAAAGGTCGACCTCGGTACTCAAGCTCCATTCTACGTTGATGGTTTCGATCACTCCAAGTGGCGTGATGTAGCCAATTACTATATCCAGTACTTCAAAAATGGTTCTGCCCCGACGATCACCGTACGTACCACCACACGTACGCAACATTAGCGAACCTGACTCCGTATCTCGGAACTTCGCAGACCGATGAAGTCGTCTTCTGGTACCGAGCATACCCCAAGGGCATCAATTGTAGCAGCGGTTCATTGCCTCGCAACGCTGACTTCCCCGAAGATGCTGTTTTTGCGCTTGCAATGCTCACGCAGGCCGCCACCGTCACACTCTCCATCGGTAGCAACACCGTGAACTACAGTGCCCCCGCCGGCATTAGCATGGGCTCCGTACCATTCCCGACTGAGGATCAGCAAATTCCATACATCGAGATCAGCAGGAACGGTAACAAGGTCGTGGATGGATATGGTTCGATGTATGTCAACCAGACTGGCTGTACCTACTACAACTTCAATCCCTGGGTCGGAAGCATTAGCGCCTAGATAGATGGCACTGTGTTACTCCTCCCACTACTGTTTTAGGAACTATCCACGTCCACATTATTTCGCCTAAACCCCAATATAAAGAATGTATTTGAGTATGCTACCAAAAGCGATTTTTCGTGCTCGGCAAATAAATGCCATTTCCACTGCAGCGCACGTCTACAAGGTCAGTTCTAGGTATTATCATGTTCTACGGAAATGATGTAAGACAAGTTTTAAACATCGCTTTTAGAAATAGGAATCATCCACCTAACTCTTGGATATCATCCGGCTCAAAGCCTGTCTGTATGCCAAGTCTCTATGCTGGATGATGAGTCCCCATCACTGTATTACAATAGTGACAGTGACAATGATCATTTGATATATAAGTAGCAGACATGGCTGTGGGATAGTATATTCCCTTAAGCACAAAGCGACAGCAATGAGCGTACAAGTATGAGACTGGAAATACTAGACATGCTGACGAAGTAGGTTGCACAGGGGAAATATGAGCGGGGAAAGGGATGGAGAAAAGCGTAATTTAACGTGCACGGGTCTTCCTCGGATTAGGTCTTCGATTTTCGGAACGGTTTGATCTTCCGACCTTCGTTCCTATTTGATTCTTCTAAAGGTCTCTTACAAGAGCTCCGGCGTGCCAACATCGCAGAATAGTCAGCGTACTCCAAATCCACAGGCCTATAGAGCGATTTCTTAGCGGGAGATATGGCGATAATGAAGATGATACTTACTGTCTATCATATGGATGATAGGTGCTTTGGCGTCTAGGCGCCCAGGCGCGCGGTTGGAGGGAGATATCGGCAGGGATTACCGTCAAAGGCCTTGCATTTTCCTCCCTAAACAAAGGCCAAAAAGTATGGTGATTACTCAATTCAACCAATCAGTGAAGTCGAGGGAGGAACACTCGCAATATGCGTGTCATCAAATCACTCTTCCCCAACACATCCTTATGTGCAGTCTCGCCTGCGAGACAAAGGTCTTGGGGTGCTCCAGGGAAGAATAGGGAATGATCAGGACGATTTCCTGCAGCATCTCTCGTGAAACTGCCCAGCGTGGCGGGTTGAATCTGGGTGCGCGCTACTGCGATGAATCGCGTCAAATCTTGGGGATCACCCTGCGCTCTGTTAAAGTAAATACAATGATTGTTAATAATAATAAAAAAGAAGAATAAACACGGGGAAAGCTCACAGGAAAGCAGGTGGAGATCCGAACATCTCTATCCATTCAGCATCCGTAAGCTCAAGAGACACAGTAGGAGTGGCAGAGCCCATCGATGACGGCATGATAAAGAATGAAAGGGAATTAGGAAATGAATAAAAGAGTGGCAATGTGACAAAGCGGTAAGATAAAAGAAAGAAGATTTATAGAAAAATATATGCGGGTTGAAAGTATGGGCACGAAGGAAGAACAACTGAAGGTACTTATACCCACGAAAAGACAAACAAGTGTAGTGGTGGCTTTGGTGAGATATGACCACCATGTCGGCAAATCTCATTGTGGTGGCCGAAACCTTTTCGATCGGCCTAAACGTAACTGTCATTGTTTTCTAAACCTCTCTGACACAGATAAAAGCAACACCAAGTATCGAAAGCCCTACTCTTTGATCACGATAGGTCCGGAAGGGAATGGTTTATGGAAAAGTGACTGATGCACATATTTCGAATAAACCTAGCATCTCCAGCTAACTTAAGTACCTATGCATAGGGTATAGTTACTCACTTCTTAATAAATCGGACTGCGTCTCCTTACACGCCTCTCGACAGCATAAATACGACCTTAATCGAGACATTTCTACGATAGATAAAAGATACGACGATAGCATGAGTATGGTTAAAATATTGAGCTTTTCACGGATATACACCCACCGAAGATACTCATTAGTTGGACACCTGGCTGATAGTAGACTGGCATATAATCGCCAGCATAGAACAGCACGTACACGACTACGCGTATTGCGATATTTTACTCCTGTAATCCCCAAGTAACTGGGGATAATTTGCAACTTTAAATGCTAAAAAGCGTGGGCTTTCTTCTTCCAGACAACTTCCGGCGCACCATCATGACCTTGGTCTGTACGGCGTAGGAGGAGAAAGAAAAAAGCCTTTACACCACTTTGAATTTGAAAGCCAGCGGCTCGGTGTATTCCGATCTCACCTGTCAACAATTACTGATTAGGCGAAGTAACAGTAAGTTGTCAAACAGATAGAATCATTATCGATTGCAAGTAGTAGACAACCAACAAATCGAGTCGAACGTACACGTTCACGGGATGCGTAAGCATATTAAAAACGACAGTCAGAATATGACAGGTTCGAGAAAGTATGTTACAAGCAAAGATGGGCATAAAATGCTGCTTTCACCATGCTAACGGAACGTGAAGAAATGCGGTGATGCAATGTGTGTGGGATGATCAGAAATATATCGGAGTTGAGAGGCAGAGATACGGAAATATAGGACATGAGTAAGCAGCTTCCCTGCATCGTTGAACAGGAGGTACTAGTAAGATTGAGCAGCATCATATTTGTGTTCAAAGTCCTTTTACTCTGCGCGCTTCCTCCTCATGCTGAAATAGCAAGAATTTGGGGAGGCCCGTGAACTCGAAGCTATAGGCCTGGACCTCGTGCTCTCGTAACGTTCAGAGTTGATAGCCCTATCGAAAATGACAGGGGACGACGAGGACTGTCCATCGAACGGACTCTGGAATCTCGTACTATGGTGACCTTTGTGGGAAAGGGTATAGTGATTTTGATCCACGTTGTAAGACATGGGAGAATATGTGTGTCCGTACGTGGTCCTATGAAGGTTGAACCATCGATACAGGGTTGAAATGTCGACGAACAAAATACTTACTGTGCCTTTTGCGCTGGTCTTTCGCTAACAAATGAAAGCCTCAACCGTTTAGCAGGCTGGCCTTCTTCCGGTCCACCCCGCTTGAAGTCTCGAGCATCATCAGCATCTGAGGGGTCGGAAAATTCGAGGGCGGGAGGTCTGGGTTCAGAATATCCCTCCGAGTTCTTCCTACCAAAGAAAAGTAGATATTAGCCACCGTTAAAGATCAAGTCAAGAGATAAAACGTGCTTACTGTATCAGCGTAATCATATCTTCTGTTCCCAATCTTTTCAAAGGACTTCTGGCTGAAGCTCTAACTGTGATGTTCTGCCCTTGCTGGGAGCCTGGAGCTGGGTAGGTATGGAGAGGACCCGCAATTTGAGTTTGAGTAAACAGATCATCCTCCGAGGCCCTCCGCAATAAGGGTGGCTCAGGGGTGGCTCGTATTTCCGGAAGGTTGGTCGATTGAAAGTTGGTCAGGTCGCCCGGGTCTCCTCCCCTGCACAAAATAATCATGTTAAGCTAACGAGAGAGAAATAGAATATACAGAGATAACTTACTTGAACGCGGGTCCTGTTCCAAATAATTTGACCCAAGCACGGTCGTCAAGGGAATCAGTCGACAGGGAAGATGTAGTAGAGGATATAGATGCTAGCGAATCCCTACGTCCCAAAGGCATGGCGAGAAAAATATAAGTGGGTATGAAGTGGAATGCGCAACTTAGGAATATCTGAAGTTGGATGTAGTGGTAAGACGTTGGGGGCTGGAGATTGCTGGGGATAATACCTCGTATTTATCCCTCAAACCTCTCAGGCGCGAGAGCTTGCTTGGACAGCGATATACGCTTCAACCGGCCAAACCCCATTGTCGTATAAGCGCAGTGGTCTTGGAACGAGCTACGTTGTTACATTCGCCGTGGTATTGTGTAGCAATCAAAGCAACTATTCCCACAGATCTAACCTATCCTTTTGGACAGTCGTGGGTCTCTCTGAACGGGATTGTAAGTCAGCTAGTGTTAATGCAGTGTACAATGACTAGTCACATCATTTGATTCCATTCCTACACCGCACGAAGTAGGCCATGCACAGTTCCAGTATCGTACCTATGTACCCAAGAAAAAAAGTCGTCAGCAAGGTCACAGACAAAGGAACAAAGTTACGTCCTACTCACTAAGTCACGAATCTCGATATGAACACTTGGGCCACTATCTGACAAAACAAAGCAGGTGAGACAAAATATATTGTTCTTCCTACTAGTAAAGTTCCATAAAAAGAATAGCGATAGAAATGACATTTCCTGTGTATAATGATTTGCGCCGCCTTGCACATGTCAAAACCAAAACATTATTTTAATCGGTTCCAGACGTGCGTCAGAGTAAAAAAGAAGTACGTTGCCAGAATACCACAAGTGCATGATCGCCGAGTATGCCATCATGCTCCCTCGAACCAAGGAGATGAATTAAAATTCCTGCAACAGCGATTATACATATGTTCGTTACTGCCAAACGACTTCTAGTCATGAAGAACAGAATATATCCCAGCAGAGTTCATTGGAACCGGTTATCCTGTTAACAACATGAACAATAAACTGCTGGCTTGAAACAAGCAACACACTTTATTCGGTCATGGCCCATGACAGAGCAGCCTGTAGATCGCTATGTCTCGCTGGAACGGCTTCCGAGTCCTTGAAGCTTGACGTCTGAGACTTTATACATGTCACTTTTACCATATTAGGCCTACTCGCAATCTTTTGTATCTTTTCATACATTTTTGTACTCTGACGCAGCCAAATTGGGTCAGATTGGGGCAGACCAGAAAAGATACAAAAGATTGCGAATAGGCCTAATATGGCAAAAAGCGATTTTTACGACATTGAAGTCCATAACTTTCAAAACGGCATCTGAAAAAACGAATACCACCAGTGATGATGATTCGTAATGAGATTCGGAACAGTACATATTAGCAAAAAGACGAACTCACATCTAGTCGCGACACATTGAGTAAGAATCGTAAGGATCGTTCCTGTTGGCAATTATACAAAAAACCCTTCGTCGTGTGAATACAATGGATGTGCACACCACTTGTTTCACAATGTTGATATCAGGGTGCCTTGCCACAGGATCCAGGTTGTCGTCCTGTAGTCGGTTACTGTCAGTATCTCCCTTCATTGCCCTTCCCCGTTGTCTACCGCAACCTTGACTTTCTGGATAATCGATCAAAGCAGACTCCAGTCTCTCCTTCCATATCACAACCAGAAACGCCTGTCAATGTGTATCGATACACGATGTTCGGAGAACCTGGTGGCAAATGCTACGGTACGTGAAATTACGAACCACGACCTTGAACTACCTCCTCCTCCCATCGGCTTCTTTAACAAGTTCGACCTGTCAAACAATCCCAGATTTTTGCCCCGGAAGAGACTTTAAAGCCGAGAAGTTCGAACGCTACACTGGTCTGGCGGAGCCAAATCAGTATCAGCACTGGCTCAGCTTTAACGAGGACTCGCCGCCAGAAACAGTTATATATCATAACTCTGACTTCGCGGTTGTCAAAACGTTCATATAATCGCTGAAGCCCGTAATTATGTGCCCTTCGATGTGTGTCGTATGCCATACCTATCCATTCTTCACCCGTCCTTAGCGCTAGTAATCTGGTGTTGAGATAATTCAACCGTTGGACGTGTTTGGACAGGCTTGCCGCGGGTCGGATTCCCCTGAACTCTCGTTAATGCATTTCTGTCTTTGAGTGGAGCTATTAATCAGCGGCTGAGATTACTCACTGAACATGATTTCTTTAATTTATCAGATCGCCCACAGGTCACATCTGTTATCGGTCTGCCCATTTCCCCTTACTACCTTTCGATGCGCTCGATCCAGTATTGCATATTGTATCTTGCACATCTCATGATGAGTACAAGTAACATTTCTATACGTAATCATAGTCCTGCGGTACATCGGCTTACTTCCACGAGAAAAATCTTGAAAGCACTATCTGGTGATAGGAATCAACGACACTTCTGTCAATGCTCCCCAACTAGAACACTCACTTTGTGCGTTTTTAGCAGTATAGCCCATGGTCAATCTCGACCTCCTCGTAATAGCTTCCGAACAACAACACACTTCACCTGCCTCAAAGTACTTCTTAGTACCCTCATCGATATCATCTCCGCCGGTGCATCGTCAGCCTTGGAATTCGAGTGAAGAAAACTTGATACAGCTGTTGCCTCCTATCCGCGCATACGCTAAAATACTGTTTTTGTTCGTCTCATCGACAATCAGGCACCTTGCTGTTACTAGCTCAGAGCATAAAGTTCAGACACAACATAGGCCACGAACTAGCTGTCAGTGGTACTGATGTAATATGAGCATGGGAAGTGCCTAATACTACCTGAACCGTTCAGACCCTTGTTGACGAGAGCTTCAGATTCACTATAAAGGCTCTCGTTCTCCATCGTGACGCTCACTCGCAGATAGGCTGGATGGAGTAGTATGAGCACGCGTATCCGTTATGCTTGCGACCTTTACGCCGTTTGCTCATCTAGTGCCCATTCAACTGGTCAACATGTCAATGCGACCAGGCACGGGGATGATGGAGTCAATCAACGGCTTGTGATCAGCACCGCGGCCAATTTTGTCCAGCACCAGGGAAAAGTCGAAGGACAAACATCCTTTCGGATATATCCTGACGGGCACCCTGATTCCGGATGTAAAGTAATTCAGCCAACATACAGCTGCCATTCAAGGGTGGACTAGTACTTACTGGGGGGACCCACACTATCTACTATCTTTAAAACACAGCTCTACTGGATTCAGCGAAGGCAGGCTATTAATCCGGGAAATCAAACATATATGGTAGGTACCCAAGGTTTCTACACGCGTATACGGTTGTGGAGCGTCTGAGAGGAGCGCATAAGCGGCGAAGCGCAGAAACCACGGTCAAATATAAAGATGGAAGCGCCACCTTGCACTTGCACCCCTGATGTCAAGAGGACGAATTGGACGAGGTGAGTTCTGGAAAAAGCAGAAAGTACTACGCGGAGTGTTTTGAGCGCTTGTGAAAGCTGGAAAGGAAGAAGAGGTCGGATATCAATGTGCGCCAATGAAGAGTGATGTGGTGGAGGGGCGTAACTAAACTTGAAAGGGGGGGTGAGTTATCTAGTACAAATGCGGATTGGAATGGTAATTTTTGGAGCTGGTCAAGATTGGTGGACGATATTGGATGGGGTCTATAATGGAACAAGGCGAGATGAAGTGACCGTATCAACGCGGTGATGGATATTATTCCAAAGGTATTGAATAAAAGAGGGCAACAGAATGGTCTGATGGAATAAGGCAAGGTTCAGCTTGAGGGACGTAAGGTACTGTGTGATGGGAGGGTGTTGATGACGTTTGCACAGAGCGTGAATCTGAGAAGATCACCATCCACGCCGACAATGACGCACATTCACGTGCACTCAACATAAAATAGCCGCTATCACTTTTGTTATCTGCACCGGTGCAACCGTATCGAGACATTGTAGAGGAAAACAAGAATAAGCGTCCAAAGCTGTCCCAAAGTATGGCAGAGGAGCGATGAGAGATAAGACAAGGACTTGTGCGCGCTCGTCGACGGAAAGAGCCGATATAACAAAGCAGATAGACTTCGCGAAGTTGCACTGCTTTCGACTCACGGTGCTTGCATGACGTCCCAGCACCCACACCAACCTTCCACAGCCGTTCAGTGCTCCCCTCTCACAGTGCGGTGCTCGCTCTCTGTCATCGAAGGCATCTGTCAAGGCAGTGCGTCGGTAGCGCCCCGTTTCTGTCTTGCACATGGCTGTTCATGCGGTGATGTGAATTATCAAGGCACTTGGAAGATGTTTTGCCATGAAATCTTTTCAATGCCGCGTTTGCCGGAGGAAGTGGGGAGCTTACACAAGAGGAATGTTCCCGATTGAGCGAGAGAGGGCTATTTCCAACTGGGCGGAGCGGTTATCAATCATGCCCGACGGCCGTGCCGACGACCCTCGGAGCGTCGCTTTTTTGAGGTCAGTTTCCTTTTTGGACTCAACGCCTTCATCGATGCTCGCGATACTCTGCTCCTTTCCAAATTAGGTAATTCTTCAAGTTCATATCGAGTGTGCCGTATCTTCTCGCTCCTCCCTCTTTTCTTTATGTGTTCGTATTCCCCCGTTTGCCGTGGAGAATTAGACGCGTTGGTAATAATACTTTTGGGTGTCTCTTCGAAACACCCCTTTTGTTCGGGTGGACTCAGTTTGAAAGCAAATGCCGCCACTGTCAACCAACGTTTATCGCTTTCTTTGTCAACCCTGCTCCACCAGCCACGTCCGCCGATTTCCTGCCCTTGACGTCATACCTCGTTATCGCTCATTCCTTTCATATATAAACCAGATCAAACTGCCAGTCTGGTTCCCAACAACCACTCTACTTGACTTAAGATCCGAGTTTGCAACTTGTCTCTCCATACCACAACTCCAGACCACTTTACTACCTCTCCCTCCACAATGTCTTCTCCTAATAACGTCCACACCTTCTACGCTGATGCCGTCCTCTTTGACATGGTGTGTAATATCCGTATTCTGGCTTGCCAAGTCTAACTCTTTCAGTGTGTTGACAGGACGGTACACTCACCGACTCTATCGCAGCCGTAGAGGCAGCCTGGGGCAAAGTTGCCAAAGACATCGGACAGGACCCAGCACATGTCATCGCCGCAACCCACGGCAAGCGCGCTGTCGACAACCTTTCCGCCTTCAAGCCCCATATCAAGCAGCATGAAATGGAGGACGCTGTCCAAGACTTTGAAGAAACCATTCTCTTCTTCGCCGACGCCTACAACCTTCACGGTCCTGGCTCGCAGCCCGAATCACCCATCAACAGCCCCTGGGGTGTGAGGACGCCAGCAGATAGCTCCGGGAACGCAACCCCTGACTTGACTCCTGGCAGCTCAGCACCCAGTTCGCGTGCTTCATCGTTCGCAGCTGCTGGTGCCCGTCGTCCATCGTTTGCGAGCAGACTTAACAGTATGCTCACGATGACCGCTGTTCCTGAGGCGAGCATCTATGGTCAGCCGCCGCAGTTCGACAGCCCTATCATGGAAGAGGACCAGGAAGAGATTATCACTATTGAAGCCAACAAGGCCAAGCGCGAGTTGCATCGTCTTCAGGCGTGGCAGATCGAAGCCGCAGGTGTAGACCGCAGCGTGAGGATCCTTCCTGGTGTGAAAAGGATGATGGCGAGCATCCCTCAGGGGAAGTACGCTGTAGCAACTTCTGGCGCTAAGACTTACGGTTCGTTTTTTTCGTTGTTTCTTTTGCATAATCGAGATATTTATTTCGCTTTTTTTTTTTTTTCTTTCTCCAGCGTATGGGTGCATGACTCGCGTCGGTATCACACCTCCTAAAATTACTATTACTGCCGACGACAAGCGTCTCAAAGCTGGCAAGCCCGCCCCCGACCCCTTCTTGCTCGCCGCTAAAGAGCTCGGATACGATGCAAAGAAATGCGTTGTGTTCGAAGATTCGCCAAGTGGTATCAAAGCAGGCGTGGCTAGCGGCGCTACCGTGATCGCTTTGTGCACGAGCCACGAGAGGCGTAAGATCGAGAACGCAGGTGCTCACTATCTTGTTGAGAATATGGATCATGTCGTGTGCGAACCTCAGGGGGATGGGCGGTTGAAGTTCACCGTGACCTTATAGGGTGTTGGTTGCTTGAGCGCTGGCCGCTGGTGGTTCGAGTGGTTGAGCGGAGGACTCCTACGGTGGAGTTGTTTTTGTATCTTGTAGCGATAGTGCCTGCCTTCTTGGCTATGATCTCCTCTCTTGTCTTGTTTAATGTCCTAGTACTTACTCGTCCACTTTCGCACACATGCATTATCTACAGATTAGACCGCATCTCACATTAATAGATTTTCTGTCTACGTACAAAAAGCGCAACAAACAAAATGTTATATATTTTCCTGCGTCATATCATAATCTTCAAATTGCACGTTAGATTTGAGTGCAAAATATAACTTGTACGCAAGTCTAAGTTGAGCAATCTTAGCTGTCGAGCACTGAATATTCCATCTTTTCTGAGCATAGGTCACATTTAGTGTCCAATTATTGACAAGGCAATATGTATACGACATCCATAACAACCAGAAACACATTATAGGTTATGGTGAAGGTCCGCTACACCGACTTAAACCCTGCGCGCGGGTACTACGGAGGTAGTCCTACCAGCGGGTCTGGCCGGGTATGCAAGCAATAATAAAGAAAACAAAGTATGAAAAGGAAAGCTAACAACGTGAAAATTCGTGAACGTTTGACTAGAACGTATAGCAGTATATTCGGGAAATTTAGGAATACACTACTACGTTGTGTAAGACAAAAAAAGAAGTGGGATGAATGAGATGAAGGTATGGAAGCGAGGATGAGGAAGGAAATACGATGAGGTGGGGCATATATTTCCATGTGAGGTGGCGAGTGTCATTCGAGAACGTCCGTAAGTGGCGGGTATTGTTGGCGAAGGGGTGCAGGGGGCTGAGCTGTTCACGAAGAGACGCGACTCGTGGGTGGTGTCGACAGAATATGAAATTAAAACTGGTAACAGTACCGGTCTTAATCAGATGGAGTGTGGAATCAGCGGATGCGACACAAGTTATAGCAGAGGCGAAGCTGAAAATATCGATAGCAAAAGCACAAGCATAGAAAGCGTCCACATTCCTGTCGACGGTAGTGACCACTCCGCTCTACATATACCCAAGTAGTAAGATTAGAGTCACATAGATCAGCGCCAGTCCCAACACTTTCAGATCAAACACTACTCACCCCGAACTAGCGGGTTCGCCGACGATCTTCACTGTCATGACGGCCACAAGCCCGTCGACGGCGTTGTCACCTGGAACGGGGACAGAACCATTGTGGTTGATGCCGTAGCTGGTGTTGGGAAGGAGGCCTGAGACGTATTTCACGCTCGTAGAGTAGGTGTACCCGTTGAATGCCGTTTGGCCACTGTAGGTTGAGGAGTTGGTGTCGTTGAGCGTGGGAATGATTTGGGACTGAGACGTTGCGTTGCCGACGAGCCAGTCGCTGTTGCAAACGTAAAGTTAGAATATCAGTCTTAGGAGGGTGAAACATGTGCTTACCGTCCAAGATTGTAACTAGCAGAGGTGGCTTATCAGTAAATGTCCAAGGTTAGGGGTGAACTGGATAGGAGACTCACCCATTTGGGACGATATTGTGTTGTTCTTATGAACCGTCAGCTTGCATCTCAAGTACCTTTCGCCGGTTGAAATGGACGTACCGGCGATAGGCATCTCATACGAAACAGCCATGAATATGGCCCCACTGACAACAGGTTCGTCGGTACACACGAGATAATCTAGGTGAAGGCTGTAACGTACCTGTCAGCTTGACTGCCGTCTTGAATCCAGTACCGGACGTGGTTCCCGCCTTCTATGGTCTCTTCACATGTCCCTAGGGTGGGGTCACCATAGTCCCATCGGATTACGGCGGTTTGGTTTACTGCATCCAACGATGAGTGAGTAGTGAGCGCTAATGAGCAACGTGGCATCACATGCATGAGAAAAGCTACTCACGATATCCATTTCCGTCACCCAGATTCGCACCCTGGTTATTTCCGGCATGTTGACCGAGACATTCCGTCGAGAATCCGAATGATCTGGGTTACAGACGTGAATATCACTCACTGGCTAAGCATATCAGACGGTCGCGACGTACTGGTAATAGTTGATAAGCCCTCCGTTCGAGGCCGTGCTCTGGAGCACAGCGCTGTCGGAGTAAGCAGATATGATGGCGTTTATGGGTTCGCCTTGCCCGGGTGGGTATGTGCCTACGACGGCCTGTGGAAATGTAAGCGGCCGCTGGGAGTAGACTAAGATGGGCGGGAAAAGAATATGGACGTACAGTGAGCAAGCTCCCTCCGCCATCGTACGGGTTATAATATCCGGCAGGTGGTACGCTAACAGTAGCTCGCTGAGCCACCGAACGTGGTGTGGGTGTTGGTATTGATGACGCAGGTGGCACTCCGTGTGGTTGAGCGATGCCCTCGCCGTCAAGGGCTGCGAGCGCGACCTCTACGATTGCGAGGATGTACGAAAGCGAGCGCCAGTGATATGATGTCCTAGCCATTGTTCAGTCTATAAATCTAAGTGTGTGTGCCAGCTATCGTTGGCTGAGAGTCCAGTGCTCCGAGGTATGCAAGGCCAGGTATAATGTGCCAGTGGTATAAGTGGACGGTCGTGACTGGTCTAGTAGCAAAAGAAGATAACGAGAGAACCACAAAACGAGAGGAATTTCGTCAAAGAACGTTGAGTTTCACGGTAAAAATATCGCTTTCTAAGTAATTTTTTGTCGCCCCGCAGTGGATTCGATTCGCCTACAAGAATATAACACCTTCTGTTCCAGCTATAGCCGCGTTAGGTAAGCTACCATTCCAAGAGACACAATACGAGGCGAACAACTTGAGCCTGACTCGCTGAACGACGGCGACCGTTACTATGTCTCTTCTATGTCTTTGTCTTCTTGGCTTTTGGCTGCCTGGTTGCTGTTCGACACGACGACGGACGCCTACGTTTACCCGTGGGATCACTCTTTGCACAACTGGGTATAACGTTCATCAGGCGGCTGGCGGTGCATTCGCTTTCTCAGGCTCCTCACATGTATCAGTGCTATCACCGTGCCAAATCTTGTTCGGCTTCGACGGTGGCGCCACCTTCCACACCAAACGTTCAGATTTTCCAAACTGATGCGCTGTCGACTCGTGTTTTGGAGATGAATGGCAATGATGCTTGGTTTGGTAAGCACTTAGATATGGTAAAGCCTGAGCGCTGGACCACCGACTGTTGACCAGTCGCCTCCTTTTCTCCTACTGCGGCACAAATGCGTATTCCATGCAAGTCCGAGCCCCTTGTTACAGTCAACTCGCTATCTTCAATGAGCATATTTGATTTACGGGATGGTTAACGTTAGTGTTGCAAGGTACGTTCATCGCGCTTGTAAATTACCAGCACTAAATGTATTGAACGACAGCACAGGTTAAGCTATTCTCGCGTACAAGGCCGACTAGCACGGACACCGTCAACAAAGAACATTGTACGCTGAAAAGGGCCTTTGGAAAGCCTTTGGTTGAAAAGAATTGCGCACAATGGATAAGCCAGAATATGTCTGCCATCTAACCTATGTATAGATGCAACACTCTTCCTGTTGACATAAGTCGCGTTCGGCGGGCTTTGCAATTGATTTCGGATATCTATGCATCCAGGAAGGTCAAGGAGCTGCCATTGGACGATTCTGCCTCCAAACTTTCAAGCTTTGCTTGGAAACGCTTCATTAGCTCCTGTAATAGGCTTCAATCGAATTGTATCAACGGTTCATGTTCACATCAGACTTTCGATCGCAAGCACTTATTCCCACTATACAACTATGTTTGCATGGTGACCTCGCCGCCGTGCTCAAGCCCGTTGCTGCTAGTTCAAACAGTAGACGAATCAATTGGATCTACCCAGGGGGTCATTGCTTTGCTTCTCACATTAGAGCATACTAATTTTTTCATGAAGTCCTTCATCCTTGAGACACGTTACTATAGTCGAGTTAGGGTCGACCATGTCGTCGGAAGAGCTTGCAAGCACAAGCAAATAGGTACTGATTTGAGGTGCAAGTACGCATGATATAATGCGCAAAGGTTGATAGGTAACAAACACCAGTTCTTACTGTATCCTTATGCTGATAAGGACGTCTTGCAAGGTACAGCACTAGAAAATGACTTGCATTCTAGATAATTAAGTCGCACGGAAGCCGCCACCAATTGACGGCGATGAGCCTAGGCTCCTAGGCTCAATGCTGTGTCAGAAACACTTGTTCTCCGTCCGGATAATCTATCGTGTCATTGACTTAGGCACCATCCGTACGCATCTAGAAGCAGATGTTGCAGAAGACGGGTTATTCCATATCGTGTTATTGTTATCCACAGCATTATGGGATGAGAATCGAACAACCCATTGACCACATCTTGTATTCACGGACCCTGCTTGCGAAGGTTGTACTGGCGGGATTTAATCTTCTCTAGTTCAAGGAGATGGGTTTATCCTGATCATAGGCCATTGATAGCAGCGAAATATAGCAGCCGCGCCACATCTGCCAATGATAGACTTAGTTCTTGGCCGCTTAGTTTCAGTCCCAGGGGTGGCGTTAGAGTCCAAAAAAGGCAGGCATCCAAGATCGCCTCATCATAGTCTCATCCATGGAGTAGTCTTGATCGATTGGTTGCCATCTCGCAGGTGATGAGCATTCCGGCGTTGAGGGACATCACATGACGTGTCGCGTCGCGCCCCAGTAGTAGAGTTGTGTGCTACATAGAAATAAACGAAGGCTCGAAACCACCAGAATACTCGCACTTGACGTGATATGCCCGACAACACAAAATAACAATGTCCCAGATGCCCGAGACTCCATTTCTGTTCAGCTCACCCAAGAGAACCCTACTTGCTCGCCAGATACTTGCGAAATACTTGCCATATGAACCCCACAACTATCAGATTGAAGGCGTCTGCCAAAGTCTCAACGGAAATGATCTTATGGTTATCATACCCACAGGAGGGGGTAAAACGGCCTTTTTTTATACGTATATGCTCATCCTCCTTGCATTATCTGAGAATCCCAACCTTTGCACACCACCCAGACATGTGCCGTCTAACCCAGCCATGGTCATTGTATTCCCTACCAATAGGTGTTTGAAAATAGGGGAGAAGTGGTAATGATAATGAGGCAGCTAGTGGCCGTGAAGTGGGGGATGGGGTAATAGCATTCAAATTTGCTTGGACATTGATATACTGATTGTCAGCGTATATATTATTAGGAGTAGGAGTCTCTGGATTTTGCTGGGGACTCATTGTCGAATTTTTTTGGTTAGACAGTAGGACTTAGAATCGCTCACTCGAGCATTGATATGTGCTTACTAAGCTTAATGTGGCGTGGTGAACTTCCTATCACCGACAGTTGGTGGTGAATGCCTTAGCAGCGGTATACATAGCGTGAATCATTGCAGACCTTCCAAAGGAAGGTCTGATTAGAGGAGACTATCCATGGAGTAAACCGAGCCATAGTACCCCTAATCTCTTTGCGGACACCGAACTGAGGCAATGTTTTACTCCACTTAGTCCGGTTCAGCACGAATCATCGTCATCCTCGTCATGGCGGGTTTGCGCATGCGTCATAGGTCCCACTCCCAGCGGTTTGGATATTTAGTATATAAACTCATCGACGAGCATACTTTTAATACCTCAATATTCCTGAATCATCTTTATAAACATGTCTTACGATAACAACAACCAATTCAACGACCAGCAATTTCAGGGCGGTCGCCAAGATCGAGGTAACATCTCATCTGATGTACACTACTTCAAACATGAGTGGCTAATATCATTATTTTTACGCAGGCTTAGGTGGTGGATTTGACCATTCCGCTAACTTCGACCCTCGATCTGCTGGCCAAGATGATGGCGGACAGAATACCGTTGCTGGCTCTCACGGCGGCAGTGGTTATGGCCAGAGTGGTGGCTACACCGGCAGTGGTGGCCGTCGCGATCCCGGTCTTGACGAGCCAAACCAGTATGGTACTGATTCTGGTCTTGCTGGATCAGGGGACACCCAAGATGTAAACGTACCTGGAGCTGGCCGCATGGGCGGTGAGGGACAGTATGGTCAGAGTGACTACGGTGCCGGCCAAGGTCAAGGCCAGGGCTTTGGAGGCCAAGGTCAGCAACAGCAGCGCTCTGGGGGCTTTGGGTCCAAGGGATATGAGAGAGATAATGACGAGTATGACTCGGGATTAGGCGGAGGTGCAGGCGCACAAGGGGACAAACCTGGTTTAGGTGACAAGATGAGAGGTATGTGTTTGCATGAATGAGTATGTAGTGACGATGATCTGATGATGTTGCGGTCATAGGTGGAATGGAAAAGATGGCTGGTAAGGTTATAGGTAAATCTGATCTCGCCGAGAGGGGCCAGGAACGTCAGGTGAGTTGGCAAGTGTGTGCACATACAAATTTGTCATTGACCTTATACCTTTTTCAAGTCTGGCGGCAATTACTAAGAGGGAGTATTCATTAACTTTATCTCGATTTTGTCTTGACGCCGTGTTTGTATAATTTGCGACCAGCACGTGAGATGTGGTAACCAGCAGTATAATCTGTTCTTGTATCGATACAAGCAAATAAACATACATGATAGTTCCTTTTGAACAATTGCGAGTAAAACATGCTCGTGCTGGAAGGAAAGGAATGGCGAAACTTCCAGAAAACTCAAAGTTATATTACTCCATTTGATGGATCACTACTAATGTGGTGTCAAATATCACAACATTGCGTTTTATCTGATCTATACACAGCAAACAACCTCAAGAGTTAATGGGGGACTCTGAATATCATATTCGGCAATATGCACCTATACACAGTAAACAACCTACAACGGTACTGTGAGTATGGGTACAACTAACATACAGAAAACACTCTCACCTCAGAGTTAATGGGGGACTCTGAGGTGTGTACGTGGCAGCGTACGGCTTATAAGTGAAAACGGAAGTATAAAATTTTTGATGGATATATATTGGTGAGTGTCGCATCACTCCAACTCTACCTTATGCTGACTTTCCTTTCTAGGTTCTCGTCCTTCGTGCACGCTTGCACTGTATCCCTCGAGCTCGTCATTCCAACATTGCGTACAATGTTTCTCTTACCTCTCTCACATAGACAAGTTGTAGCGGCTCCTTAACAGACTAGGAGTCGTCGCAAGGCGCCGACTCTGACCTTGCTTGCTTACATAACACAGTATGCCTACTTCTCTTTTGTCTCCTCTTTTGTGATGTACTTAGTGATGCAGTTATTCCTGCAACAGCTTTTACCGACTTCAAGTCCCAAGGCCAGACTTTGGAAACAGTTATCGTTGTATTGGGAAGACACCGTCGTTTCAGGTTTCGAAGTTCGGAGCATATGTAGCGTTGTCCAGAGGTCGCGAAAAGGGTTCGATTCGGCTGCTCAGGGATTTTGATGAAAAACTTGTCACAGTACACCCATCAGAGGATCTGAAGCTGGATGACTCAAGATTAGAAGAGTTAAACACGAATACCGAAATACGATATAGGCAGGGCCACTATAATCTGACAAGACCATAATTCACCTGTAGTTTATTGTACGAGAAGTTCCAACTACAATAGACCAGCAAAAGGAGACTTTTCCAACCATTCGGAGATTGAGACACACGGAACGTTCCGATGTTTTGTTTGTGTATGTTAAATTTGACAGAATTGTGGCTTGAGTGACATGGCATATGACCTTGCAAGCAAGGTAATGGGCAAGGGTTAATGACTTCAATATCCATGAAAATAGTGGCGACCCGGAAACTCGGCTTGCTAAACATGATACATAGGTTAATCTTCTGAAATCGACATGGTTGAGTACAGCACTTACATTTTCCTCCGTTCCACTATCCGATGCGTGTCGTGATTTGCGCAAGAAAAGGTTAACCTTAACCAGGTATAAATGCAGGAGGATGATGTACTAGCTAGTTTCAAAGGTTAGAAAGTCACCAGTATATATGAAAGTCGAATGTGTAGAGCTTGATTTCAAGGACTGCCCAAGGACAGTTTCCCATCGGTACGAGCTTCATCCAAAAGCCTTGACGGAGCCTTAAAGGATATATGTCGGCCATGATAAGAGCCGGAATTGGAGAAATGGACGGGACAACGTTAGAAAGGAGTCGGGGCACCCCATCTCTTGATGAGCGCATTGCGTAGGTCCTTGTTCTGAAAAACGAATGTAAGTTCAACAAATCGATAAGGCAAATCTATTCCATCACCTCCCCAGTAATGTTTGAGCCAAGTCAGAAGAGAAGATGAATGGCTATATAAGCAAATTGCCCATGCTTTCAATATTGGTAAATTGGTGCTTGTTGGTGAGATTTAAAATAGCTCGAAGTCGCTCAAAGTTTGGCACTGGAAGCGTCTAGACTTGCTCACAGAACATACAAAATTTAAAGGAGAGCCCGAATCTATGCAACTGTATCTCCATGCAACATCATGGGTTAGTTGTATCTCGAATCACATGTCTGTGAACTGTCTCGATTGACGGCACTCGACGTGTAAATCGCAAACATATCTGCGAAGGCAGACTTATCACGATCACGGAAAAGACAAGACAGTAAACCTTTCACAACTTTAGCATCGAAAGCACGCATAAATGTGAAATCTATGTACCTTGATCAAAATATCCAAATATCCTCTACAATTAAAAGAGAATCTCCGTTTTCCAGGAAAATTCTCAGATCATGAACAATGGTCTGAACAAAGGCGATCCCAAACTTGACGTGCACAGTGGTCGAAGGTCAAAAACATGCACAAGAAATCCTCAAGGGGGGCATCGCTATATTGTACGCATTTTAGAAAGCATCCGTTGCTTCATTGTGGATTATGAGGATTGTTCAAAGACTTGAGTTGAACGTTGCTATGCTGTAGGAGAGATTATATTGCCTTGAGTTATTTGCAGTGATAATCCATTACTGACTTGAAGAGTGAAGAGTTCGGAGGGCAGTTACGGTCGGCTCCTCAAATCATCCCTTATAATTACCAATTGAAGACTCGGAGGACTGTATGTCGAATTACATAAATATTTCAAGAATGCTAAAGCTGAGAATGAGCAGTGCATTTATTTTTTCAAGGCAAGGACAGCATACTGACCAAGTAATCCTTGAATCTGGAGAAAGACACCGAACTAAGTTTCGTCAGATCTCATACCTTCAATAAGAAGTCTGTATAGTGCTTTTGTCTTCTATCGGTGACAGCTCACAGAGCCTTCTCATAGCAAGCGGCGGGATCCTTGATATCAATGAATTAAAGAGCAGTACTGCACAGTCTAACCTAGCAACCACATCCATATGGCCGATCTTGTTGAATTCCTGGTGGCAGGACACGTAACTCCACAGCTTTTTCCATTTGGCCGCACAAACGCGAGCAGGGCGCGTGCACGATGACGAGTAGGAGGATTATCCACAAACCATGTCCAGCGCTGAGAAAGCAACCAATGAATATGCGCTAGTCGGATATGTTGAGCTTGATTTGAATGGTTGCCTACAGGCAGCCTCCCATTTGTACACAAGTCTCTCCAATCGTAATACGCTGCACCTTAAGTAACTGTTACTCGAAAATTTTCGGTTATGTTTAGAGCCTGCGTTAAGGGGGCACTTCCGGAAAGAAGTTTAGGAACCCATTCTCTGAGGAGTGTGCCGCGTAAGCTATGGTTTTCGGATGCGAAGGTAAATCCGATAAATTGATTAGCTAAAGCTAATCCATCCACATTGAACAGGAAGACAATGAGACGAATGCCGTTATGACGTTGATTGCCCACGACTCGATGTGAGTTTGTTGGGGGATTCTGCGATGCTCAGCAAACGTTGAAAGTTTTTCAAGGTTTTGCATTGGTGGTTGGCAGTAATTTTATTGGGCCTTTGGGTAGGAATGCTTCAACATCATTGCAGTGACTACCTTTCTTTTACTCACAACGCGTACAAAACCCACAGAAGAGACCTAAACTGTTGGTTAGTATCGCCATGCAACTTTACGGGACACTGATCGCTTGAACCACACGCCTTCAAGCTAACTTCATCGCGGTGACTGGCGACGTGAATTGCAAACATATCTGCGAAGGCAGAAGTATCACGGGTAAGGAAACATTGGTGAACCTTATAACATTAGATTTAACATTGAAAATATGTGGGTTACGACCAAGTACCTTGATGTCCTCCACCCTTTCAACAAGATCTCCGTCTTCCAAATAATATTTCAGATCATAAACTGGTTTCTTGAGTGGGCTCTCAACGTTTAGCTTTTGTCCCGTCGGCCTCGTTAATCTAGGTCGTTTACGGGCTGGACCAGACGAAGGCAGTCCCGGACTAGGCAAGACTGAACGTTGAGCTTATGTTGTTTGAGAGTGAATATTCAAGGACGTCACTGAATTGGATGCATTTAAAGTTATTATTTTCAATGTGACTGGGGATCATTTGAAGATTAGAGATGAAGAAAAGTAGTGTCACGTGCCGCATCTGTAAAATTCAGACATCGCCTATCAGAGTCAGCTCTACTTTTCACACCTTAGAAAGCTCTCTACAGAGTCTAGTTCGATCAAAAGACCTACGAAATTAACATGGTATGTGAATGCGTGACTTATTGTTCATTTTCATACACTGATATCGTGCTGCAGAGGCCAATCCTTTTACAAGGTGACTTACCCCAAATTACCAGTCAAATCAAAAGACTGACATTGACATTCTGATCTCTGCTCTTGAAATTATCCACTAGGTCACGAACGTTCTCTTACCCAGCTCAAATTCAATCTTGAAGGCGATCTACTCTTCTCCTGCTCAAAAGATCATATTGTCAATGCATGGTTTTCACATAATGGCGAGCGGTTAGGCACGTATGACGGGCATAATGGGACTGTGTGGACTCTGGACGTTGACTGTGAGATATCATCCTTTACTTGAGTCTCTTGCATGGTTGCAATTATCGGATGTCTTGACCTTACCCTTTTGTTCTAGCTCAGTCCAAATTTCTTGTATCTGGCTCGGCCGACAACACTCTTCGTTTGTGGTCGGTTTCTACCGGAAAATGTCTTTACACTTGGGAATTTCCCACCGCTGTGAAGCGTGTATCATTCAGCGACGATGACCAACAGGTGGTCTGCATTACAGAACAACGTATGGGTCACCAAGGTGCTGTAAGGGTTTTCCAGATCAATAGAGATGGCGATGGTTCAGACCGTGAGTAGCTCTCTCCGCTCATGAATGCAAGAATGCCCAGTCGACTTTTTTTCTTCATACAAGAGCCATCCAAACCGTTACACATGTTCAACCCTATTGGCTCAAAAGCTACAGTCTGCGCATTTACCTACACTCCCAACCTCATTGTCACCGGTCACGAATCTGGAAAAGTTGCATTGTTTGACGTAACGACGGGAGACGAAGTATTGAACAATGAACGTGCACACATGGATGTGGTCACGGATATGCAACTCAGTACTGATAAAACATATTTCATCACAAGCAGTAAAGACAAGACCGCTCGGGTGCGTGATATCCTAACAAAGGATGCTCAGTTGCTGATTTCTGTTCTTACCAAACAACAGTTACATGATACCAAAACTCTTAGAGTCCTCAAAACTTTCACGACTGAAACACCACTGAACAGTGCTGCATTAGATCCTTTCCGACCATATGTATGCAATGTAATCGTAGCTTATCGTTATCTTACGTGGCTTTTTGCAGGTGCTTCTTGGAGGTGGCCAGGAAGCTATGCAAGTGACGACTACATCTTTACGACAAGGTAAATTCGAAACTCGGTTTTGGCACAAGGTATTCGAAGAGGAGATAGGGCGAGTAAAAGGTCACTTCGGTCCAATCAACACGTAAGTACATGTCCTAACTCAGTAAACCCTACCTTAAATTTTTCCTGCTTATTTCACAAGTATTGCTGTACATCCTGGAGGAAGTAGCTATGCATCAGGAGGAGAAGATGGGTATGTGCGAGTACATCATTATGATGAAACGTATTCCAAAGCCAAACCCTACGGAGACCTAGTGATTGAAAATTAAGCATGTTATACTTTGCCAGAAGTACGTTGATGGTTTTAGTTCTATAAAAATAAATATCTCGGGGTTTGATAGACCTAGACTAGTCAATGTCAATGGCTTTAAGAAAGGTATAGAATATGATTTAGCCTGCCAAAATGGTAGTAATTCAAGTTGTGCATGCGTGCGGGTTTACCGAAAGATCGTAGTGATATAGTGATATTGTTAATCGAGAAGTAGTGAAACAAACCATAGAGATACTACATACACATTTTATATAGTATAAATTACACCATCTAACAAGATCACTGAGAAGACGTGTTTAGTGTATGGGGATTGTCAGAACTAGATATTACAGCCATATCTAGCGCATTGTCGCGTCTAATCATTTTTCTGAGCGAATGGCGAGCGTTCAAGCTAGAAAGCGGTCAGCGATGGCCCGTGGCAAGATAAGGTAAAATCTTACATAGCCATTACTGAATTAACATAACCTAGCATAGATTTGGATAAATATTCAAGTGATAAGGTATGTTGCGGTAATACTTACATTTACTAACCAATAAGTGAGGAGCCACATAGGTGCTAACGTCTTGCAGCGCGTAATACTTCCCAAAGATTTAGGGCAATACGGCGAAGGATACAGAGTGAGTGCTCACCAAGATAAGTTGTAGGGAAGCAACGAGACTTGGGGGATATGGTTCAGCCTCTGAAGAAAAGCTTCAATATGATAAGCCTACCACCCAAGAAGTCCCATGTTAACGGTCAAGATAGTCAACCTCTGAATGAGATTCTCGGTGCTACACATACGGCAACTTCAGTAACATGAAAAGTGAAGGAGGGCGCTGTCCACCTTTTGTAACCTGGTTGGCTTTTCCTGAAGTAATATACCAGTGACACTGTTATGAGAATGTCACACAGTACACTGCTAACTATTTCGGTTGTGCTGGCAAGCTCCACCCTTGTGTCAGTTGATCAAGGAAGTCGTTCCAATAATGGAGGCCAACCTGGTAGTTATAAATCACTATCCCATGTGGAATTGTGCTGGACAAAATATTGATTATATTTTGATGCGGATGAAGCTTTACTATACTCACGAGCATATCGTAAATGCTTGGATCATGAAGTTCAGCGTCTGAAACTCGAAAATCATATGTAAATACTCACCTATTCCTGACGCTGGAGCAAGTCCGAATCAGGGACATTCAACGTATTCAACCATAACTCATACTAATTTGAACACATGCCAAAAGAAGCTGAATTTTTGATGGTTTACAAAGGCCATGCTCTATCACCAAGAATCACTCACAATTGCCCCCGTTAATATCGTATTTCTTCCGCTAACTACAAAGGGCCAATGAGCGTGCTTGGCATGATTAACATGCATGTTTGATCAGGACGATGACACTTACATCGCCAAAGCCTGAATGCGTTAAACCTTGACAAAATTTGAGCAGCTATATGCCAAAAAACAAAACATCACTCACATCTGTGCAACAAAAGTTAGAAAATACTACTTATGGTTAAATTACGAATCACCCGACTTTAGAAAGTTGAATGCCTTACAGTCATAAGCGTGGAAGCCTGTCATATGATATCAGAACGAACATAATTCTGCTCGGTAACGGTGGAAACTCACAACGAGCTGCCTTCACACGAAATAGTCCGTAAGATCGTCAGAGTAAATACGATGGGACAGATACGTACCAAGGAAGCAAATCGATTAACGACGCATCGGTCCTCGCTTTGACGAGTAATATCCAAAAGGACGTGGAGATCCAATACACGTGCAATGTGTCTGCCACGCTGAGAGTGGTGCTTATACGTCAGTACAACAGCGGATAATATATGGGATAATAGCCTTCACCATAGAGAACCCACCTACAGGAATGTATCAACCACTGGCAAGAGAGGAACAAACAATGGATATCGCTACTTACCAAGAACTTCAAGGAGAGCATGTCGCGCGGAAACGTACGAAAATAATAATATGTCTGCCCGAGTGTGACTCCATACAAGCTAGTTGCATCGACAGAAAGGAGTCATAAAGATCAGCTGAGAAAACTGTGCGAAAGGAATCCTTGATGAAATTACCTCAAGGATACCATATAACCTGGAGGACAATGTAATCATTATTGAGAAGGCAGCGGCGGGAGAAGAAAGCAGGAGCACCCACCTATGAAACCAGGAGCCCACAGAGTGTCGACGGCGGCGACAGACATGAGAGACGGAGATAACGAGCGTCGTGAACACTGAATGTTGTTAGTACTTATACTTCATGAGTAGACTTAATAAACCCGACTTTCTCGTGGGCGTTTCATCAGGTGAGATGCAGGTTTAAAGCTAATAGAAATATTATCAATAGAAGAGTGCAAATAACGTTACTCGTGTCCAAGTCCTCGTTTCCGGGACAACTTGGGGAAGGAATTGAACGACGCCTCTCATGTCATCCACTGACCCCGATCTTCCGCTTGGTAATTGCGAGACTTTTGTAGGACATGATAATACCTTTGAATTAACCAGGTCCAAATTAAGTGGGCGAGAGGTGGATTTTGGGAGGAGGACAAGGACTGGTCTCATGCCTGTTGAATCACGATGGCCAGGACTCACCACAGGGGGAAAATGGCGAACATGGCGGTGTTCAGGCGAATCCACGTTGAACTTGAAGGTCAGTTCCCCATCAAGACCATGTCGAAGCTAAAAGTATTTGATTTTCCAATACTAAGGGATCCAGGTTCGAACTGGCGCGCAGTACACTGACCTCGTGAGTGTATAGAATACTTACGACGTAAATCTGTCACAGTGACATCAAGAATTCACACACTGGTCCAGCTAACAACGCTACTCGCTTGCCGCGGTTTACTCGACATTGCAGCTGGCAGTAGATCCATGTCGCCACCTGGAAGTTAGACTGGTGAAAGCTCCTGGCTCTGCACTGAAGAGACTTGGCCACCACATATTGGAAAGCGATATAGAAAATCCGCTATTCACGCCTACATACACAAGGCTATTCAAAATTACACAGGTGAGGCTATGCTTGAAGCGTTCAGTTTGGATTGTTTACTTATTTTGCATGTGCAGGATCTTCTTTGCGCTTACACACCTGGATTTTCTGCAACGGGTCCCTTAATACAAGCTTGAGAAAACCCAATCCGTTGATCATATCATCATCACCATCAATTGTTTTTTATAGTGCAACGTTTCCGGTGCAACTCTCACCATGTCACAAACCTTTACAAATCTCCCGTAAATTTTGCCTTCTAGGTAGTGCGCACCAATAAAACAAGCATCATGATTGCAACCATCTTTGTCAGCTTGATTTGAGAGAGGCATCTCTTCCTAAATGCCGATAAACAAGCTCTCGCATCGTTATCAAGGTGCGCAAAACTTGACTTAATACATACTGTGACAGAACCTTAGAATGGAGTACTGAACCTTGTCCCTGAGCACTACAGTTACAGCGCATGACCCTTGCGGCCAGAATCTACTGCCCCACTAGGCTTTCAATGGCTACTCCGATATCTGTGATATATTCGGACCGCAGCGACGACTGAGTAAACTTGAATGTCCCCATAAGTGGGCATCATTTTCCCTTCTTCAGTCCGAGTTGGTCAGCCGTCTCGCACGATTGCCTGCATCCATAAAAACAGGCTTACTTACGTGGTCACCGCAGCATGTCGTTAATTTGCCAGTTTCAGTGTTTCATCCACCTCGACCGTCTTCGCTGTCCATTGGGTGAGCCAAACACTCGTTATGTTCCTGTGATCCATTTCTACCATTACATCCATCCACATTCGTTCAGGGCTCCTTAGATGTATCAGATAGTCCAACATTGCTAGGTAAACACGAGACAGACATGGCGACATTCGAACCAGCAAACTAGCAAACTCGTATTCTAACTTGAAGCCTTTATTCTTATTTGAGTTTTCAATTTGACTGCACTGCATAATGACTTGGAAGCACACGCGTCTTTATCGCTCTATGGTTCCGAATCCAAGTAGGTACCTATTCACATGATGTCTATTTTGTGGTTTAATGTTATCGTGTCAGCGTGGTTCTCCATGACTCGACCCCGATTTGACGACGCACTTGGAGAAATTCATATGCCTGACGGTAGACTTCATAACATGTTCAAAGGGTCAAAGATTGCGACCAATCGCAATGCATATATTGCCTTCTCTTCCAACAAAAAAGCTACTTAGCATATCGTCTCAAGTCAAAGCGCATCCATCTCACTGATGTCATTGAGCTCCTGCTAAAACAAAATCCCCCTTTATTCCATATCTTCACTTCTTCCTGGACGCCAGTCCTGTTCGGGTTTCTTATTTTATTTTAGTTTTTGAGTCCTAAAGCTTGTCGACAGATTCGTTCTTGGCCAGTCACAGAGTGCGTTTCCGTTTCACTGTATTTAAATTCTTATGAGAATAAGGAGGGGTCGATGTCTGCTGCATTTTGTTCTTTTGAGTCCACTGTCTCACTGTTCGGGAGATCTCTGACTAATTGTCTAGTACTCATCTAGTCCTACTACTTTGCCCCGTATACCCGTATACGGGTTGTGACGTCGATATTCAATCACTACCACGGACTACGGCATGTGCACACCACGTTCCCTTTTCCCCAAAAGTCTTGCGGGCTATGACTCGGACTTTGGAGACGACGAGTAAATTGGTGTTGTCATTATGGTACGACTTTCATTCTACGGGGCAATTTTGAATTCGAGCTATACCCAGAAGGCCCCGGAACTTGGACTATCATTTTACCCACTCGCGAGCATGAGTTACAGAATAGCACCACATTGTTTCCAATCTGCAAATCTATACAGGTTGGCCACGTAAACTTTGAACCCCACCTGCCTGGTATGTCCACATTTAATCTGTAATCCCAAAGAAACGAATTGCCTGGAGCCACACTCACCGGTACTACTGTTTACTACGTGGCTTGTCATCTCCAACCGCCACAATGTATCCTTCACAGAAGGAGGTTTTATTTACAAGCCATGACACGCTCAGGCACAGGGTCGGCAACACAGCAGAGCGAAAATGAATGAGCTGGTGAATAAACAAAACAAAACAAAAGCCAAAAATCGATGTTTGACTGAGGTTTGTTGGCTGCGTTGATATCCCTCCTATTAGAGGCAAGTGGGTGTAGTGGGGCATTTCTCATCGAGCGCCTATCGTTTCGCGGTTTGCTGTATGCAAGTGAAATTCGTGTCACTGGATAGTAGCCATCTAATATGACGAAGCGTTGGCTAATACACCGAGTGGGCGCACCGATGCTCTGTTGTGTTGGTCGTAAGAACTGGAGCTGTGGATATCAAGCGTGGAAGAAACTGAATATTCTGAGGATACTTACGAGTACCACAGGTCATCGATCACCCTTGGAGAGCCAAGCTATCGGGTTAGCCTGGGAGGCTTCTGTGATCGTTAAGTTCCGACAGACGGGCTGTTGGAGTAATGGAGTTTCTAAAGTCATTATGTGTCGTAAGTTGTTGGTCCAGAGTTACTACTGCAGTGATATTACCTAAATTTATCTAGACCAGTCTAGATTTCCGAGGCAGTTACCACCACGAAGACGAAGTAGACTATCAGTACCTCAGGGTCAATTCTTGTACTACTGTGAGTTATGTGCAGAGGCCCGACGGAAAACGGCTGCAGTGTACAAAAAGTAAAGTGGAAAACATAGTGTAGTAGGGGATCGTTTGTGGTTTATGTAAATACGGTACCGGAGTTGAGGTTCGGAGTGCTCGAAAGTGAGTGTATCAGCTTGTGCAATGCAGCTAACCGAGTTTTCTCAGTCCGTGGCCGGGTGGGATCCGATCACATTGCGATCATTGGATGCGCTTCCACGAGATGAGTAACGCTGGAGCAGGAAGCACTGGCTAGGCGGGGACAGTCTGGCTGCAGCCGTCCCACCAGGTCAAGTGGGGTCAGTGGAGTCGGTCACGGAGAGTGAATTGGCACGTGCAAACCTCTGAATGGCTCTGACGTCAAGTTTACCACGATTCTAGTCACTCCAACATGAAATATTCAATTCAGTCTTTCTAGACCTCCTGTCCTTCTTACACACACCATATCGTTCTCCAGGAAAAAGCATAGACACGAGCTTCAACGTCTTCCTGGTTCTGCTAAATTTGTGAGTATTTTCACCGCTTTTTGGAGCCTGATCACCTCATGTCGTACATATCCTAGGCATATTTCTTTTATTATATACTCACCCTCAACATCATATTAAAAATCCACTCTCATGGCAATCGAGCGCCCCTCTGAATTTTATCGCGAAAGAACACCCAGGCCATTGCCTTCTAGATTAACTATGAACAGAGACCTCAATGGCCTTGAAGTTTCCGAAAAAGGTATGTATGCATGTCTTCACTGTTGCCACCTCTCGTGACTTTGCGTGCTGGTTTAACGTGGAAATTTGTGGTCGTCCACGTGCCGCGTTAAACAAGATTTCCTCTTTTTTTCCATGAAAGTTTCTGACAATTTGGGCCTCTCTGAGCCTCTCTTTCCTTTATTCCCCCACTTGCATCCCTTCCTTTTTTTATTTTACCGGTCTGCTTTCTTCAAATGCCATGCTGAATTTTCTATCCTAGTTATCACCACTACTGTCGCTGATCCGTATAAGACTAACCTTGGTGTGTTCACCATTCTAGTGCCTTCTACCCTGTTCACCATTAACGTGATTCTCGTTTTTATCATTTTTCTCTCTCTTCAAAGGTTTTTATGATCCTGCCTTTGTCTTGCCGCCGTCAAACCCAGGTCCTCTAGGCGTGCAAACACACGATCTTGGAGAGCAAACTCACCTTTCGAGTCCAAAGTTCATGCTCGGTAATGGTCATCCGTCTAACATGCCTAATATACCCGTTTCTTCTTCATCTGCGTCCGATGTTAACCGGCCTCCTGGTCCACCTCGCCATTCTAACCAGCAGCGTCAGCAACATTTTCCTTCACGTCGATCTACCGTGAATCAGACGTCCCTGCAAACTCCAGCTGTTTTTTATCCGTCACCATCACCCCGTGTGCAGGACAATGCTCAGCAGCCAGCCACCAGAAGCTTGGCTCCTCCGCCTTTGTACCCAGTCAGATCGCCGCAGACCTATCAGACGACAGCGTCACCCTACAATCAGCCGAATAACTACGCTGGGCAATACACCATGTCCCCACAGCCTTCCGTGAACCTTGGCCCGGGTCCGCCTTCCTACCCGTGTTCTCCTGCATTTTATCATGGCGTTCTTGGCGCCATGGACTCTAGCATGATGTCGCAGGCTCCCCACATAAATTTTCGGTCCATGCCACCACACTCTCCCGTCTATCAATTCCAGAACCAGTCCTCTGATGGTGGTTCTAGTCAGTCTCCATTTTCTAGTAGATCTTCGCCATATTCTCTGCCCCTCGTCAATCCGTCCTCGCCTCCAGGGTCCCCTCTCACGTATCAACAGACTTCTGGTACACCGGCTGGCTCACAACATCCAAATTCTTACGGCGGCCATGCCAATCAATACCAGGCCATACGTTATGGCAGTCCATCAACGCCTTATTCGTACTCACCTCAAACGTTTTTGCCCTCGTCCTTTCAAGGTCAGTTTGCTCCATCGCCTTACTCTCAACATTATCGTCCGTCTTCAGAGGAGAGTATGGCAGCATGGTGGTACATGCCTCACGGTGGGCCAGTCCCTGCTTACAACGATAGTATGCAGATGCAGTATCAGCATCGCTATCCCTCGATAAACTATCCCCTTATGAGTCGCCCCGACATGGACCCACACTATCAACACCGCCCACATCCAGTTCCAGGTGCCACTCTCGATGTTTTAGGGAAGTATGTGGGGCAAACCAATCAACATCTACCACCGTCTTCCAGCAATGTCCACTACCGTGCTTCATCCTCTGCAGGTCGAGAGGGCGGTTCACCGGCTTCTTCGAGTAAGGCTGATCGTTCTGTCGCTTCATTACCGACAAAGTTGCAAAGCGATAGAGAGAGACCCCTTCTTCGTCGCCCATATCATCCTAATCCGCCATCACATCGATCTGCATGGGTCATGTGGGTGGGTAACGTCCCGGCAGATACGTCCCATGACGAATTTTGGCGTTTTCTTCACCAGCCTCCAGTTTCTTCGCCCTCTATCTCTACATCGGGTAAAATGTCTTCGAGTCAATTGGGTGATACTGGAATAACATCGATCTTCCTCATCGCTCGTTCGAACTGTGCTTTTGTCAATTGTGATTCGGAGGAGCATTTGCACGCCGCAATTGCACGATTCAATGGAGTTCCACTCAGGACGCACGATTCTCGATGTCCGAGATTAGTTTGTCGGGTCAGAAAGCCTGATGATGATCTTAGGGCTGGAGTAGGAGGGCAAAGGGGGATAGGTATGCACATGCGCTGGGTACAGGAACAGGTCCGTCGAACTCAAGAGACTGAAGATCCTACGTCGAGTGTCTCATGTAGCCCAATTGATGCTGTCGGCCAATTTTTAAGGCCTACCACCTCTTTATCATTGTCAAGTGATGAGGATCTTGGACGTAGTCAGGTGCGATTCAAATCATATGGGATGAAGACACAGTCGAGCACTGGGTCGTATGCATCGACGAATTCGAGTGTTTTATCGCGGTATTTTCCAAAGCGCTTTTTCATTCTCAAGTCATTATCTCAGGTGAGACAATTCAAGTATACCGTTAAAATAGCTCGCTGAAGGTTCATTTAGTCTGACCTGGACACTAGCGTTGAAGAAGGTTTATGGGCAACTCAAACACATAACGAGGGAATTCTTGATCAGGCATACCGCACGAGCCAAGAAGTGTACCTGATTTTCGGTGTGAACAAAAGTGGCGAGTTCTATGGTTACGCCAGGTACGTGCTTTGAAGGACCTTCTAAGACATATGACCCATATTTCGTCCCTGCAGAATGGTTAGTCGGATTTTGCAAGGAGAGCATAGAGTATCGTGGGCTGGACAAGCTGACTGTTCACCCTCGCCCCCAGTGTCGTCAGCACAAGGTCGTCGACAGTCGGTCACAGTCTCCGAAGAACATCCACTTGGTGGGCAAAAAATAAGTGCGAAGGGAAAAGAACGGATGTCAACGTATTTCTCTCCTACTGAACACAGGATGGTCGAAGGATCACCATTACCCCTATTGCCTTCCCAAACCACTCCTGGTCTTGGCATTGATAAGGGTGCTGTCAGTCTCGTTCCTGCTGTTCGCCCGCCTACCGTCACTGCTAGTGGGCGGACCCCTCGGTCAGCACCTGCTGAATTGGGTGCAACACGTCGTGAAGTTGCTCCTAAAGAGCCTATCACAAAGTTCAGCCTTAACGAGAAGGCGCGATCTCCTGCAGATGAATTCGCATTAGACAGGTCTGCCCCGATCCGCGCGTTGCGAGATAAGAAAGGGACTGATGAATCAATATCTGGGACGACATCATCTCTACAACCGGTGAAAGAAGAGAATAATGGTGGGGATGGCGAAGAAGAAAATGAGGTGAAGGAGAAGCGCCTCGGCAATTCGGAGCCAGATCAGGGAATCGTACAGCCAAAAGAAGGAGAGGTCCATGAAGCAATTTGGGGCGAGCCATTTAGAGTGGAATGGTTGTGCACTGAACGACTTCCATTCTACCGAACGCGACATATGAGGAATCCGTGGAACCATGACCGAGAAGTCAAGGTGTCTCGAGATGGGACTGAATTGGAGCCGGGGATCGGTCAACAACTTATAGATGAATGGCTGGCTCTTGCTCACACGGCCTCACAAGGAGAAAGGAGCCGCAATGCAGGCGGTTCAAGCAGGCGTGCGACGAAATCGACTCCTGCGATTCAGCCTGCGGTGACCTCGGGGGGGAGATGACGGCTTCCATGGCCATGACTCAGGCATTTTAAAGGTTACACCACATGGTAACAATGACAAGAATCGAACTTCATACACTCTATTCAAACTGCATAACACACACGTACATTGCATTCATTTTTACTTACATTCATTATTTCAATTCTCGACTTCCGATTACGACGACAGGAATACTTGTCATTCACGACACAAGAACTGTCATTTTATGGCGCCCCACGATTAGTTCTACTAAGCTTTGTTTTCTGTTTGCACATCCCGTTACGCCACCTGTTTATCGATTGATTTCCTCAAACCCGTTTTGTGCCCCTCATATAATGCAACAATAATAGGCATACACTTCCTTATTACTTATTGTCCTAGTATTGCTGGCTTTTATACACGTCCCGCCTGTGCTTGGGTCATTTATGGGCATGCACATTATAAATTCCGACCAATGATAGTCAAAGAGAAATGCGACTTTGCGTGCGTGCCGTGAACAGCCATTTATGCCACCATATGACTGACTGGTGAAAAGAATTTTTTGCAACCCACATTCCAGGATCCGACCACGAAACATGAGTCCTCAAAAGCCGTTCCAAAAGCCGCCTTCCTCGCTGTATCGTCCATTCAAATATCCACAAAAATTCTCTCAAGACCCCTTCCCCCACTTTCCTTATCCTTCCTATCGCATGTCAGAAAACGGCTTTTCAAGCCTACAGAAATATGCCCCACGTCACGTTTATCGGCCTTCCTTCTGAAATACTCGAGCAGATCCTATTCTCCTGTGATCCCATCGACGTCGCCTCATTCGCCCAGGTGTCTCGTTTATCTCGCGAGCTCGTGTACAATACCTCTGATGCTCACTTTTGGCGTGAGCTCTATCTCGCGCAGGCTCTTGACGATCCCAGGACTGCTGTCACACGTCTTGGGACAGCGAGACTGAATATAGATTGGAGAGGCGAACTGCAAAGGATTATCAGGGCGAGGACAGTCGTCAATAATATCGCTCTCTGCAGGCCTCATGAACGGTGCACCATAATTCAAACTTTGCTCGACATGGTGTGCAATGTCCGCCCGAGCCCCTATGCAGACAGCGATCAGATATCCGATAACATCGAGTGGGTCAAGGCACTACTGGGCGGCGGTTATTTCCTCCATCACCGTCGCTGGCAGATATCTTTCCAAGAGGAACAGCTCAGGGCTCATCTGCACACGTGCTTTGGGCTCACGCATCATGATACGACGCTGATGTCGAGGACAGAGTCCCGTGCGATCGTGTATAATCTACAACACTACGGACCGCAGAATGAGTATGGGCCATATATGATGGATGGGAGTGGAAGAGTAGACTGGGTGATCATGCAGGCCATTCATCACGTATTGTCTATGCATCTCTATGATGCCAATGAGGACGAGGAAGATGATTTCGAGTACGATATCTTTCCGATGAGTCTTCCCTATGTCCAGAGTATCATTCCTCGTGGCTTGAATCTCGATGAAGACGAAGATTGGGCAGACGTAGAAGGGTTGTGGCAGATAGCTTATTGTTTCATGGATCATCGTGACTTGCTGCGTAAGTCATATCTCATTCCACAAATCTCGTCGTTGACATTGTTCCTTTACTACTAGGCTTCAACAACTACGATGTATGTTCCTTTTGGGCCGCTTATTCTTACTTTTCAGTCGGCTGATTACCTCTGGTTTAGCAAGCAAATCAAGGCGAGCTGAATTATAGTGTCTTTGAGGGTGAATTTGAAGAAACGTATCGTACTGTGGACGTTTATTTTCGTGTTATCAATGTCGAGCCTGATCCCGCTCATCCAACCCGACCGGTGATAAATTACGTTGGTGAAATGGACGGCCACTTTACTGTCATGGGGTGGGTCAAACTTACACCTGATAATCAAATACGTTGGCACTTTGTACGTTTGTCTTGCACCACCTGCCGAGTCAGGCTTCATTAACATCCGTGGTACAGGTTGCAGGAGAGCACGGGCAATTTGTTTGGAGGTTGGTGGTGTTTGCGGCGTGTTTCGATGCCAGCCCTTGTTCCTTTTACTTTTACTAATGTTGGAGGTCAATCATATAGTGGAGATGCGATTCAAGTTGGTAACGTTCGCTCGCCTTTTGGCGTCTGCGGAGCATGGACAACTGTGTTTCACGATCCTTCGGATCCCATAGGTACGAGTCTCCGTCACTTTTTTAGAATTGACTATCGACAATGGTGGTTCTTGAAGGTCCCTTTTACATGCAAAGAAACTATTCATTTGACGATGATTATGGAATGCGAGAATGAGGACGCGTGTAGGAATCTTTTTTTTGGGAAACATATGCATTCCAATATGTTATGGTAACCTCCTGTAATGCTTTCATGCTAGAGTAGTATTCATGTATGCAAATTCTAAAGCTGGGCACTCGTCTAGGCATTTCCTGTGGAAAGGTGCTTATGACATGCGTGTGAAAGATGCCGTTATGGTATGTCACGGTAGAAACCCAGATCTGCCTTGGTGCAGACACCAACTCGATGCACAGCTGCGTTGCGTTTCACCACCATGTCTGATCAATCTCCCCCACCAAAGCCCAAGCCTGGTTCTCTGCGAGACAGGATTGCAGCTTTCGAAAACAAACAATCAGCACCAGCATCAGCTCCACCTCCTCCGCGCCCAAAGCCAGGTGGATTGCAATGGAAACCGAGAGCCCCATCACCACCGTCGTCGCCAGGATCATCGGCAGATCGTGCTCAGACACCTGAGAAAAAGACATCGGGGGCGGGCAGTGGTATGTCTGCATCTGATGCTAAGGAAAGCATCGGGATGGGAGGGACGTTGAAGGAAAGGATGGCTGCGCTTCAGGGGAGAGGTGGGTTTGGGGCCCCGGCACCTGTCATCCCCCCCAAGCCAACTGAGAAACCGAAGTGGAAGCCTCCTCCCGTTGTACAGTCGCCCCCCACTGATGAAGAAGATAAAGAGGTAACCGAGGATACCCGCGAAGCTTCCAGGTCTCCAGCCCCTGACGCGATTAACTCGTCTGAGGAGGATGTGAAATCTAGCTTTGATACTCAGGAAGACGTAACACATGAAGGGCCCGATGTAGACGCTGATCCTGAGGAAGAAGAAAGGCAGCGACGTGCTGCAATCGCAGCTCGTATAGCTCGTCTTGGAGGTGCTAGGGTTGGGATGGCGCCTCCCGCCTTTGGTATGAGACCAGCGACTAAGAAGGTGGAAACTCCCAAGGAAGAGATCGAGAAGGAAATTGACTCGACATCTTTGAAGAGCCAAGGCGTTGATTTCTCAGCTGATCGTAAGTTACTACTTTTAGTGGATTATTGGTTGCCTGACAACTATTTTATTTTTTACTAGAAGGACCTGTTGTAGATGCAGATCATCTTTCACGCGAAGTTCCCGCTGATGTGGTTCGAGGTGAGTATATTCTGGCGTCTGGCGTTTTAAGGGATGTCATGTAGATGTTGTTTCGACAGAGAATTCTGCTTCGCATGATAACTCGATTTCATCTTCATCGCTTTCTGTCGATCAACCTTCACCTTCACTCCAACCTGCTCGCGCTATGCCTGTTCCTACGGGTCCTCGCAGGGCTGCGCCTCCCAGGAAGAAAGCTGTGAAGTCGCCCTCTCCACAAGAGCAAGCACACACGATTCTCGATAAGGAAGAGACCAGTGTTAGTCCCGCCCAGATATCTAATGTCAGCGAAGATCCTGCACATACCCCTGCATCGATCAAGGATTTACTAGGTGGTGACGTGGAGAGCGAGATTGGTGTAGTGAATAAGAGTGTGGATGACCATTATCCCCTTTCAGATGCCGCTCTGTCCGTTCCTCCAAGTGTCCCTGCTCAGCAGGAAGAGCAGAAGCTCGTAATACCTGATGAGCCACTGGCACATTCCGAACAAACGGCAAATCAATCGCATGTCACTCATGACCTTGATCTGGCAGAGGAGCCTACTGATGTACCAGAGGCTACATATGATACAACTGCAGAGCTTGTTTCTGAGCCTGTTTCTGCAGAGGCAGAAGAAGATGAGGAGGATGAAGTGGCGCGTCGCAAGCGTGTAGCTGATAAACTTGCCCAAATGGGAGGATTCAACCTCTTTACTGGGCCACCTCCTGTTCCCCGCCGTGTCTCCGCCGATTCCATCCCTACCGAAGTTGATGCAGACACTGAAGCACATGAGGACGCGAAAGATGAGCCTGAGTTGGAGGAATCATCAGCGCCTCCTGTCGCACCCAGGCGTGAGAGCATCGAAATCGAAGAAGCTCACTCCTCATCCCCGGGATTGGAGGGGCGTACCAGCACCCAGGAAGGAATTGACACGGCCCAGGTTTCTTACCAGGACGCTGATGCTGGAGAACCTGAGTTCCATGAAGTAGGTTACGATGTAGAAGAGGAAGCTCAGGATGGTAAATATCCACAGTCTGCCTAATCTCGTTGTATCTTTACAGATTTTTGCGTTAATGTTATTTTATTTTTACCCAGATCTCAGACGGGAAGTCTCTGATCATGAAGTCGAGGACCAAGCGGAGCCTCTACAAGTGCGTAAAGAGGGCCAAGCTACACATAGACTGCGCTATGAAGATGATACACATATTGAACGCGATACTGATGAGCTCGAGGGTGAACAAGACACAGCCACGGATGACTATCACCATCATGACTCATATGATGGCAGGGAAAGTATATCGGGAAGAAACACAACTTATCTTGCCCAGCATATTCAGGAACCATATCAAGAGAACTTTAATTACGAACATACAACAATGGTTGACAGCGCAGGAGATACAGAAGAAGAAAGATATCAAAGGCACTACACAAATTCTGATGATGGCGAAATAAGCGCCGAGGACTATAAAGGGGATGTAGACGCTGAAGGCGATAATGGTGTTCCGACTTTTGACGACGACGACGACGACGACGACATGGATCCATCCCGTTTAACGCGTCGAGTTCCTCTACCACCTGTAAATTTGAACTCACGACCTGGTGTCATATCTCCTGGTCCAGGCTCTGCTAGAAGCCCAGCTTCGCCTCCTGTGTCTCCACCTCCTCCACGTATTGTCCAGCGTGCGATCGAGGTTGAGAATGAAGAAAGAGTGCGAGCAGAATCTCCTGATATACCTCCACGCCCTGTTCCACCTCCTTTCTCGCCCACAAAGAATGGTGCGTTATATTGATATACTCTGTAAAGCTTGTTCTTATCAACAAATCCAGTTCATGTTCAAAGAACATCGACTGCGTCCGAGGAAGAGGCACCTATCCCACCTCCACGACGATCTATGCCTCCACCACCTCGTCGTGCTAGCGTCAAGATTGCAACTGCTGAGCCCCAGGCGAGAGAAGCAATTGCTAGTCGCGCTTCACAGGTGTCACCCCCACCTCTAGCACGTCTACCACCTCCTATCGCGCCTTCCCCATTATTTCGGCAAGCGGCTACTGATAGGTTAACGTACGAAGACACTGAGGAGGGTGAGTTGGTGCATGTACACCGTCCACGTCTCTTTTAAGCTCAATTTTCCCTTAGCTGCCAGTGGGCGCTCAGTTCCTCAAAGTGCCTCTGATGATGCAGAACCTCAAACAGCTAATGAGACTAGTGAAGTAGATGCAGAACAAGCTCGCCGTCAAACCATCGCAGAGCGTATGGCTCGCCTTGGTGGTATCAGATTTGGTGCACCTATGCCTCCAATGGCTCGTCCTCCTCTTCCTCCTCCTCCTCCTCCAGTTTCCGCTCGCTCGGAGGATTCTACAATCGAACCTGAAGAAAGTGGTCAAAATGTTGTCGACAAAGAAGAAGAGGATGAGCTCGCACGAAAGCAAAGAATCGCAGTAAAACTCGCCGGGATGGGTGGTATGAGATTTGGTATGTTACCGCAAGCATTGGGTTCTGGGCCGAAGCCAGTTCTCGTCAGGCAGGAAGAGAGCGAGACTGAGGAGGCGTCATCCCAGTCTCCCCTTCCTGTTCCTGCCCCCCATCGAGCACTTCCACCCGCCAGGCCTCCGCCTGTAGTGAGGGAGTTAGATTCAGAACAAGAGAGTCGAGGAACTTCTGATGATGGTGTGAGAGTAGAAGCTGAAGACAGCGAAATGGAAGAGGTAAAAGTCGATTTCGAGGATGCGAACGATGAAGGTGAACAAGGGGTAGCCCCTCCACCAGTGCCTGGAAGAGAAGGCAGGCGCGCTTCGGGAGTCCCGAGAACAGATGTACTTCCTACGCCCCCGCCCAGAACGATGTCTAGGTCTCCTCCTGTGCCTAGTGGCCGCCCGCCAATTCCATCAATCCCGGCAGCGATATTCAATCGTCGCCCCAGCTTACAGATTCGTCGCCCTGGGTCAAGGAAGTCGTCTATCGACCATGTCCTTGAAAGTTCTCCTCCGGCTCCTCCCCCTCGTGCATTATCCCCTCCGGTGGGTGCATATCGGTCCCAATCGGAGTATGTGATGGTAGAAGCTCCTGAGAATATGGAAGTCGAAAATGCTCCACTCCCGCCACAACGCCCCCCTCGCGGACCTCCGCCTCGCTCAGCTCTTCCACCCCCTCCTCCACCTTCTGCAGTGGAACCTGACTCGGCAATGATGAGTTCTTCGCAATGGGTACTCCCTTCGATTCCTAGTGCCTCGCTTGATCTAGGCCTCGGTAGCAGCAATGAGTTCTCTGAAGAATCGTCGACTGACACCCCGCCTCCCCCGCCACGTTCCACAAGGCCAGTCTCGCGGCCATCGAGTCAGCTTCCTCCTGCTCATCCCCCTTCTGTTCAGAAAGCTGCGATAGAGGCACAGCTTTCTTCTGAAGATCTTATGGCAGTATGGGGAAAGGTTGGCGTGCACATATGCGAGGCTGCGACTATGCTTCATGAGAAGTCTAAAAAGTCCCTTATCGGTGATGGATCTTTTATGGGTTTCGTGATGGCAGTGCTTCATGGAGTACCCAATGCCATGCAACCCTCCGGTATGGACTTTGGACATATTGTCTATGCGCAGACCTCCTCCGCTGTACAGCGGCGGATGAGCGAGATCCTGCCTGGTGATATTATTGCTCTGTATGATGCGAAGTTTAAAGGGCATAAAGGTCTACAGACATACCACCAATCTGTGGGTGTTGGCGAGCCTTTGGTTGGTGTGATAAATGAGTTCGAGACAAAGAAGTCGAAGGTCAGGGTGTTCCAAGCAAACCAGCATGTTGGACAGCAGGTACGTTCTACGTTCAAGTCGCTAAATTCTTATTACTGAGTACATTTCCTTAAGACTGTTGAATCTGTCAGCTATCGCCTTGAAGATATGAAAAGCGGCCATGTAAAGGTTAGAACAAAACACACTTCTGCTGCCTTTGAATACTGATGAAATTATACAGATTTTCAGAGTACTCGAGTCTTGAATTATCCTGAACTATCGAAAACCCCACATTTTATTGTGTATAGATGCCTAAGTAAAACAATATGTTGTAAGCGCTTCACTCAGTGTAATATCAACCTAGGACACAAGCTAGGACACGATAATATTCAAATATATCAAATTTGTACATTGGTGGTTGTACAATGAACCAAATGGACAACAAAGCAGGCCTGGTGACGTTGTGTGGCCAGGTGGTATACAGAGGCGATTTACCATACAACGTCTGATAAAAATCAATAATTACTACTAGACATGATCCTGGGTATCCAGTGTTCAAGTCCATGATAACGATGGCCAGGGAGGCAGTAGCTGGTACTCACTGACAAGAGCTATATGCATTATTTAACAAGAGGTCGAACGCCAATACCGCTGTCTTTGAGGCTGGGAGTGTAGCTCTTTACTTCCTTCTCATATTCGGCTTATATGACAGTAGTAAGAAGTAGTTTCCAAGATAAAGAAGCGAGAACATACTTAGTGGTTTGTCTGATCTTGCTTTCTTGGATGGAGGATTTTCAGGAACAGTCACTGCAGGGGATGGATCAGGTGGGGGACGCTTGCCCCTTTTTTTCTGGGGAAAGAAATGGACTTAGCATGCAAGCTAAGCTAATGATGCAAGATGGACTCACAAAACGACTGTCGAACTCCCGCTTTCTAGTTGAAAGAATATGTGTGAGATCATGCAGCCCAAGGCATTGCAACGTAAACATTAGTACCTTGTAAGCGCCTCTTCCTGCTTCTTCTTATCTTCTTCGTCCTGCAGAAAATAAATGAAAGGACAAACAGTGGAGAGGCGCAACCAAGCTACCTTCTTGTTACGCTGAAATCGCTCTAGAAAAGAGCCGTCGTTAGAAAATACGTTAGTTGCCTTGGATTTAGGTGTATTGGGGTTTGATGGGACTGTCGATGGAGCTGGTGAGGCGTACCCGGAGCTTGGTTGTGGTGTTGGTGTATTGGACATGCTTGTGTACAAGTTTGAGGATTTCGGATCAGCGATTGAAAGGATATGAATCAGTTCGTGGTCAAAGACAAGTAGTGCTACCATCGGTGTGATCGTTAGCCAGAAGAAGATGCTTCAAACTCAGCGACCACTTATTTGCTCGACTTTGCCACCACATTTTCTCAGGTGGCTAGCCAAAATTCGCCAGAGAACTTACCACAGTTCACGATGCCGTCCACAACAAAGGTCAAAAAAAGAAAAAGCTCTGAAAAGAAACCAAAAAAGACTGTTTCCTCAAAATCAAAATCACCCGTAAAGAGTAAAGTAGTTCAGAAGGAAGCACCAGCACCTGAACCCAAGGCTGAATCGCCAGACGAATCAGATGCTTCAAGCGACGAGGAAGAAGGTGTAGACCCGGAAGGCATGGAGAAGCTGATCGAAATGCTCGGTGAGGATGGTTTGGACGAGTTTGACCAGGTTCAGCTTTCTGCTCTGGGTGGAGAGGACGAAGATGAGTGGGAGTCGGACGAGGAAGGCGAAGGAGGCCAAAAACAAGGTGATAGCGAGGAAGAGGTTGTGGAGATTGAGGGTGAGGAGGGTGAAAGCGATAAAAATGAGGGAGAAGGAGATGAAGAGAGCGAAGAAGAGGTAGAGGTAGAAGAAGACAGTGAAAAGGAGAATCGCCCTGCAGACGAAAAAAATGTCAAAGAGGATGATGGAGTTGCCCTGGATGACCTTGAAGATGTTTCTGTAGATGAAGATGCGGTTCCCACACAAAAAGTTGAGGTCGATAACAAGGTGAGTTTCTATAATTCTTGTTTTCCGTCGGAATATACAAATCATACATCAGCTTGCACTTGAACGAATTCGAAACCTGATACAACTCGATCCATCTCTTCCTTGGACCGAGACATTAGCTGTGACATACCCAGAAAGTATTGATGTTGATGTTAACGACGACCTAAATCGCGAACTCGCTTTGTACGTTCCTTGTTTTTTCACTAATGCAGCTTAAGGGAACTCACGAAGACAAAAGCTATAAACAGGCTTTGCACAGCGCAGACGCTGCTCGCGCACTTGCTAGTAAAAACAAGCTGCCTTTCACTCGTCCTTCAGATTATTTTGCTGAGATGGTGAAATCCGATTCTCACATGGAACGCATACGACAGCGACTATTAGATGAAAGTGCAGGCATCAAGAAGAGCGAAGATAAAAGGAAAGAACGTGAAGGCAAGAAGTTTGGTAAACAGGTACAGATGGAGAAACTCAAGGAGAGGGGGAAAAATAAAAAGGATATGGAAGACAGAATCCAGAATCTGAAGCGCAGTACGTGCATTTGCTCTGAATTATGATTAGGATCATGCTGACATGGATTTTAGAACGCAAAGGCGCATTGGACAATGCTCAAGCCGATGGGGACGCCTTTGATGTTGCTGTGGAAGATGCTATCACTGACCGCCCGGCTAAGCGCAGCAAGGGACCTGGTGGGAAAAACATATCTCGTCAAAGCCGGGATCAAAAGTTCGGCTTCGGTGGGAAGGGGCGTCGGTCAAAGCAAAATACTAAAGCATCTACAGATAACTTTGATGCTGGGTCTGCAGGTAGAAGAGGACACGGGGCGACGAGAGGCGGGCCAGGAGGCAGTCGGGGTGGAGGCAACAAACGGCTAGGTAAAAGTAGACGAATGACTGCACGCAGCAAAAAGTAGTGTATTTCCTGCCTTGCTTCATATATACTAATTATTGTATCTTATATTTGCCAACTTTGGGCCAGCATGTCATCAAAGGTGGTAAAGCTTTACTGTAAGTTGTTTATTGATATTACTTACAATACATCAATTGCAGGCATACGGTATATTTGACTGAAGGCAGTGTCAAATTGTGATTTTTCTGGGAATATTGCAGGCAAATGTAATCCTCGACCTTTTCGGGATTAACGTCTATGAGCGCTCCTCTGTGTGTGTATTTTCCCGCAGTCTTCACGGCGTTTACGACTACAGACATACCGATACCGCTTTCCCCACTTGTTATCTCTGAGCTTTGAGTTCGCCGCACGCCGGGATAGCCTATCATGGTTCGTAATATTCCCAAACTAAATATGCTCAATGCGGCATCGTAGTCCATCGTTATCAAATCTTTACGCCGGACTACTAAGAGTCTGTTTTAGGCCTCAATTCGGATAAGTCCTGAAGAGACTTTGCTATGATCTGTTGGGAAAAGCTCCAGTGCTGTAGGCTTTCCCTGACCTTTATTTGCCTTACTATCGTTGGACACCTGATGCAACCGGTAAGAGATATGCACTTGGGCCTCCAGAGGCTCAACGATCACTGTACAGGTAGCTAGAAAATTGTCAGATGTAGAATATAGTATAGAGAATAAAATTGTGAAAGAATTTAGTGAATAGCTTATCTGTAGCAACAACGACAGACCTGACACTATGCTCTTGAACTCCAGAAGTGAGGGAAAGATGGCCAGATTTGACCAGATCTCGTGCTGGGAATATTGCCTTTCTAGAAAACGTCAATAGGTAGGCCCCTACAATGCCAGATACTTACTGAGCTGATTGGGGCCTCAAAGTCTGGAGAAACGAAAACAATGATGGAGTCGTGACTAGGCGACCGAAACAGGCAATCACACACCAAGATAATCAATCAAGGACCGCTAGCTCCGCTTCGGTACGTACCGCACATACCACCAGCGTCAGGACTTGGTGTGACCTGGCGGAATTTGACTTGTAAGCTCCGCCTGATTTGGTCTGTGAGTGCCGCTGTGACCCAGTGTGACCAGAAATTGCAGAACCATTCCAAAACATGTGTCGTCTTTTCGGTTTTGTTCCGCTGCTCCAATGCTTCAAGTTCTTGCTTATTTTTCTACATAGGCAGCTAGAAAACTAAAAATTATATCTACTGGTCAAGTTCCGACAGTCTAAAGCTCAACGACTGGTGAGTTATTCAACTTCTCCCCAGACCAATTGCACCTATTGTCCAACGATAGTAGTACTTATGCTCAACGTTTTTGGTTCTATAGTTCTTACGCCCTGTAGCAAACGTCGAAGCCTCGGCCCGAGGGAAGGCTGCGATAAGCTGTTTTTGAATCTAATATGTACTTATGTAGCTGAGGAGTGCCGGTATCTAATTGCTGGGCATACCTATTGACACCCGACTGGTGTAGTCTTTCTCTTGTCACGAGTGTCAAATTTTGTTGACTGTAGACTGAAATTTATGCAGGAGTACGATCTGCGGATCGCCGTACAAGCAGCAGTCCAGTTAAGGAAGAACCATCCTGGAGTAGAACCTGGTGTTTTCTTTTTCGAGAAGGAAATGGCGTAGGTATGGGTAGCACCATGGAGCTTTGTGACGAACGGCCAAGTCTTACACTGGGATAGGTATCTGGCTACGAATTACTTCATTGATACTCCGGGAGGTCTGTGATGCAGTGGGGTATTTATGTTTTACGCAGCATTTCTAGGCAAGACATCGACACGAGGTAACAATTATCGCTCCAGTTCAGTTCTATATCTGTGTTTTTTGTATTGCAGTGCCTGTCAGAAGCTGTTGGAGGACTGACACGTTTCAATGCTCCTCAACGTGTTTGTGCTTCTCGGTGATGAGATGAAGTTACCTGACCGTTGCGCGTCAAAAAATCGTCACGAGGTCTGTATGCTCCATTTGAACGTCTTCTACATGGCTACCTCAAGGATAGGTTTAGCCCCTAAGTCGATATATGAGAACGTTGGTTTTGTCGTACTTTTTGCCTTTTCCACGAGTCAGTTTATTTCAGATGGCTCTTGGTACATTTGGATAACAAATAACTACAGTGTATTCGGCCCTGTCGTCGGATAGCGCACTTCCCTCGGTCAAATTGGAGCATATCTACGCCTTCTTTCCAGTGCTTCTGAGCCTCGGGCGCGAGACCTGCCTTCGAAAGTGCATTCTCTTACGAAACTGAATACAACCTCCTAGATAATCACCATATCTTGATCATGGGGTATTTTAATATCGTGAAGACCGGAAATTCTTCACGGCCTCGTACGGGCACAATGGGAGACACCAAATATAGTATCAAGGCAGATAATCAGAATTTGGGTTAAGGCGTTTGGGTTACCCGCATAAATACGGTTTGGAGATGGGCTAAGGGCATATCGGGTTACAATCTGCTTGCATCTTTACTAAAGACCCATCTCATTCCATATGCCTGTACCTGCAGAGACCACTTACAATGGAAAGCCGCTTAGCCAGCTATTCGCTGAGGAAAGGAGCGGCTGGTCAGGGTAATTTCTCATATCTTCTCGATAAATGGCCCAGTTCGTCTTAACAAGGATTAGATACGTAGAATGGGAAAAATATCCGGAAAAGAAAGCTCTAGCTAGAGAGATACTGAAGACTCACACTTTTCCACACCCCCCTGGTGAGTAACAGACAACTTTCCTTTTATATATATTTGAAGCGCCAAACGTACTCATGGTGTCGATGCTCTACATAATGCAGAATTCCAGTTTGTACCTTTGCCTGACACCAACCCTGTCCTCATCGGATACCGCTGGAAAGATTACCACAAGGCACTCGGTCTGCAATCCATCGTCAACTACAGTTGGGAGGTCGTGCAGAAGGAAAAGCCTGACCTTATTCACCTGCTCGACTTTCCTTACAATGGAGAGACTACCCGTGATCAGCTACTAGAAGGCAAAATCACTGACAATATGCATCACTTGTTAGTCACCACGGGGTCCTGTCGGGCAAGGATGCTGATACCATAACCGATAGCGTTCGCAACCACGGAGGTGTTCCTGCTATTGAGGAAGACGCATTTGAACTTGAAATAGGCGGTCTCGTGAATAACCCTGTCAAGTTGAGTTTGAAAGACCTCAAGGATCCTTCCAAATTCCCGTATGTATTGCGTATATCTTTCGTATAAAAGCTACTCATGAATATACGAATATTTTAGCCAGTGTGAAGTAACTGTTACCCTGCAATGCAGTGGTACACGTCGCATTGAGCAAATCAGGGAGTACCCTGGCGATGGTGATGAACTGATTAACGCTCCTTGGGGTGAAGGTGCTATGTTTGTCGCAATCCCTGCCTCCGTATGTACGGCTGCTAATATACTTTACTTTTCTCAAGCGGGACAGCTGTTTATCGTGGTGTTCCCCTGAAAAAGGTTCTCAAAAGAGCTTGTGGTGGAGTGCTTCCAGAATGCCAGCATCTCGAGTTCATTGGTGGTGACACCTATTTCAAGTGAGAAAGCACATTCGCTAGACATCGTCATCTGTTTTGGCTAACGGTTCCACGTAGAAAAGGGAATGTCTTCAATTATGCGGTTTCTGTACCATACCGTAAGGTCCGCATGAATGAAGAGGTCATCCTCGCATGGGAAATGAATGGGAAACCGCTGCCCAAAATTCACGGTGCTCCTCTCCGTCTAGTTGTTACAGGATACATTGGTGCAAGGAGCTGCAAATGGGTCTACCAGATTAATGCACTCGCGGAACCAAGCATGGGCCCTGTTCAAAGCCAAGAATATCTGTACTACACGTCGCAGGTGATCTCAATAACCATCATTTGCTTTTATGCTGGAATATTTACGGTGACGAATAGCTCGGCAAGCAAAATGTGAAATATTCCAACGGCTTTTCAATCCAGCAAATGCCTGTTTCGTATGTGCCCTGATACCCTTTATTTGCTGAGCATTGACATCTTTTTATTGGATGTTACAGGAGTGCCATTATATCCCCAGTCGATAAATCTGTGATCGTTCATGATGGTTCCATTGAGCTCAAAGGTTGGGGGTATAGCGGAGGAGGGAATTGGGTAGAGCGTGTCGAGGTTTCTCCAGACGGGTAATGTTTACCCACAAATCCAAGCTGGTTGCTCTGACGATCGCTTACAGGGGCCACGTTTGGTACGCTGTTCAGCCGGAAGACATGACTGAAAAGGTCAGTAGCGAACCTTTAAATGAAAATAATTATTTCTGAACGCCGTTGCGATGAAATAGCACTATCACGCATGGAGGTTGTGGAAAATCAAACTGCCCGTTGACGCTGAAGGCTGGCTTGAGTTCTGCGTCCGTACCTGGGACTCCTCTAACAATACCGAGCCTACCTTCGTGCGCTCTGCATGGAAGTGCGTTCCTCATCACCTTTCTTTTGCAGTAATAGGTTGATGCTGATTTATCATGGCGTTCTTATCAAATATAGTTGGGATCTCCATGTCACATCGTCTTGCCACCGTATCAAGATATACAGCGTTAACAAAACAAGACCCGCGACGGCCAAGCGCTTGGAAGAGCTCAGGGCGAGGGGAGAAAGTATTGAGCCACTTACAAGGCCATTAGAATACACGATTGAAGGTCAAGACGAATATCTCACCGCCTGCAAGAACTATCCTAGGGAACCTCTCAGCTAAAAAGTATTCTTTCGATAAAATTTGCAAGATAAAACTGGGTGGTGTAAATAGTGATGTATAAAATCGTGTACGAATTGAATTTTGCTATTGAAGCTTAATGAAGGTCCCTGTAAATTGTTAGACTTATTCATGAACTCGCCAGGCGCAACTCGGCGCTTATTCATGGACTGAGCCACCCACTTCACAAATAATGCATGCCCATCTGCGGGAATTTTCCGGGAGTCCCCGACTAGATTTCCGCAAACATATGAACATCGGTAAGCACTGTGATCGTCAATATGGCATCGACAACCTCGAATATCGTTTTCGACGATATATTCAACATCAATGCCATAGATAAGGAGGGCAAAAAATTTGATCGAGGTCTGCCTTTTACATCACCCTATTCTCTTGCTCAATGACCATCGTGGCCTGGCTTTTGAGCAGTTTCTAGACTGTATGCACACTCAAAAAATTATGATATGGATCTGACCTTGGACTATAACATCGAACTTTTCCCACTTGCCAAAGATCAAAACTTCGCTCTCGCTCTTGCTACATCTTTATCGCGTGATGGTGGAGGAGCTGGAGCCGGAGCTGACGGTGCAGATGATTCGGAAGGGAAAGAGAGAGATCTCTGGAGACCGGATGCCAAGCGGCAAGGAGGACTAGATGATGATTATGGCTATGTTATGTACGGCAAGGTGAAATTTAGTGCGAAAACGTATCCTCTTGATTTTGAATCTGACTTTGTTGATAGGTGTACAAATTTGACGGTGGAACAGCGGAAGTGGTGTACGCATTTCATCGAGCGCGTCTCTCAATTATGTGTTGATGATTTATTTGTGATAGGACCGCATATGCGTCATTCGGTGGCCTGCTTATGTCTCTTACAGGATCATTCCGGCATATGACGAACGTTGTTCTTGGGGATCCAGTTTATCTACTTATGAGAAAGTAATCTCGACTTGTCTTGGTATAAAAAAACTCAACAATAAGTGATACGTGCATATATCTTGTTAACTCATGATTCTCAGTCAAAAATTGGCAAGTAAAGTGGATTGGGCTAGTGAGTAAGTCGCCTTCAAAGGTCCAGTTCATGATTCGTCGTCGGTATTCATCCTTTCACAGACTCTTATTGATTTTCTTAAGGGTTACAATATTTATAGGTCATATAATGCAGGCTATGAGTGAAGAGGCGAAGACTGTTCACTACTCTTCGTCCGATACATCATTCAGAGACGCCCCTTATCTTGCTCCATGTTCGGTATTTCCTTAAAACCCGTTTTATTATTCAGCGCGTGTCCAACCAGTTACCAACTAGTTAGGTAACAGTTTCATCCCTTCGCCCCTCTAGGCTGCTCTTGGAATCAGTCTTTCCCTCGATGATCGGGATGCGACCATATTGCTACGAGAGCATATATCACAGTCACCTCCGGCTCCCACCGCTATGAACAATTCTATGTTCTCAGGAAGAAGCTCTGAGGATGCTAGTTTTAAGATCGTGACCATCCATTTATCATTGCTTGCCCCTGCCTCCGTATTGACTCCAAGAACGTTGATCAGTACGACGAGCCAAGGCGTTCATACATCTTTAATAATGAACTCTATCTCTAGCTCATCTGCAGTCAAGTCCGACGTTAGCCGAGCGCAAAAAGCTGCTCAGAGCTCTAATAGCAGTTTTGGCGCGGCACTTTTCCGCAGATGCTGGGTCTGTTTTGAGCCTGTCCTTTCTGGAGAATTAGGTCAACTTATAATTATGAATACATGGCAAACTTCACGTTATCCAGTAAATTTTGCCGACGTAAGGACTACAAGATAGCTCCCATCAGAAATAAGACAAGAAAACGCACATATTTCTGTATATGTATGATGAATGGATCTTGGCATATTCTTCTATCCTCTCAGCCACGCAGTTTTCCACTTTGCCTCCCAAAATTCAAAACACTCGTCTTCATCAAAGGCAGGAGGTTTGCGTGTACATAGGAGGGTACGCAACAAGAAATTTCCGCTGACGAGTGGGCCACCAATAACCGCGGAGCAGACTAATATGTTGAGATTGGCCCAATGGGTTATTCACCGGTAATCTGCCATTGCTACACGTCTCGTTCATTTGTACCACATGAGAGTAATATGCAGCTGTTTGGAGTGCGTCTCTAAAACCGCTGTGACAATACTGCCTATTTTCTAAAGCATATTTCGCAGACTTCGCGCTAGTTACCAATGCTAGCAACTCATCGTCATACGAAACTAGCTCCAGAATGATCGAATGGGGCTCCCCGGTCCATATTCTGCACATTCTACACCTCCCGCTTTAATCTTTCATATATTACGCTCAGACTCATTTTTCACGGTGAGCAGACTACTTTCAAAGTGCCTAGCTCAAATTGATACCGACAAGGACTATCCTCCTTTCTGCGTACTATATCATCGACGACCGTGCAAACTTTCGCTAAAAGCGTTCTCTGTGGCCCGAAATTATGAGATCTCTTCATGGTTATTTTACTGCCAATTCATATTCGAGGTTTGTTTCGAAGTTTATATTATGTCCACACACAGAGTGTTCTAATAAGTTATTGCTGTTGTAGCATCTTAGCTATTGAGCGCTGGTACAATGGGAAAGCAGTTCACTGTGCTGTGATCACCGCAAATATGCTCATGTCCACCGTGCAGTAACAGCTGTTCTCGGCTCAAATTGAGAAGCAACGGTCTTCTGAGGAGTGTTATTTTCCAACTGTGGACGTAGAAGCTTGTCAAGTCCTGAAATGAATGGCATACTTTTTCACACTACTGTATTCCCAAGCCATATAGTTGGCTCGCCTTGCTTCAAGTTCATGACGGACAAGACTATTGAAGGCATGTGATCAGTTAGGAATGTGAGTTCAAACTGTCAATAAACCCCTGTACGTATGATGTAGTATCGTGATTTACTTTTCCGTGTTGCCCAATGATTCTGAACATCATTCCCCAGGGCTTCTTCTCGTCTTGCTCCCGAATTATGTACGGGCGTTCCGTGACTTCCATTCAATGGAGCATACTGAAAAGAAGGTAGGGTGGGTCTCATGCCTCCCCCATTTCCAGGTGTAGTTAGTGCTAAATCAGTATATACTGTATTTAAAGGGGACTGCCAACGCCTCTAGTCCAATATTCTCAACTGCAAAACCCACCCACCCTACTACCCGCCCATAACCACACTATCACAATGTCTATCGAGAACGGATTCTACCTCATCTTCAGCTCGGGGCCCGGCGTTGGCAAACTCGTCATCTCGCCAACCGCCCATCCCACCTTGCCTCCTTACCACTTCATCCGAGGTTCTCTCACCAAAGATCAGAGAGAGATCGTAAGTAGCAACTCTATGGCCGCTTTAAGGTCTCTGAGCCGTTGTTCATGATCTTATTCTGCATGTGTATCATAGTTCAAAGTGACACAAGTCGAAGGTTCATACTTGTACACAATTCACTCTACCACGCGCCCCAATGCCGCGCTCCACATCCAGGTATGTTTTATGCATCTTACATACAGTGTCATATCCTGCCATGATCAAAAGGCTCCTGATTGTTTCCCATTTATAGGGCGAGTTAATTGTTGCATCTGAAGCCCTGGGATCAGCCACCTCCTTTTCGATTGAGCCGGCTGGTGAGGGAGTACACAGGTAAGTACTATACCAGGGTTAGATTATTGGACGCCCATCCTATGGCATGGCAATAAGGACTCACTGACGGTACACTATTGTGTAGGATTCACGTTCCTGCCCAAGATTCTGTTGCCACAATCTTATCCCTTAAAGATAAGGTGAGGTTGTTCATTCACATGCATCCCATGACACGTACAATCCTGAAAGAGGACACTAATGCTGACTACATACACTTTCTTTTTGTATAGCTCCATGTGGCTAGTGCGGACGGTACTCCTTCTCAGTTATTCACGTTCCAGAGACTTCTTTCGGAGTGAAAAGTGAAAGTATAATGAACCTTGAACGCGAATAGCGATTTTGTGTAAAATTTTATATGGATATGTACTTGTAGAGAAGAGCGAATATGAATGCAGACTTGTACCAATTCCTGGACATTGACAAATGTCTCTGGGTTATCTAAGTATTATTTATTCAAGTTGCGAAACCACACCATCGAGGTAGTCAACTCCCCCTAGTAGTTCTTACACTTGCTATGTTTCTGTTTCTGCACTATTGAACGTTACATAGTAAAGAATACGGCAACCATGGTGTTGACACCTTAGGCAGAACTTTGAGGAGGCTCTCAGGGTCTTTCAGATGGGGGCTACAGAGGCTGGAGGGATGGTGGCTCTCTGAGACCTGTTTCTCGCGACATAAAAACCCCAGTAGCAGTGGGATTACTATACTTGGCATATAGCCAAAATCGCTGCCAAGAGCCTCTTCAGAGGTTTAATCTATAATTTTTAAAATATTGACACTCCTTGTGCACTCCCTGAAAGCCTCTTTTGTACTATTTAATAAATCTAAGTGAAACTACAATAGATGTTAGTTTAAGGTAATCTCTAATAAATGTAATGCAACATACCTCAGCCGCTGCCTAAGAGGCTATAGAAATGACTGAGGTATTCCTATACTAAACCCCCTACTGCTTATAGTCGGAGGTGCTATTTGCTACAGTATAATGACTCCTAGGAGTACAATTGTGCTCCTAGGAGAACAATGGTGACTCCATGGAGTGGTGGCTATGCTCCATGGAGAACAATGGCTGCTTTAGCAGAGACCGGGCTTATCCAGTTTTGTCACTCCCACTCGAGTGCAACCGTAGTCCCATAGCTTTAGAGAATTTCCAGTGTTTTTTGTGAGTGAGGGGTTTAGTGAGAATGTCGGCAACCATATCTCCTGTAGGAACATATCTGATTACTGCCCCTCCCTTTGATACTAAGTCATCTTGGATAAAATAATATTTTCATTGAATATGTTTTGTGCGAGCACGGAACTGTGGATCTTGTGTAAGGATTATAGCTGCTTGATTGTCACAGTGCAATGTTGTAGGTCCATTTTGAGCATGTCCAATTTCTTCAAAAAATGTCCAAAGCCATGCAAGGTGTTGTCCAGCATTGCTCAATTCATTGTACTCTGACTCTGTGGAGGATAAAGCTACCATGCTTTGTCTTTTGCTTGTCCAGGAGATTGCTCCTCGGATGGTGATAAAAACAAAGCCTGATGTTGATTGAGATGTGTCTGGGTCTCCAGACCAATCTGCATCCGAATATCCATAGAAATCCATGTCCATGGAGACATCTGTGCCATCATAATGTAGTTCCATGTCCCTGGTTGCATTCAGATATTGGAGGACACATTTTGCAGCTTCCCAATGATGGCTCCTTGGAGCTGAGCTATGTCTGCTTAGTATTCCAACAATGTAGGCAATGTCTGGTTCTGAGCATGGCATACATGAGGGAGCCTACAATTGAGAGGTATGACACTTGACACTCTTTAATATGCATCTTGTGTTGCACAATATCTTCCCCTGGAGCATTTGCAAGGAGTTTTGATCCATGGGCCATTGGTGTCCATACTGGTTTGCAGTTTTTCATTCCAGTACACTCCAGAACTGTGTCAATGTATTGGCGTTGCAATAGGGAGATTGTTTTGTTTGAACAATCACGTCGGATTTCTATTCCAAGGATGTATTTCGCTTCTCCAAGGTCCCGCATTTTGAATATGGATTCAAGTTTGGCTTTTTTGATATCCATGAATTTTTAGGATGAAGCTCCTAGGAGAAAGTCATCTATATAGACAATAACAAAGCATATTTGTTTGTTGTACCAGAATTGTTACGCACGAAGTGCTTAACAAAGTCTGAGGGTTTGTTGAGGTTTTATAAAGAGACTTATCCGAAGACAAGTTCGAGAACATGGAGCAGGTGCGGCGGGGAGTATCTGTGGAGTGGGAGGTGGTATCGGGTCGCCGCCTGCTGCAAACTCTTCAAAGTCGTTTTCGTCGTAGAGGTTTTCTATGGTTACTGGGGGATCGTGTTGTGTTATGGGCAGTAGCTGTGGGTGGCTTCCTGCGTAGTACTGTAGCCAACGTGTTCTGGCTTCGTAGAAAGCGTCTGCTTGTTCTCTGGTGTGGAGTCGGGTTACGTCTGGTTGGGGAAAGGGAGGTGGTGCTGCTATCCTTTCTTGTCGGGATGACGTCAGTGGGGTTGCTGTTTGTGGGTTGTCTGAGCTTCCTCTTGCTCTCTGGGATCTGGTTGTTGGTTGTTGCGACGTCTTGTCGACTTTTTCTTCCCAAGACTAAATAGGTGGGACTTCTGGTTAGAATACAATTCTTTTGTTACGCACAAAGTGCTTAACAAAGTCTGAGGGTTCGTCGAGGTTTTATAAAGAGACTTATCCGAAGACAAGTTCGAGAACATAGTTCTGAGTGGAGGTCTTCCAATGAGAGTTGGTCTTCTTCTGAGTAGAAGTCTGATCTTAGGAGTCTAACTTTGTAAGCGTAAACTGCGTAGAATCGTATTGGAGTATACTACTACTGTTACATGGTATTTATAATGGAAAGGAATCGGTGATAGGAGTTAGGTCCTATCTAGGGCAGGTCCGTCCGTTGAGGACTAAGTACTATAATAGGTACTGTGAATGCGAGAGGAACGGAAGTGTACATGAAGAAAATGAGTCATTGGTCTGATGGTATAACCGATGAGTAAAAAAAAATGGATAGTCCTTAAATGTCCAATAGAGATCGTAACAGGAATACATAGAGACATATTTCTGTATTTAGTCTTGTAAAACCGAGCTCCTGGAGCTTGCGATCAAAGGTTTTGTTCCATGTACGACCAGCTTGTTTTAATCCATAGATGTATTTTTTCAACCTCCAGCAGTATCCAGGTTGGATAGGAACACCCCCTGGAGGAAGCATGTACAGTTCTTCTTCAAGTTCTCCATTGAGATAAGCTGTGGATACGTCCATTTGATCAAGTTCTAGGTTGTACTTTGCTGCCAGGGCTAGAATAATTTGGATTGACTCTAAGTTTGCAACCAGAGCAAAAACTTCCTGGTAATCAATTCCCTCCCTTTGAGTAAAACCTTGTGCAACAATCCGGAGTTTGTATCTCTCAATGTTTCCATTTTGATCAAAATTGATCCGGAACACAGGTTTTGATGTGATGGGTTTTACTCCCTTCGGAAGTGGAACAGTGTCATATACTGCATTAGTATTGAGACTTAGGAGTTCCTCCTCCAAGGAAGGTCTGTGTTAGATGGACCGGTACTTGCTATTCCAGCAAATAATGTCTCCTCTGTATCAGATGTTTCTTCATGAACCTCAGGAGTGTTAGGTCTCTCCATGGAGTTGTCATGCTGCTCTTTTCAAGACTGTTCCTCATCTAGAGTCCTTTGATAATCTCAGTTTTTGTCTGCAGGACGAGTCTGGCGACTGCTTCTGCGTACTCCTAGGACTTCAGCAGGCATGACTGCTCTTTTAGGAACTTGTGCAGGTACTCCAGAGAGTAGACACATTTGTGTGTGTGTTGCCCCACTCACTCCTGAAGGTGTTGAATGTCTCCTTGGAGGTGTTGTATGCCTTCCAGAAGCTAATCTGATGGACAGGCGGTCTAGCTGTATGTTGAGGAGCTGTCCTCCCACTGACTGTGACTCTACTTTGGCTTTCTGTTCTGAAGATTGCCAGTGTTCAGGTCTTGGTTGTAGAGACTGTTGTGGAGGGTGTCTCAGCTGATCAGGTGCTCTCACTGCTCTCGGAACATCTTTATGCTGATATGGTTCTATTACTTGTAGAACATCTCCTTGTAGATGCGGTTCCATTTGTAATTCATTTGGATCCCGGATCCCAGGGTCAGGATCATCCTCCTCCAATGTATTTTGGTCTGGATAGTGAGCATTCTCTGGAATGAGTCCCTCCCACTGATCTGTGCTAGTGTCTGTGTTCCACGGAGCAGTGTCGTCCTTTTGTACCTTTCCGGATTCATTGAATATGACATGCCGACAGGAAAACACAGTTCGTTTTTCAGTGTCTAGGAGTTTGTAGGCTTGCTTTCCATCTTTCCATGTGTGTAGCCAATCATTATGGCTTTGCGCCCCTTGGAGTAAAACTTCCCTTGCCTTTTGTCTTTCGGAATCAAGGCATATGCTTGGCATCCGAAAGGGCGAAATAAAGTTGGATCAACTCTCCTTTTAAACAGTATTTCATATGGGGTCTTTCCATGGAGTCCTGATGCTGGGCTGCGTGCTGTGATATATGCAGCTGTTTGCATGGCATCTACCCAAAATGACTTTGGGAGCTTGGGATCATGGAGCATAGTGGTTGCTAATGTAGCCAATGTCTGATTCATGCGTTCTGCAATGCCATTTTGTTCCAGAGTATCTGCAGCTGTAGTTTCTTGGATGACACCATTTCCTTAGAGTTGATTTTGATTTTTGAATGCATTGCCAGTATATTCTCCTCCCCCATTGCTCTGGAGGAATTCTGTGTACAGTGGAGTGAAGTTTTCTTCTCCCAAATGAGTTCGGAAGAATGTTTGGATATCTTCTTTCCATTGCTTGTATCATTCCAGTGCTTTACTTTTGTGTTTTAGGAAATATATCCATGGAAATTTGGAGAAATTATCTACAATGATAATCCAGTATCAAAAACCCTCTCTGGAGGTTGGTTTGATTGGTCCTCCAACATCTGTGTGCACAATTTATATGGGGTGCTTGGCTCAGTTTCCTCCAGTGGGCTTGAAAGGTAATTTCTTCATCTTTCCTAAAGCACAAGGTTCACAGAACTCCGGGGTTCTGGTAATGGTGTCTATGTCCTGGAGCTGTCCTTTTGTAACCATTCATTGCAAGCGGTCCATTCCAATGTGTCCCATTCTCCTGTACAATAAATTTACATCTACTGCTGCAAAAGCTGACTCTGGGTTGATTTTGGGTTTTGCTTGGATGTGATAAAGTCCTCGCTTGTGTAAGGCAGTGAGGATAAGTTCCTTCTTTTTTTTGAACTTCACAAGCATTTGACCCTGCTAGAAAATGTGTTGATAACCCCGTCTTAGACAATTTGTGGACAGAGTGAAGTTTGGCACAAGTAAGACGTTTGACAGTGCAATATTGTAGTCCTTTTTGCCAACAGTTGCTTGTAGGATTACTGTTCCAATTCCAATGGCATTTACAGAGGATTCATCCCCAAAACTGATTGTCCTTGGAGGATTCAGAACATGGTATGTTCCTGACTCAAACCAGGAGCAGTGAGGGACTATGTGAGATGTTGCTCCGGAGTCAATGATGATTGTTGTTTTGGTCTTATCGGGTTCCGACACAAGGTAAGCTTGAATGTGTTTAGCAAGAGGCTTGGAAATATGTACAATGCAATATGACTCTGTTCCTCCTCAGAGTCAGATCCAGATGATTGCTCCGCTGTATTTGCCTTTTCCTTCTCTTTTCCTTTATCCTTGTGTCTTTCCTTTCCCTTCTTCTTTTGACCTTTTCCAGCTGACTGAAGTGTTCAACACTCCAAGGTGTTGTGTGATTTGGCTTTGTGGAAGTCACACCACTTCTCCTTGAGCTTGAGTGCTGATTCAGAGTGCTGATTCGGAACCTCCAGGGGCCTTCCCTGACTGTCATGCAACTTCTGCAGTGATCCGGATCTCAACTGCATCCAAGGTAAGTTTATTTTCTTCAATCGTGTTGATTACTGATGACTGAAATATTTGCCATTCAGGAGTGCATGGGAGAGATTGGAGAAGAGCGAAGGCCATGAGTTTGGTATCAACTCCTAGTTTCATTCCGGAGAGGTGTGAATCAATTGTCCGGATTTTTGCAATGTGGTCCTGGATAGGTGATGTCCCATCCCAGGACAATTTGGTGAGTTGCTGGAATGAATAGAAGGCCGAGGCAATGTTGGACATTTGATGGAGTGAGACAAGTTTATCAAATAACTCCTTGGAGCTGGTGAGGTCTCCAGTCCTCTGTGACAACCAAGAGTCAGTTACCCTGGCGCACAACTAGAACAAACTATAAAGGTAGTGATGAGGGAGTGGTTATGTTACGATAACACATTTTTCGGACCTTTATTTTTCATTCTCCTCTTTAACCTTTTACTGTAGTTTTCACACACTGTGCCATACAGCACTTTCCCTTTTGTTCAAACTCCTCTTTCTCGCGCTGCGCTACCTTTTTCTTATTTTAGCTACAACTCTCTCATGCAGTGGAGCTGGTCACACGGGCTGTGCCCTCTGACATCATCAGCCACTACTTTTATCGACTGTACAGTACATAAGTACAAATACTCTGTATTAGTATATATACCCCAATAGATCCAGGAGACTCCTCAGCAAGTCCTCCTGTTGTATGCTCACAACTAACTTGTTGAAACCTAAGGGGTGATCCCTTTCTCATATCTCCACTCTTTGCTTGTTCTAGTTGTGCGCCAGAGTAACCAGCTCTTGGTCGTTACAGGTTACCCCTTAGGTAGGACCGAGTTAGTTGTGGGTATACAACAGGAGGACTCACTGAGGAGTCTCCTTGATCTATTGGGGCTTATATACTGTTTACAGGTTTGTTTGTACATATGTACTATACAGTTGCTAGAGGCAGTGGCTGATGATGTCATAGGGCCTAGCCCATATTGACAAAACCAGATAAACCCGGTCTCTGCCAAAGCAGCCATTGTTCTCCATGGAGCATAGCCACCACTCCATGGAGTAACCATTGTTCTCCTAGGAGTCATTATACTGTAGCAAGTAGCACCTCCGACTATAAGTAGTAGGGGGTTTAGTATAGGAATACCTCAGTCGTTTCTATAGCCTCTCGGGCAGCGGCTGAGGTATGTTACATTACATTTATTAGAGATCACCTTAAACTAGCATCTATTGTAGTTTCACTTAGGTAAATAATAAAGTCGTTTCTATAGCCTCTCAGGCAGCGGCTGAGTTTCACTTAGTTTTATTATGGATCCCATTGTGTTGTGATAGAAACCGCGATCTTGATTCCGATCTCCGCTAATGCCTTAGGTTGAACATTGAAGTCGTCGGTTTAGTTATACTTCCAACTTTTTTTTATCATACAATAGTGTTGAATCTGTTACGGTTCGCCGCTTTGCTCACAAATGCTGAAGTCTGACTGAATGAAGTACAGTATTGTCATCATGCATCCGAGTTGTAGGAAGCTCAGTATGTCTTTTTGTGCTGAAATGGTGAATATCACGCTACACAGGAAGGGAATCGGTATTTCCCTCCCAGACCTTCTAGATATCAAATCTGCTCCGATCCAAAATTTTATCAAGTCTTTTTGCTCGGTTCCAGGGTCGACGACACGTCAGTTGAACAGCACAAAGCCCAATTACTCCAGAGAGACACAATTCTCGTTAACTGCAAATTAAGAAGCTGGAGAAAGTCCTAATGGGATGACAGCCTTTTCAAGTTACTCTACTCTCAGGCCACTGCACCGTACATTCGGTATGCATCACTTGAAGTTCGTGACGGATGGCGCCATCTTCTCTGTTTCTCCCGGATGGACCTGCCCTTGTATTACTTCATTATTGGCTTTTCCAAGAATAATCTGAAAGAAAGATCAACGACATCGACATCGCTCTTCCCACTTAAACAGAATTTGGTACCCATCTTACCCCCGCGATGGATCTAATCACCCCTTAGATATGGCATTGGGACCGTTGACTTGGAATTTGGTGTTAGTCTTCGCTCGGCGTGAGTTTATTTCTTTACTCGGTACGGTGGTACTACTGACTTCTAGCTTCTATAACATCAGCCATTGAGCATGTGAATGATCTTGCGATTTTTACGTTCCAGACCCCGGTCGCAACACATAATAACCATAGGAGACTACGTCAATCAAGTAGCTAATCTTGGTCCGACGTTGCTGTTGGCGCATGGTGTACATGTCTACTCATGACGCAAACGTGTATGAACGGTGGCCCAACAACTTGGGGACCTATCAGTATCATCATTTGGCAAGCTGCTATCATCAACTTCTTTGTTCAGACCTGAGGAACGAGTCCATTGATGCCTAGGCTCTCAGGCCCTGTCCTTACGTCGTTTGAAGTTGGTCTATTACGCGTCATGCCCTTTTCATTGACACCATCTCACTCCCACACGCGCAATGCCCAAACGGTAATCTGGTCATTCAAACACGGGCATCTATTCCATCAATATGTAACCGTTAGGAATGACCTCCTTCGCGCTGAGACTGAAAGTTTCTCAGGAACAGTCGGGGTGTAAAGCCTTTCGTGCCACGCGTCATCATTACATGCTATTATGTATGGCAAGAAGCTGTGTGCGTGCTTTTGTGCATTAACGGCGAGTGCTTACTCCATTGAATGACCTAGCTAAGCAATTTTATTCCTCTTTAGATCCTCGGCCCAGCACCAACGTTCCATTGATGATTATCCTATTCGGCTCTGCTCTAGGTACGCAAGATAGGGGCACGTTCAAAGACGTGAGTTCCTTACAGTAATTCTCATCGTTAGCCTCCGGCGGAGGGTCAAATCTCTCCAACTTTGGGACGTAGAAGCCACGCTATCCCCCAAGTCATAGGTATACCTGACATGTAACATAGACCACCAGATGCCACATGGTGGCACATGCGAGGTACTCCTCCCTGACTAGACCTAAACTTCACTCTCAAAAAATTATACTTTGATGACGCCTTCTATAACTTCCATGGATCTCTCCGGGAAACACTGAACGGGCGGGGAGGAAACCTTGTATCCGTTTTGAACTTCTACAGCATATAGCAAGGGCCGACCCCAGCTGAAGACAAAGTATAAAGAGGACAACGACCCAGCTCTAGTCCGACAACCCAAACTTCCCACACATCTATCTCACCTATCCAACCTTTTTATCACAATGACATCCATTCCTGACGGCACCTTTCAAATCTTCAGCGCTGACCTGAAAGTCGGCCACCTCGACATCTCTCTTATAGCTCCCAGCATTTTCCCCCCTTACTTTTTCGTTATAGGCTCTCACAGGAAGGATCTGAATGAGCAGGTCAGTCAACGATCTCATGAGCGCTCTCGCATTCTCTAGCCCTTTCTCATTAAACCCTTCTATTTCATGTCATAATTTTCTGTGCGTTAGTTCAAGGTTATCAGTGATGCAAGCACTGGGTTGTACAAAATCTACTCTACCTCCCGCCCCAAAGCTGCATTCCATGTGCAAGTGCGTTATTCTTGTAGCTTGTCCCGCGATGAAATATGCATTTCTTATCACACTCATTTTGCATTTCTATGTTCTAGGGCGGCTTGATTGTGTTGTCTGAAGCCGAAGGCGCCGCAGACTCATTTTCTATCGAGCCTGCTGGTGAAGGAGTGTACAAGTAAGCAATTTCTCAACAAGGGACAGGGCTGTTCAACTGTCGAACCTGCCGTGCCTCCTCTTGAAATGTCTTCACTGACCGCCCGATCTATTCAGAATTCATGTCCCTAACGAAGACTTGGTCGCCACGATTGAGAACGCCGGAGAAGATGTGGTAAGTCGCCTATATGCTTTTGATGCGCAGTATACAGAATCCAAATAATATATATTACTTACTACTCTTTTTTCTCGTGGTATAGCTCCGCGTAGCCCCCGCAAATGGAACCGACTCTCAGTTGTTCTCGTTCGGGAAGTGAACGATCTTGAACCATGGTTTGTGTGCGGACTCTTTTGTCAATTGTAACAGTGAAAGAATGAAATGTGAATGTATAAAATTACAACAAGAAGTGTATCATTAGGGCAGACAATCGTCAGCCATGAGCGTTGCACTGGAGTATATGTATCGTTCGTCGCGGACCTTCAATTGACCATAAACGGTGCCGCGACGACTCCGACCACGACCATGTTAGCTTGACTCATCATGATGATCACAACATACCAATGCCGAATCAAACTCGTTGAAGCAGCACACATGATGCTGATAATCAAAAGTACTTTTTGCGCAAGTATATCATTAGGAGGCTTTTTCAGCAAATCCAGTACTTCTCGTCAAAACACTGTACACTCACTCCCTCGACGCTCTCTTCAACATTCTATAATCAATGTTCAACATCGGCCCAACTTCCCAGCGCAGCCATGTCGCCCCTATACCTTACCACATACGTTAAATTTGGAGCTTGTCTTGTAAATGGAAGAGTCACGACCAAAGCATCAAGATGGCAATGTGGGGTGTAGGTGACCGGGAACACTGAACTTAGGTCCATTGAAAGCTTGGCCATCAGCCCGAGATCAATGGGTAGAGTGCAAGACTGCAATAGGAAAATTAGAGACTTCGAGCGCAGAGAGTAGGTGTTGTCGCGTATTGCACTCCTGTCCTTCCTTTGTATTGCTACTTCACAGAATAGCTCAATTCGATTTGAACCACTTAATGTGCAGCCCCCTTCCAAACGACAAAGCATATCATCTCAGAGGCGAACGGGAATGCAAATACAGGCTCGCTGAGGGTTTAGAATGCATCAAAGAGAGCTATTCGGATATTGAGAGGAAAGCGGGTAAGTGCTAGTTGGTACTCTTGAACCTCGGGGGCTGCAGCAGCGAGTACACCATGGAGCAGCACACATCTATCTGGTTGCCAACCGATCAGGTCTTTAAGGTTGATGGCCATGCCATGGTCCTCAATACGTAGGTCCTATCGACATCAAGTCATTTGTCACAGCAGCACCAACGTGTTGACGTCCTTACGTGAATCGACGATAGTATTGCGCTTTTATTACTTGCTGCATAAAATAGACCCTCTCAGGTCTGCAACCACCTGATCATTTGATCGACAAAACTATAAAGCTTGGCATCCACTCCATCAACATTTAGTTATGGGAATAAGTTTGTATGCATCTGTCATATAGGGCGGAATAGTGAGTGTTTCAACGCCGATATCTCTTTAGGTGGGGACTATTGGGTTATGGTAAGGCTTTACACGTTGTTAGGGGTCCCTTCCATCCTACTGCGTATGGAAAGGACCCGAAGTTATGTACGTGCTTTTGCATGTTGATGACGAATGTTTGGAGTACCTTACCACGAAATCACCATTCCTTTCTAGACTAGGTTTGTTATTCGGTTCTTCTCCAAATCGACAAGGCAAGAAAGAAAGGAAGTATGTTCAGGGTATGTTCCATTTCAGTCGTCCTTATACCTAGTCTGAGTACTTTTCTCTGTGTACATACAAGCTATGTCATCCCCAGGTCACCGAGGTGATCACGGATGAACCCACAAGTTCGCGATGTGTCGAGTAGGCCACCACAATGCTCTGTGGCACGGGTACAGGGAAAACTGTAACCACAACCATAACCCGCTACACTTCTTTTCATCTCTCCCTCACAAAAAGCCGTACCCCATTCTCCAAGTTTCCCCGTTTGATTTACACGTCATTATAATGACCTTCCTGTTAGAAAACGCGAGTCGACGAAGACAAGTGTCGTACGAAGGGAAAGTATGGTGCGGGACACCATACTAGGAAAGTGTAGTAGTAGTATGGCCCGTGCGTTTTGATGGGGCAATTTACCCCCTTAGTTATACTTCCGTTCGAGTTTAAAAACCTTCGTAGCAACAATTGCCCACCTCAGAGCTTTGCCCACGAAGTCTGAGCATTTGGTTTATATTAGATATCTTTGACTTCCGTGACTTCCATTCAACGGAGTCTTCTGAGGGAGTATCTCAGGGGAAGGACATCTTCTGCCCATTTCAAGTTGTCCTACCCAAGCACCCATCCGGGTGGAATGTATATAAGGAGGGTTGTGCCTCAGCTTTAATTCAACAACCCAAACTCCCAACCCATCTATCTCACCTATCCAACTCGTCCACCCGATTTTTATTATTATCATGACCTCTATCCCCAATGGAACCTACCAAATTTCTTGAACCCATCAGCAGGCCACCTTGACATCCCTCTGGTGGCCCCTCTCATCTTTCCGCCCTTTTACTTCGTCATAGGCTCTCACCGCAAGGATCTGAAAGAGCAGGTAAGTGAACACAACCCCAAGCCTTTGCGTTCCCTGAGGCCTGATATTTTCTCATACTCCCCTCTCATTGCTTGTTGTGGCTTCGTGCATTAGTTCAAAGTGATCCGCGATACGTCCACCGGGTTGTACAAGTTCTACTCTACCTCTCACCTGACAAAACCGGATAAACCCGGTCTCTGCCAAAGCAGCCATTGTTCTCCATGGAGCATAGCCACCACTCCATGGAGTCACCACTGTTCTCCTAGGAGTCATTATACTATAGCGAGTAGCACCTCTGGCTATAAGTAGTAGGGGGTTTAGTATAGGAATACCTCAGTTGTTTCTATAGCCTCTTGGGCAGCGGCTGAGGTATGTTACATTACATTTATTAGAGATCACCTTAAACTAACATCCATTGTAGTTTCACATAGGTAAATAATAAAGTTGTTTCTATAGCCTCTTGGGCAGCGGCTGAGTTTCACATAGTTTTATTAATTTCTGCTGTTATCCTTTTGGATTTCAGCACATCCTTTAAGGGGTCTAGGGGTAATCCCTTCAGAAATTGTAACCTGAATGTGTATTCATCTGGGTACTACACCATGCAATTTGCACAGCACTGCAACTCGTTTAAGAATGCCAATGCACCCTTATTACAGGAGTATCTCACTGCGTGGAAGGTGTCTGTTGCCTTCTGTGCAGTTGTCTCCGTGATGAAATGTTTATATAGTCCGCAGACAATGTCTGGGAATGTCCAGTGACATTGCCTGCATTCTGGGGATTTGACTTCTTTGTCAATCCAGAGGGCCGCTAGACCATCTGTGCATGTGCCCAGAAAGTCTATACATTCCCTGTCAGGGCCTATCACCTTGCAGACTCACATCCAGCATAGTACTGCTCAGATCCAGGTGTCAAACACCTCAGTATTGTCTTGGCACGTGTACTTGTCAAGGGCTGAGACCTTTATTCCCTTAACTCTACCAAGCTCATTCTGGATTGTCCAACCCCCTCTTCTATGAGTTGTTGGTACCTCTCCATAATGTGCCTTTTATAATCAGCCCGCCTGATTACTTGGGCATAGCCCGGATTGGTCACTGGTGTATCATTTCAATACGGCCCTCAACTCCCCTGTCTGTTACAATGATATGAGTCATTGTCATCGTTGGATTCATCACCATCTCCTCCTGGAGGTGGCAATGGTCCTGGAGGAGGCAGGAAGCATCCTTTGCTTTCATACCTTTGAGGATGATGGTCTCCATCTCTGGGATGATACCCTCTGTTTTCTCACAGACCCCTGTTGGGGTCTTGCGCTCGAGCATCCAGGAAATATGGTTGTCCATATTCTTGTGTGACCATACCAGCAGCATGAGCACAAACTTGAACTCCCTATAAGACGGCTGTACTGCTGCTTTCATGTTCAGATGTATAAGTCTGCAGACAATAGAAGTGACCATAACATAGATGGGGCATGTACATGATGCAGTGAATATGAAAATGAAAGCAACGCACTATATTGCATACTGAAAAATTCCCTCCAATCTGAGCCACAGGAGGCTTTCAAGTCGACACTGTCATTGGTGGAAGCAAGAAGGATAATTTCAGACCGACTAATTTCCAAGCTTGAAATAGACTTGCACAATATGCCAAGGACATGCACTTTACATACATTATTATACAACTGGGGCCTACAGTCAGGACTGGACAAACATGTGCTCAGTGATCTGCCCGGTCATCTGGCGAGCCTGAGTTAACCAGCTCAGTCTCAGTCTCAGATTCCGAGTTCGTGTTATCATCTCCTGGATGATACAACTTGTAGTCAACACCGACAGGTTCGGGTTCCCCAGGCTTCAAAGTTTCTGGATAATATTCTTTAATATGCCAATCAATAGCTCGTTTTGCTAAATCCAGATCATCTTTATGAGGGGTGTCTGTCACCGAGTTCACCAAAAGCTGCAGGCTTGCTGCATGTCTAACCTAAACAATTTTACTTTGGAAGCGAAGGTAGCCTGATCATATGAACAATCACGAGCTTGCTGTTTAAAGCCATTATGACATGGTTACTCGTGAGGCTTCCAGGCTCTAACTGCCAACACTGCCTGTAAAAGCTCCAGGCAAGCAAAGTTCCCTGGCGCCACCTTGATGTTTCCATCCAAACACACTAGCTTATGCTTAGCAGGACATGGCTTCACCAATGCAGACTGAAAGCTGATAATAATTGGGCAGTCATCAAATTCAAGGACATGGCTTGTGTGAATGTTACCAAGAAGAAGATGTGCTCTATGTATCTTCACAAGGGCCTGAATAAAAGAGTTACTGATGATAAATATTGTAACAACCAAGAGTTAGTTACTCTGGCGCACACAAGAACACACTATAAGGGTAGTGAGAATGGGGAGTGGTTACCCCTTAGGCTGCAGAGAGTTTGTTGGTTAACAACAGGAGGACTCACTGAGCAGTCTCCTTGATCTATTGGGGTATTTATACTAATACAGAGTGTTTGTACCTATGTACTGTACAGTTGATAAAAGTAGTGGCTGATGATGTTAGAGGGCACAGCCCGTGTGATAAGCTCCACTGTACAGTTGATAAAAGCAGTGGCTGATGATGTTAGAGGGCACAGCCCATGTGATCAGCTCCACTGTGTGAGAGACTTTTGTGTCTAAAAGAAGAATAAAGGCAGTGTCGCACAAGAAAGTGGAGTTAGAACAAAAAAGGAAAGTGCCGCATGGCACGGAGTGTTAACTATAGTAAAAGGTTAAGGTGGAGAATGAAAATTAAAGGAAAGGTCCGAAAATTGTGTTATCATAACAAATATTAGGCAAGGCATCAACAACTCATACAAAGTTGAACATACCAAAAATCACTCCAGATTACCGGTGATTTGCAAGTTAAAGCTCGAGTTGAAGAGCCTATTTGTGACTGGGACTCGACACAGAGGTTTCTGAGAGATTTGAGCGGTGTACTAAGATGAGGACCACAATACTGCATCAAAATGCATGCTACATCTGGTGCTTTCCCTTCTTTGCCACTACTGAAGTAACCATAGAATTGAGAAACTATGTTGCCCTGCAAGCATTGTAACCGTTCTTGATATATGCGTGCTTCCCGTCTCAATGTGTAACAATCTGGAAATGGATGATCATCTTTCATGTCGCGCTTGCAAAGGGAAAGCTTGCAGACAACATCCAACGGTGTTTCGTCTTGGTTATTGGAAAGTTCACCTCGGTAAACAAGGTATTTTCCACTTGAAAATGTTTGGTTGATGGTCAGAAGATGCAGACAGGGGCTGTGGATCTTGCCGAGCTTGTTAAAGGACTATTTCCGAGGGATGGTAGCTGATTTCGCTGTCAGGAAGCTTGAAAGTGAGGGTAGCCATTTTGCATGAACATGACTGCTAGTAGTGAGTGTTTCTAAACGATGAAAGTAGTTGAGGTGTGGCTCGCTTAATGCTCCGATGTTTTGGCTGACACATTTCATTCTTTCTTTCTCTGTATATTTTGCCCCATATGAGTTCGCCAATGCACACATGAATTCCCCCACTACTTTGAGCACTAGATGGCATCCTAAACATATGGCAGGGAGCCTGCGAGAAAATCCAAGATACTGGTTTTGTCACACTTCAAGCTTCAGCTTCTGTTATGCTGGATACTAATCAACAGTTTCATCTCGTCCATTCCATGGTTTTCTTGATAACTTGGGGCGTCAGTCATGCACCAGCAGGATTGTAATGTGCGGCACCACTCTTCTTTCTTGTATGGTTCTTATTGTTTTTTTTGCAAGGGTTTAATAGTGGGATTGTGTTTAGGTCCTCATTCCTACACTTTGTTATCCCCTTTGCCTAGAAACTCCAATAATCATGGCAACTCAGCCCGTCAAATTATCAAGCGTTGTAAATTGCAGCCTTCCCCCTATTCCAGGTATTTACAACATCAGTAAAAGTTGAACTTACTTTTTTGATCTTAATCGAGCTTAATTTCCATTTAAGACAACTAAAGACACAATATTTTCCAAGTACAAAGCCCTCCGTCAAGATCAACCAATGAGGTTGCTGCTCTGGATTTGAGTTTATGGCTATCCAAATTTGAGCTTATAACCGTCTGGATTCAAGCTTATGGCTGTCTTGACAAGGCCTTAAGATGACTTGGAAATCCATTAAAGGACTGTTAAAACACTTATAAGGCACTTCAAGGAGAGACAAAGCATGAAAACAGTTCATTATAAGACAATTTCAAGGCATAGTAATTAAGCATAGCAAGATAATTAAAGAATAAGTAAGAGTAAAGCAGGGGGAAAAAACAAAACAATCCAGTCCAAATGAGCATATAGTGTCATGTAATGACTCAGAAAACAATCATTAGTGGACAGAAATGTATAATGGATGCGTCAGGGAGAGTTGCTAATCATCAGCTTAATTGCATATGGACCATCAGATCCTAGCAGCAGCACACTGATATCTGTGATTGTAATTGCAATATCAGCCATCAGCAACGAGAAATGAGAATGAGGAATGTAACCTTAGACATCAACAAGGCAAGCATGAGGATCTTCAGAGTCATTGTCCACAGAAGAGGACACTGCACTTTTAGGAATCCTTGCAAACACTTTGGCTTTTTGTACAATGTCTTCAATAGAGTCCTGTTTGAGTTTCTGAATGGATGAGCAATAATAGTGGGTCGCTTGTCCCCAGTTAGTATCAGAGAATAATGCATGACTAGCGGTCTCCTTCCCGGTTGATTTATTCAGCTTGGGGATGGGCTTTATAAGTGCCTTTGAAGATGCCTTCCCCTCATTTGCGGTACCATTACTGCCCTCTGAGTTTTCATCCCACATGATTTGTTTTTTTGCCCACATTGTGAAAATACGCTCGACCTAAAATAAAATAAAAGATTATCAAAGTGCCAAAGAGTGTTACAATTGACGTACCAGTACCTACTTACACTTCACTTTTTGTACTTTTACTTTTACTTTTTCCAAGTCACATAACCAGTCATGTGACCATTAAACAGTGTCTAGGCTCATCATGTGACAGGTCACATGTTAGACATCGGACTTTAAACTTTATTTACAACTGTACAGTACCTCATGTATTTTAGTATATATAGTGGAGCAATACATAGAGGGACTTAGCGAGTCCTCTTCTAGTGTCTACCAACATTAGTATGGCAAGTTCCCTCTCATATTGAGTTGTACACTTCCCTTTTCTCCATTGAGCTGTTGTTGTGGTTGTGCTCCAGTGCCCCAAGACTGTGCCTTGTTGGTGTTGTCACAAAGAGTGCATATATTACTTACAGCAGCAGCAGACAAGGCCAGAGCCCCTACAGGAGGGAACTTCTGAATATCAGATGAATTCACTGGAACACCAGCTGCTCTCAATGCTTTGACCTCCACAGCACCGGATATAGAATTAAGGTGTGATGCAAATGTCTGTATGATGAACGTTGAGCGAAACAATCCTCGGTGTTCCTACATTTCCATCAGTTATGGAGAAAATTTCAGAACAATTTGAGATCAGACTCACTGAAGCACTATCCCCTACATCTTCGTAGAAAAAAGCAAAGTCTTCAATCATGCTTTAAGAAAACAATTGGCAGTTGATGTATGTGTCGAAGCTAGAATCAGGGTCAGATGCAAAGAAGTGCTCAACAATTATAGCAGCTGCTGAACCAAAGCTACCGCACCATTCAGAAACCCGTTGGCCAAGCTAAAATAAGAGAAAATGAGTGAATATATAAGTCATTGAAATGGCAAGAGCTTACTATACAATATACGGGGCTATTGGGGGTAATTGTGTATGGAATGTTTGGGAAGATGATATCCCAGATGGCTTGCATGGCTGGAATGGCCTTCGAGTCCTCAATGCTCCATGGATTTTTCTGAGATGCTGCCCATTTTTCATATGTGGGTACAAACACGCTGCGCCAGCGGCCACCTTCAAGACAGCCTTCAGGTAAATTGGCATTCCTAGCTTTTGCAATAGTTTCGGTCTTTGCACACTTTACAGGGAAAACATCAGTTGTCTTCTCAATCTTCACAGAAGAATCCTGCTAATGTTTATCAGCGTTAAACAGATGGGAAAAAAAGTTTACTGAGCTTAATCCACATTTTTCCCCTACTAATGCATAATCTCTTTCATCTGTCTCAAGTTCGTCCTCTAGACCTCCCACTTGGTACTGCAAAGCTGCCTCTGTATCCTGTGAGTCTCTGGAAATGGGGCCTTTTCGCACAGACACTGGCACTGAGGTACAGGAACTATGTGTTGTTTTATTGAAGAAGCTTGACACAGAAGAGCCTTTTTCACTGAGACTTGAGATGCCGTGTAGGCCTTTTTTAGACTCCTTTTCCAACATAATGACCTTTGAACACCATGATTTAATGCCAGAGAGCTTGGAATTTGGTGGCTCTATGGATTTTGTAGGCCTTAAGTTTTGGTAGAAGAGCAGCATGATTTCAGTGAGGTAGAGCATATTGTTGTTGCGGCGGTAATAGTGATCGGTGATTGTGGTGATAAGCTTCAGGAAGAAACTGACTTTGCATGTGGCTTTTAGCCACCAGCTTGAGCCACCACCAGTTTTATAGCCGCAACCTCCATGTTGCTTTGAGCACCTGGTGCAGCTAGCTGCTTTTGCAACACTGTAACAGCTGTTCTCCCACTCATAGTTACCTTCAAATTTTTTCTTTGACCCTTTCCTTCCTCGTCGCTGGAATCAATTTCAATCACCTTGCTTCTTTGGGTGCAAGGTAAGGCAGTTTCTCTTTCATCCATAAGTTCTGAGCCTGCATGATCTGAGTCAGAACCTGCAGCCTGGGATTGTTCATCTGGTGTCGACCTGAGCTCCATCTTGTTTTTCTGAAGCTCAAATGGCCTGTAGTGCTGAGGCTGAGATGACTCAAGGTAGTCATAATTTGGAACCTGCGAAGATTTGATATCGTCGTAGTTTGGTTCCTGTGACTGAATGACTCCTTGACGCTGGGATGGTTCATCATCATAGAGGTCTGCTACAGCATCTCCATCCTCACTGGCTGTAACTGATCTTCCTCTCTCTTCCTCACTATCAGGTACAGCCCTCATGCTATTCATGCAATGAACTAAGTGGCGCTGAGAGAGTGGGGGCATTGTCAATGAAGCCTCCCCATCCTCAAGCACCTGCTTATCTTCAATTGCTGCCACCGCTGCAAGTCCTGCTCGCACCCCTTGTTCAACTTGCTCCAACGTAAGTTCTTCTTTCTTCTTTGCTGCTGCGATCTCAGCCTTTGTACGCCTTTTGCGTTGCAGTTCTAGCAAAACTTTGCCAGGATGTTGGCTAGCATTTTTTGCGCGAGTAGTCGGGCGACTCATTTGAAGATCAAAGGAGTTGTGGAGCAGTTAACAGGGGGGATATTGAACAATGAGGTGGATCAAGGTAAGTGTGACAAAAAAAATTTATGCTTATTTTGAGACTCAATTCTGAGTCTTGACGCACGATCCCAAGCCGCATAGCAGTTAATTGCTCATTCACACACTTTCATGGGCTATAATGGCTCCAGTCCCTCGTATTCAGCATGTTTGGCGCCCTCAAAGGATACAGACCATCCCATGTAAAATCCAGCAATGCAAACACTGGTTCCGGAATGCCTCAGGCCTTAAGAAACACATGCATACCTTTCACAAGAACACTCAACTCTTTTGCCTGCCCCAATTGCCCACCCACACGCCAGATGTACTGATGGACGTAGACAGAGGCGAAATAAACAATAATCAAAGTGTTCCAGATGGAAACGAGCGAGAACTACCTAGTTAGTCTGAGTACAAATACCACAGATATTTTAATGGTAAGTCCCTCAAAGTTTCCTGGCGACATTTGGCTAAATCACAGAACAGGCAAGCCATGTGATGAGAACGGCCAATACCTACCACCAAACACTCCACCAACTATTTCTCAATGCCCGTCTCGCTCTGAGTGGATGCCGTACAGGGATTGTATTGAGTTTGAGACAACAGAACTGCTCTATACAAAGACACAGATGTTGGCAGGAGACATTAATACTTTTACAGAGCTATGGAGAGCCTCATTTATAAAACATGGCATAGACGACGCTCAAATTCCATTTTCTGACAAGGACAACTTATATCGGACCATTACACCTATTGGTGGTGTACCATGGGATTCATTTCTGCTTAGTTACAATGGAGAAGTACCTCAGGAAAATGTGCTGCCATGGATGTCACAAAGTTTTGATGTCTGGTACCACAGTCCACAAACAATAGTACACAACATACTATCTAATTCTGATTTCAAGGATAATATTGACTATGTACCTTACCGGGAGTTTTGTGCAAATGGAAAACGGAAGTACAAAGACTTCATGTCGGGTAATTGGGCATGGAAAGAGGCCAACATCATCGCAGAAGACCAAAGCACACATGGATCAACATTTGTACCCATCATACTCAGTAGCGACAAAACAACTGTTTCTGTTGCAACAGGACAAAATGAATATTACCCAATATATATCTCTATTGGTAATGTTCACAACAGTGTTCATCGAGCCCATCAAAATGCTCTTGCTCTCTTAGGGTTTCTTTCTATACCAAAAAGTGTGTATTTTGTTTCATATCATTCCTCCATTCAACTAATTGTTACTAAGCCAATAAGAAATATGGGAATGACACAAGGTTTTGCAAGTTTTGACGACAAATGTTCCACACGTCAGTATCAGCTATTCTTCAAGATCTCAAGCCAGCCATGACCACCCTGGAGGTTGTTCGCTGTGCTGACCAGCACTTCTGGCAAGTTGTGTATGGGATTGGCCCATACATAGCAGACTATCCCGAACAAGCCTTACTAGCTTGCATTGTTCAGGGATGGTGTCCTCGCATCAGGAAAAATGGGGGTAGCTATATAGAGCTCTATAGCACTATAAGTACTCATAAAGCTGTTATAGTGGTCAAACCTGTAATAGAACCTCTGCCATCTATAGAGCCTCATATAGCTCTATAAATGCTCTTATAAATGTTGGAAATTGTTGCATGGCTGATAAAAAAAAAATTAATGCAGACAAGATTTGAACTCTCAACCTACTAGTCAGCTTTTGCGTGACTAAGCAGCCTATAGCCACACATCACATTTATCCACTACACCATGAGAGCTTATAAAATGTATTATACAGGTGTTTTATATTGACCTTTTCATGGACTTAGATTATTTTTTTACTCATTGTCACCACTTACTTATATTTGAATAAATCATTATTCTTATTTTATAAATATCAAAGATACAAACTACTATTTCACTAATACAGGCTACATAATTAATTAATACTATATGATTTATTAGCCCTTTTAAGCACCTTTAACTATATTATAACTATGACCTTCACAGCTATAGGAGCTATGTAGGCTGCTATAAGCTATAAGAGCACTTATAGTACCTTGCCTATAATAATATACTTGACTCCGGACACTTTTGGCCTCTTTCTATTATTGAACAAGTTTATTAGATTAATCCAGAGTTTGAGGGAATTATAGATACTTCTCCCCTTGGTTAAAGTTTTGCCTACTACTATGCTATAAGAGCTATGATTGCACTGATAGTACTATAGTCTCTATGAATGCATTTATATATATAGGTGGTGGCTATATAGCGCTATATAGCAAAAGGGTTTCTCCTAATGCGGTACGCGTCTCAACTCTTTAAAAGTAAACTCGGCTGATATTGGTGCATTCTGTGGGATCAGTATGAATTAGTAGCAGATATCACAGTAAGTCTCATGCCGTGGTTAAATTTCAAGGATCTGTACTATTATATCTTTTTCTTAAAAATAGCCTTTTAACAACAACTTTCCCCGAGCCGACATACATGAAACTCTCGCCCCAGATCTCCTTCATCAAGTCATTAAGGGCACATTCAAGGATCACCTTGTATCATGGGTGGAAGAATACTTAGTATCTCATTTTTATATATCAGGCTCTGACAATCTGTTCAGTATCTCTGCTGCACCATCATTTCCAGGCCTCCAACAATTTTCTCAAGGTTGTGGGTTTAAGCAGTGGACTGGAGATGATTCCAAGGCTTTAATGAAGGTTTTTATGTTTTTTTTTACTACTGAACTATAGTATACTGAACTCAGCTCTGATTTCAAGGTCTACCTTCCTGCAATTGAAGGACATGTACCGCCTGACGTAGTCAGAACATTTCGGGCTTTCCTTGAATTTTGCTATCTTGTACGGTGTGATTTACATGATAAAGACACCCTTGCGCTTGTACAAGATGCCCTATCAAGATTCCATCAGTACCGTATTATCTTCCAGACTGTTGGTGTTCGGCCAAATGGCTTTCCTCTCCCCCACCAACATTCTCTGGTACATTATCTCATGCTAATCAGAATGTTTGGCTCTCCAAATGGCCTATGTTCCTCAATCACAGAGTCAAAGCATATCAAAGCAGTCAAGGAGCCATGGCGTCATTCAAGCTGTTTTGAGGTGCTTGGCCAGACGTTACTCGTCAATTAAAAACTCGACAAATTAGCAGCGGCCCAGGTTGATTTCACAGACCGGGGGATGCTTTCTGACCATATTCTCAATTATGCAAACACTATATCAGGTATATAACATAGTCTATTCCAGCTGTCCTTTAACTATTTACTCATCTGTTATCCAGTTGATAATCATGATATGGTGGGGGTGCCAGATGACCACAATCAAGCCGCCAATCATATTTCATCTCAACACAACAATGAAGCAAATCACTTTGATGACGCTGATGAGGAAAGTGGACCTATTTCTAATGTGGGTGTAGTGAGCCATGTAGAACTTGCAAAGTGTCAATGTACATTCCTTTCTGCCTCTTCTTGTCCATTAACTGATGTCTCCTTGAACCAGAGTCTGGCTATCCATGAAGGGTGGAACAGCTTAGTGCTTGGATCAACCAACCCCAACTGCATGAAATGATCCAACAATTTTTATTTGATCAGCTTCACAGGAGTCTGAATGATTCAGAAGGCTCCAATGTTCCCCTTTCTCGCTGCCCTCTTTTCAATTCAAAAATCGCTGTTCACCACTCCGCTGTAGCATTTTTTTATGCACCAAGCAATCCCAGTGGGATTGGTGGGATGTGACGAGAGACAATTCAAGTGTGTCCATCATGGCGGGGTGGTCCTTCTCTCTATGACTGTGTGTTTGTTGAACGTGGACCCCACTGCTCTTGCAATGCGAGGACTTGATGTTGTTCGAGTTCACCTCTTTTTTTCTTTTGTATATATGGGATGTTTTATCCATGCGCACTGATTCAGTGGTTCTCACACATTGCTGATCACCCAGATGAACTGACTGGCTTATGGATGGTTCAACCAGACGTCAATGAAGAAGGCTATCCAGCCGTCAAAATCTTTTCCAATTCCCTTGATACTTTTCTGGGTACCTTAGTAGACCTTGAAGTCGAGCAAGTTTGATCTTAGGTTGACTTTGTCACCTTTATCAGCTTGATCTAGCTTAAAAGTAACATTAAGCTGTCTAATATGACCAAAGTAACTTTGACTTTTACTGATGAAGCCTGGCGCTTTACAATCCACACGTAGCCCTAGTACCTTTGACCAAACTCTGTCAGAAGACCGGCAGCTGAACATTTTGTGCTATCAGGTTGACTTGGTACAACAGCTCACTGCAGTTGGCTGCAAGTTGCTTGACAAACTAACCCCGGACACTGGCATTTATTAGGGCAATCAAGGCAAAAAACATTCCAGGAGAACTTGATGATAAATATCCATACTGGGGAGCCTTGGCAGGTTCTTCAGGCAATGCTATACCGGATGCCATGCTGTTTATCAATGACAATAAGCCACCAGCTCTCACCTTGGAGGCTAAAAGTCACCATATTTTAGATTCATGCGGCATGTTTGAAGCATCCGACACAGCAGCATTTAGTCATCTGGATGTAGCCATCTGGAGAGCATGCAATAAACAGAAACCCTCCATGCCCATATCTATACCTTTCATCTGGCCTTCAGAACAACGGAACTTGTCGTTCCTGACAACAGATGGGAAACTGTTGATACAGGTACATACCATCATTTTTTGTGGGTTTGTGAACCGCCAAGTGGCCGATGTCATGTCAGGTTTGGTCACAAATGATTGCAAAGGGTACACACTTTGCCCTGATATCATCTTTTAAGAGCTTGGTTTGTTTTTATCAAGCCAACAATGGTATACTGTACATGTCTCCTCCTTATTATCCATGGGATAATATCACAATGCATGCGTTCTGCTGGACGGCCCCTGGCATTGGATCCCATTCCCAAAGATGCCTTCAAACTAGGAACACCACAGATACCAGAGGATCAATCCCATCAGTAAAGTGTCAAATTTCTTGACGCACCTTGATCACACTTTGCTGACTTTCAAGACTAATCAAGCATTGTAAGGGATTAAAGTTCTATCAAGTGATACAAAAAGTGAGTCAACTAACCTTCAAGTTCAATTTAGATGAGGCAAGGATATCTGGGTTGGTATAAGCGAAATCCTTCAGACAAGTTGAGCGAAGGGTAGTTCAAGTGTAGTGTAAATACATGAGATATAAAACAAGTCCCACAAGTTACATGTCAAGTTGGCTAAGCCCAAAGGCATGATGATCAATATACTTGTTTATGTAGAATGTAGAGAATCTATCTAGCAAATTAGTAAAATCAATGTCAGATGGAATAAAGCAGTGACCATATTCACTCAACACTGGCATGAGATGCGCACTATGAAATATACAGTCCAGATGAATGATTTCAAGACTGGTTGATCCGTCGTCATTTGTATCAGGCTGGACCTTCCACATCCCAGTGAGTTCATCTGGCTCATCTAAAATATGAGAAAACCACTGTATAAGTGCACAAGGGTAAGTTGTGTTATTATGAGAGAAAGAAAGAAATGCAAAGATTCGAACAATGTCAAGTCCTCTGATTCCTGTGATTAAAGGATCACGCTCAACAAATGCACAGTCATAGCAAGCCGCACATTTTCTCCACAGAGGTGTAGCTCGAATTGTTTCTCGGCGCATACCACCAACCCCATTATTATCACTTGGTGTATAAAAATATGCAATGGCTGAATGTGTTGCGACTACCCTTGAGTTGAATGTGGGGCACTGATGCAGTGGTATATCGAAGGCTGAAGGTGCATCACAATCATTGATGCGTGCTTGGCTGTAGAGAAACCACCAAATCAACTCAACCAGGTGGGGCTGATTGAGCTGCAGACTGAGCTCGTGATATTTGGTTGAGTAATGACGAACTAGTAGAAAAAATATATTAGTACAAGTGTGTATATGGAAGAGACTAAACGTACAACGCCAAACTGACGGCTTGACATGACTGGCTGTTATTGGGCCTGGGACTGGCCTGCTATTGTTGTAGTTGTAGTTGTCATTGTTGTTGTTGTTGTTGTTGTTGGGGTCTTCAATATGATCCAAGCCGCCGATATGTGGCTCTGAGCCTGCATTTGTGTTGACAGCTCTTGTAGCTTCATCGATAGTATTGTTGTGGTAGTTGTTTGCATAGTTGAATATGCTACCTGTCAGCATGCCGCGCATTGTGAAATCTACACGAGAAGCTGCAAGTTTATCGAGTTGCTGGTTGACTAATAACATTTGGCCAAGCACCTCATATCTACTCGAGTGGCGCTGTCGATGATGAGAACTGTTGTTAGAAAACCACACACAAAAACAAACTAACACACAATCCTCCCAGATTCCACGGAACTTGTTTATGGGCTTTGCCTCCTAGAACAGTGGAGTGGTCTGGTTGTTCGTGGGGTGGTACATATAAAGATCCTTCAAAGTAAAACCCAGAGGTGTATGAGTGTGGGTTTTGAGGAGGAGGGATAGTTGAATTTATAGAAAGATAGGGGCTTTGTGGCGAGTATAGACGAGCACTACCTTGCTAATCGTAGCACAAGGTAGGTTTGAGAACGACAATATGACGAGGTTCCCAGTGATAGCAGGCTCCTGACGCACAAACTGTAGTGCTCAGAAGGACTCTAATCGAAAGGGATAACAATGACTTCAAAAGTGGGAAGTGACGATGATAGCAGTTAACAGTGGTAGCAGTGGGAAGTGTTGTGACCACACTGGATCACAAGTAGCAGAGAGTAGTGAACTTGAGATTAGAGAAGAAGTCTGGATTGGAGTTTTTGTTGTTTTTACAAGGTAAAATACAGGGGTTTATATAGTAAAAGAAAAGTAGGCTATGCACAGTATAGCTGTGCAAAAAGAATGAGAAAGAATATGAAGGAAGGAATGTACGCTGACGAATCCTGCGTAGGTAGTACAGGATAAGATTGTCAAAAAAAAGAAAAGAAAGGGATAGAACAATGAATGCTGTGAGTAATGTCACAGGTTTGTATAGCCATAAAGTAAAGTCCAATAGCAAAAAGAGAGCAGGAAAATCATGATGTCATGGGAAGATGCAGTAAAAAAAGGCAAGGCAAATCACTATCAGTATCAACACAGTTCCTTTATTGTCAGTCAGGCATTCTAAAAAATATGTGTCCATAAAAATGATTCAAAAATCAAAAATAATCGCGCTGTAAATGAATGTTCTGCTGAAGAAAAAGAAACTGGAGCCACCGGTCCGCCACCTAGTCCAAATCTGACAGTTCCATGGCCTTACCAATGGACTGGTTGTGTTGGACCACCTGATCAAACGAGGGAGGGAGAGGAGTAGTTCCAATTTGGAACAAGTGAGTCCCAGGCAGCGTGTGATAGGTGTAGCTGTAGCGAAGACGATGGACAAAAGATAAGTGTACCCAAGTGAATGGGACAGCAATAAACATGGGTGACGCAAGGGGATGAACCTTCTCCAGCTCAAAAACTACCCACCCACACTCCAACCAGGCAAGACGAGCGACCGATGTTTTGATAGTATATGATGGTAGATCGACGTCATAAAGATGGACCTGTTGCCCTATTTGAACCGGCCGCCGGGGCTTTGCTGATATCAGCAGTGGCACGTGGTAGTCAACGGATCGGCGACGGAAGCGGATAGGAAGTGGTGACATCAGAAATGGTGGGGGTGCAAATAAGATGAGGAGGAGGAGGGTGGAGGTGACGAAAAGGTGGATTAGAATGGGGATCCAGAAACGACCGTCAGGTGAGAATAAAAAGGAGAGGAAGGGGCCCATGGTGGGGCTAGGCAAAGGAAGGGGAGTAAGGGAAATGACAAAAGCAAGGGCGCAATGCAATGTGTAGCCAGTGGCGACGTGAAAATTTGCCAAAATGCCAAAACGCGGAAAGTACCGAATGGAAAAGCAAAGGTGAGCGTGACTGGATTGCCTAATAGAGGTGATGCTGATCAGCCACAAGTTCGAAAAAGGCAATATTAATTACTATTCCACGTGGCACTGTGCCTGTGTGGCGCAAAGGCGAGTCTTTTTGAATATTCACTTCGTTATTGACACCTGTCCATGCTACCAATCAACTTTGGTGCATGACAGTGCCATGGTTCTTTCACAGCTGTGATGTGTCTTGATTCTGTGATTGAGGAGCAAAGGCCGTTTGGAGAGCCAAACATGCGAATGAGTAGGGGATAGTGCTGGATTGAGTGTTGCTGGGGAAGAGAAAAGCCTGTTGGCCAAACACCCAGTGTCTGAAAGATAACACGGGTCCAGTGAAAATCTTTTACTGTGTCTTGCACTTGCTGAGTGCTGCTGTCGCTGTGAGTATCATGCCGGACCAAGTAGCAGAAATTTAAAAAAGCTCGGGATGTGCATATTATATCCGGTGGGACGTGCCCTTCAATAGCGGGAAGATAGACTTTCATCAAGGCTTTTGAGTCGTCGCCAGTCCACTGCTTGAATCCACGGCCCTGTGGAAATCGTCGAAGTCCAGAAAACAATGGAGCTGCTGCAATCCTAGTGAATTATCTTAGTATATATTACTTTGATATTTTCAATGTAAAAAGAACCTTACTGCCGGTCAATGTCATCTGAGATCTCTTCAGCACGCTTCTTGCCATACATTAGATTGAGATAATTCTCCACCCAAGTCACAAGATGATCCTTAAAGGTACCTTTAATGACTTGGTGAAGAAGGTCGGGAGCCAGGATCTTGTGGATGTCAGCACGAGGAAAATCATGGGTGAATGGCTTATGATAACAGTCAGCATGATTTTTATAAGTGAAAGAAAAAATGATGTACTACAATGTTGCTCACAATACCATATTGATCCTGTAAAACATGCGGATCAAGGAAGTCAGCGAGGACCTCTGTATGATCATGAGAGTGTTGGCCACCTTCACCGTTGAGGTTGTTGGGTAACACAATACAACTAAGCAGGTGAGATTAGTCTGAATATAGTCTGAATAGTGGTATAAAAAATAGATGTACTTACCGAGCACACCATCCTTGAATTATGCATGCAAGAAGAGCTTGCTCTGGATAGTTAGCAATGTATGGCCCAATACCATAAATAACATGCCTTAAGTGCATGTCGGCACAGCGTACAATCTCTGGGACTAACATCCCAGGTTTGAGACCTTGAAGAATATGTGACATTGATGTATGAAATAGCTGTGTCGAAAACCTGCGAAACTTTGGATCGTTTGCATACTTCTTATCAGCTAAATAAATCCTGGATTTAGTATATGCAAGAGAAAAAGTAAAGAATAAATGTAACATACTTTTTGGGATGGCTAGAAATCCCAGCAACGCTACAGCATTCCTATGTGCTCGCCGGACATTGTTATGAACATTCCCCACTGCAATATACAGTGGATAATACTCATTTTGGCCTGTTGCGACAGAAACCGTGGTCTTATCACTGCCTAGAATGACTGGCACAAATGATGAGCTATAAGTTGTTGGATCAGTGGAAATCTTGTCTGCCTGCTTCCAGGCCCATTTGCCTGACATGAAGTCTTTGTATTCTTGTTCTCCCTTGTCATTGAACTTCTGGTAAGGAACAAAATTGGTTTTGCCAGAGAAAACTTGATTTGATAACATGTTTTGTATGATAGTGCGAGGATTTTTAAACCAGACATCAAACTCCTGCCTCATCCACCCAGGAGCATTTTCTTTGGGAATCTCACCATTGTATGACAACAAAAAAGACTCCCATGGCACATCGCCAGCTGAAGTTGAATCAACCATCCAGTATAGATCATCCTTGTTGGCAAATCGGGTATTTTGGTCTACAAGTCCACATTTAATAAACGAAGCCCTCCACAAATCAAGGAGGGCATCAATGTCTCCTGCAGACATTTGTATTTTTTTGTAGAGAACCTCTGCAGTCTCAAACTCTATGCGATCACGGTACGGGGACCAATCATTGGCTGACAGGGCTTCAGGGAGTACAGGCTTTGCTCCTGGGGGCAATAGATTCCCATTTTCATCACAGGGTCGTCCTGTACATAGTCAGAAGGATAAATAGAGACAGAGATTGTAGACATACCATCTAGAAATAGATGGTATTCAATTTCACCTTGTGCTTGGGGCTGATCATCTAATAGCTGATCAGGTTGAATTTCTTGTTCGTCCTTAGGCTGTTCATTGAAGGTTTCTGGCTGATTTTGAACATGTGGTGAATGCATCAGAGGGACTTGGAGTGAATGGCTAGGGCCTGGTGTGCTGATGTCCAAATGACAGGAATGCATGTGTTGTTTCAAACTGGAGACACTATGAAACCAGTGTTTGCACTGAACATTCTCACAGGGTATTGTTCGACTGTTGTGGTGTGGGTGGGTAAGCTGGCGTTGAAGTTTCTGGGGAGGGCATTGTTGTCTAAAACAAAAGAACCAAGTCAGGGAAATGAAAACTGTGTATTGTGTGACAACACTTTAGTTCCAAAGTAATACATGAATTTTCATTTGAACCTTACCTACTGTCCTGAACTCCATTTTTCTTCTGCCACAAAAACCTTGCATCCCTCCAGTTCCTATCTTTCCTCCTCATCAGCCCCTCATGCCTCGCCCAGTAACACGTGCCAAGAATGCCAATCAACATCCTGGAAAGATTTTACTTAATCTGCAACCAAAAAAGCACTCTCGAGCAGAGGTAGTGCAGGAGAGGGAACAGCTTAAACTCACCAAGGAGGAGTTAGTCCAGGCCATGAAGCTTGGTCTTGCTGCTGCAGCAAAGGTCGAAGATAAGAATGTAAGAGAAGAGATGGAAAAGGACATACCTATGCTCCCTCCTTCTCAATGACACTGTGCAAGCAGGAAAACTTGTCCTGAGATAGTTGCTGATACCGAGGAAGTGTTACGATAACACAATTTTCGGACCTTTCCTTCATTTTCATTCTCCGCTTTAACCTTGTACACTTTAGCTTTCACACATGGTGCCACACGGCACTTCCCCTTTTGTTCAAACTCCTCTTTCTTGCGCCGCGTTGCCTTCTTCTTATTTTAGATGCAACTCTCTCACACAGTGGAGCTGGTCATGCGGGCTAGGCCCCATGACATCATCAAGCCACTAAACTTTATCAACTGTATAGTACATAAGTACAAACACTCTGTATTAGTATATATACCCCAATAGATCCAGGAGACTCCTTAGCGAGTCCTCCTGTTGTATACCAACAAACTCTCTGCAGCCTAAGGGGTAACCACTCCCTCTTCATTTTCTTTATAGTGTGGTTCTGTGTGCGCCAGAGTAACTAACTCTTGGTTGTTACAGGAAGAACAAGATGTACCTCCCCCCTCCCAGTGGCACCTGGCACGCTTATCCCGTCGTAAGAGCAGCCTGAAGGCTGTCCCAGATAGCGAGGATGAAAGGAGATCAGTAGGCAGCAAGGGCAGCAAGGCTGGTGATGGTGATAACGAACCTATTGATCTGATGGGCTCTTCTCAACTAGATATTGACTCGATGGAGGCCTCTCAAGCCGTCAATGACATGGGTGGAGTCAATGATGATAGTTTTGAGGAGAGTGATGAAGTGGAACTTGCTGGTAAGAAGACAACAATGGGCAGCATAGGGATTCAAGCTGACTCTTCTCGACAAGATACCAACTTGATGGAGGAGGCCTCTCAAGCTGTCGGTGGCATAAATGGAGTTGATGAGGATGTTTTAGAGTTGAGTGACAAAGAGGAGCTTGTAGCTAAGAAAAAGAAGAAGATGGGCGGCCTGGAGATTTGAGCTGCCATTGGAGCCTTAAGGCAACAGTCAGCTGCAAGCACAACTGCTTCTTCCAACACGCAACTGATGCCGGCTAAGATCCAATATGGTACACGGGGGCCGCGTGGAAGGTTTAACACATTTCCATCATTTGATCTCACAAAATGACTGATGAATTGCTTTGCCTCACGAAAACAACTCTGTTTTTCTATCAACGCCTCCGCATGAATGTATTGGGTGTGTCTTACAGCAAGGCATCGGGCATCAAATTATGGTGCAGCAATATTCAAAAGCTGCACAATGCTACAACAAATGAAGCAAACAAACTCAGCACAACCTCAATCAAGTTGGATGTCTCCTCACTTTTACCCAAAACTATCAGCTCAACTGCCTGCACACCGGTCTCAAAACATACTAAGAAAACCATTTCCTCAAAATTGACTTCAAATGTGGTGGGGACCACTTTGAGTGGGGATACTGGTGTCAGATATAAGGCAGGTGGGTTTGAGGACGAAGTTGAAATAGAAGAGTATGTAGAGGCTATCAAGGGCAAGCATACAATAAGTGCGGTGAGTCAACCTGTTGAGATAGATTTTCAAATCACTGACCTTATTTCTTCAGAACCTGGTTAAAGTTAAGGATGGTATTAACCCTCCCTCGAAGTGTGTCAAAATGGAACATCCAACAAAAATAACCAACTCCGACTTACCAGAGGGTTGTATGGAAGGAGGCCGCTGGCGCAACATCCTTATCACGATGTACGAGAAATAGGTTGGGACCTACAAAAACCCTTGGAGCATTAGTGACATCAAGGCAATCTGGGCTCTACAATCAGCCTGGAATGCTATCTACCCTGACATTCAACATATAATTACCATGCAAGACCCCGTCTATCTTGTGGTAAGTTTTATTTTGTCTTTTGTCTTGCTATTTCTTTCACTAGCTTTTAGGCCTCTCAACGTCTTTTGGAATGGCAAAGTGGTTTCGGTTCTACTGCCATAACCATGGTGGAGCATTTTTTTGAATCTGATCCCGCTTACACAACTTATCACACCTGTCAAGAATTTGCTAGTGAAATTCTCACTGATTTTGCATACCTCTACGAAGAAATAGGGGATGATCCCTCAGTATGTGGTCTCATAATACATCATATTTGGCTCACCTCTTGTTTTTAGGAATTTTGTGGTCTCTTTGGTCACCGTTTGTCCTGCAAACATTTGCGGCCCACCTTGCCACAGTTAACACATCTATTGATGTTGAAATATTGCGAGCTAACAGTGTGCCTAGTAATGCCACAGACACTAAGAAGTATCCACAGGTAGGGGCCCTAGCAATGAGCGCAGCAGCCGTGAGTACAAAACAAGTGTCGTTTCAAGGTCTCTACTAAAGCCTGAATATAGGTTGAACGTGCATTTACTATGTGGGCTGAGAGAAAAGTCAGCTGGGACCTGCCAGTAGTGCAGTCCCAAGTAGGTTCCGTAGCTCGGAAAGTCAAGCCGGTTCGAGAGCTCAACAGGGCTACTGGCAAAACAACCGGTAGCCATGCGGCGTTCTCTGACACGAACTGGGGCGAGGCTACTCGCTATTATGCTACTGACAAATTATGACATTTGTTTATAGTATGAGAAAACATGCATTGGCCAGGGCTTGAACCTGGGACTCCAGCTTTCATGGTCTGGTGCTTTACCAACTAAGCTACCAAGGCGTACTTGGAAAGCATACTGATTGGTTGCATGCCCAGAAGGTCCAGAATCACTGTACACAGGTGCGGATCCCATTGTGTTGTGATAGCTACATCAATCAAAGCACTCAAACAAGAGACGATGGACGATATAGTGGCAAAAGCAAGCACCTAGGTTGTTGGAAAAGGACACTCTAAACAGCCGGCCACAAGTACAAATGGAGGTGCTGACCCTCGAGCCTGTCTAGCTGATGTTTAGGCTGTGTAAGTTTTCCTTGTATGTCTGCCCTCGCAATCCCACTCATTACAGGTTTTTTTTACATTAGGATCACTGAACTATGCATAGATGATCAAATACATTTAGTGTTTGCCCCAGCTATCATGGATTCCTTGTAGACTCTTTCCACATCCCTGCTCAGTTTTTTTTGGTGATAATTGTGTCTTGAATTGCGTTTCGTCTTTTACGACTTGGAGCACTGACTTTTTTGATATTTTTCTTATTCTCATTTAATGCTACTTGTTCTGGTTCTCGAAAATATCTTGCTTTTGTCTTAGGAGTTACTTTTTAATGCCTTGATAAATATTCAAGAGTTGTTCAAGTTTGTTCAAAGTCATACTCAGTGTGAGATTCAAGAAATTGAGTGTCCTTAATCAAACTTTTCTCGCCTTGAAAATCCATGGGTCCCTTGGCACCAAACCAATCTTAATCACTCTCAAAATCGTTTTAAGCTGAGTTAAGGTCTTCAAAGAAAGTTGACATTTTACTGATGCTGAACCGTCAGAATGGGACCAATTTGCGGGAATATCTTTACGGTGGGCCCAATTTCTCGAGCACGGACTGCTATGCTCATATATAGCTATACCAGTCATGGGCCTGGTGGCATCGCAGCGCTCCCGTGAGATAGGATACCTGATATGAGCGATGATGATTCACCTTCCAACAGTGATGATGAGTCCAGAGACCCCACTTATAAACCAACTCGGACCACTCGGAGGAAGTGATTCATTCAAAGGGAATCAAACAACTGTTACGGTGTCTCAATTGTAATATGTCAAGGAATGCCTACCCCTTCACCAATCTTGAACCCAAATAATGTAAACATTGTAGAGATTCACGAGGTGGATCTCAGCGGGAACAGAATCACTATCAATTGGAGAGTTCTATGTGTACATGGAGAAGATGAACATACCTCAGCGGGAACAGAATCGCTGAGGTCCTGACTACGAGTACGGTCTGTATATATATGTTTATGTAGAATACCAACAGAGAATGCTATGTGAGGGGAAGGCCCCCACCTTTCAAGAGGGCGAGAAGACGACCTTCAATGGTCCGCATAGCACGTTCAGCCTTGCCATTTTGCTGATGGGAGTATGCCGCCAAAAGTTGGTGAACTATCCCGCCGTCACGTAGGGCCTGTTGAAAAGCAGACCCAGTGAATTCCCCGCCATTATTGGAGCGCAGGATTTAGATGGAACACCCCGTCTGTTTCTCAACACGGGCACAAAAAGCTGTCCACTCCGAGAGAGTCTCACCCTTGGAACCGAGGAGGTAGAGCCAAAGCCAGTTGCTGTGATCATCAAGAAAGATGAGAAAGTACAGCTTGCCATGTGGAGTGGCAACCGGGAAAGGACCACAAAGATTGGTATGAATGAGGTCGAGGAGGTGGGAAGCGGGGGGTGAAGAGGATGGTGGATGTGGTTGGTGGGGATGCTTGGCTAAGATGCAGGCTTCACAAGAGGAAAGTGGAGAGGAGGAGGAAACAACTGCGCCAGTGGAAAAATGAGGAAGGCGCAAGACGGCCGAACCACCAATGTGACCGAGTTGAGCATGCCATAAATCGTGTGTTTGGACAACGCGCGCAAAAGCAGTAAGGTTGGTGGGGCTGGCAGGGATGACATACATGGAAGAGGGAGGAATGAAATCAAGGTCCATGTAAAAGAGATTGTTGGTCATGGGAATGGAGCCGAGAGTGGAAGAGCGATAGGAAAGGACGCAGCGACTGGGAGAACCCTGAAAGACGCAGGACCAGCCCTTGCTCAATAAACGACCCACGGAGACGAGATTTATGAGAGCGCTGGGGGCATGAATGCAATCACGAAGGCGTAGCCGGTGTCGAGAGCCATTCAAAGTAAGAACTGCCAGGCAGTCACCACGACCAGCGGAGTTGAGGGTCCCCTGATTGGCAGTTTTAATGGAAATGGAGGGGTCGACAGTGTAAAACCAGAAGACCGAGCGATCCATGATAAGAGTGGAGGTGGTGCCGGAGTCGAGAATAGTGGTGAAAGAGCCCAGAGAAGGAAGAGGAGCATCAGTGATGGCACATGACAGGTCTCCAAAGTGCGACGGAAAAGCGGGGGAAGAAGTGACAGCCAATTGAGCAACAATGGGGGGGGGGGGAAACAGCGGGAGAGGATGAAGGATCAGGAAGAGGGGCAACTGGATGTTGATGCCAGGGGGCCTGACCCGCCATGCCACCACCGGTTTGATAACAGTGGGACAGATTGTGACCATTGCGACGAGGATTTGAGGCACAAGCCGGGTTCGAGCAAGGGAGACCCAAGGGATTGTTTTCGTGCACACAGGAAGGGGGAAGATGTGACTTGGAGGACTGGGTGACCCCGGCATGGGCAAATTCTGGCGCAGAACGATGGTACAATCATTCACCTTTGAGGCGGGTGACCTCAACGCTGAAGGTAGTGAGGACCTGATCAAAAGAAGGGTCCATGGCTGGAACAACGAAAGGAGTAGATACTCCCCTGATGTCCACAATGCCATGTGTGACGTGTTGGAGGGAACGAGTGTGATGGGATTTGAAAGTGTCCCACACTGAAACGGCAGGAAGTCCCCCCATGAAATTAAAGATGGCCTCTTTGTCCGATAAAGAATCAGTGGACAAGGCGGAGAAACATTGAGTGATGTCTCGCCACTTGGAAAGAAATCGTTCAGCATCATCAAGATCCTTCATGCGAAGTAAAGACATGCGAGAGTGCAGTTCAAATTGCAATGAGGAGTTGCTGCAACGGAAATGAGTAGCCAAAATATCCCAACAGGTACGGGCAGTGAGGTTGACATTGTCTGGAAGGAGTTTGGAAACTATAGGAGAGACTTTTCGGCATATGAGGGATTTTGCAGTGCAGTCACGCAAGATCCAATTGTCCATAATCTTCGATTCAGAAGCAGAGGGATGAAGAGGATCGGCAGCAACTGGACAATAGCTAGCGAATTCACGAGGTTTGGACGGATCCTGACCAGAGGAAATGAGACGCCAGTAGCCCTCACCCAAAAGGGCGAGGAACATGACGCGCTTCCATCCAAGGTAATTGTCAGACCCAGTGAGGTCAGGAATGTGATCAAACTTGCCCATCTGATAAGATAGCGGAAGCGGGCGAAAAGAGTGATATAGGTCGCGTGGTGAGATCAGTCGTGAACCAGATGGCTCATAACCTGTAGAGATTCACGAGGTGGATCTCAGCGGGAACAGAATCACTATCAATTGGAGAGTTCTATGTGTACATGGAGAAGACGAACATACCTCAGCGGGAACAGAATCGCTGAGGTCCTGACTACGAGTACGGTCTGTATATATATGTTTATGTAGAATACCAACAGAGAATGCCAGAAATGCGGAGTGTGAATAACAAGAGTCTAGGCAGTTGTCGAGTTGTCGTTTGGAACTCAACAAACATATCGTCTATCCTGAAAATGTCTATGGAGAGCAAGGACAGTACAAGAAGTTGGTGAGTGCGGCAATAGTGAGACGTGGAGTGCAAACTTGTTGGGGTCATAAAATGCTTTCTTGTCCAGATGCACAAGTCTGCAGACAATAGGCACAACCATAACATAGAGGGGTCATATACATGATGCTGTGAAAGTGAACATGGAAAGTGACGCACTATAATATGTACTGAATATTTCCCTCCAATCTGAGTCACGAGAGGCTTTCAAGTCAGCACTGCCATTGGTGAAAGTTTGAGGTGTGTCATAAAGCAAGAAGAACTTCAGATTGGTTGGCTTCCGAGCTTGAAATATACTTGGAGAATATGCCAAGAACATGCACTTTATACGAATTTACATGCATATTATACAACCGGGGCCTACAGTCAGAACTGGACAAACATAATGTGCTCAGCGACCTGCCTGGTCATCCGGCAAGCCAGAGTTAACCAGCTCAGTCTCAGTCTCAGATTCCGAGTCCGTCTCATCATCTCCTGGATGATACAGATTGTAGTCAACACCGACAAGTTCGGGTTCCCCAGGCTTCACTGTTTCTGGATAATACTCTTCAATATGTCGATCAATAGCCCGTCTTGCTGATTCCAGGTCATAACAGGGGTCTGTCACCCACTCCGCCAAAAGCTACGGGGTGGCTGCATGCTTAACCGAAACAAACATGCCTTCGAAGCGAATGTGGCCTGACCGTATGTAAAAAATATGAGCTTCAAGTTGTTGTTCGCAGCCACTACCCACGTTGAATTTTGAGTTGAAGAACCTGTTTGCGGCTGAGACTCGAGACAGAGGTCCCCGATAGATCCGATGGGTGTACTAAGGTGAGGACCACAATGTTGGGCGAGCATTGAATTAGAGGACGTGGCTTTCCTCAACGTTACCGAAGATCAGATGTGCTCTATGTATCTCTACAAGTGCTTGGATAAAAGAGTTACTGACGATAAACATCAGGCAGAACATCAACAACTGACATAAAGCTTCACATACCGACATTCGCTCCAGGCCGCCGGCGATTTGCAAGTTGAAGCTCGAGTTGAGTTCGAGCCTGTTTGCAGCTGAGACGCGAGACAGAGATTCCTGACAGACGTGAACGGTGTGCTAAGATGCGGACCACCATATTGCATCAAAATGCATGCTACATCTGATGTCTTCTCTTCTTCGCCACTGCTGAAGTAACCATAGAATCGAGGAACTATGTCGCCCTGCAAGTGTGGCAACTGCTTGCAAAGAAAAAGCCGGCAGACAACGTCCAACGGCGATTCGTCTTGGTGATTGTTAGTGGAAAGTTGACCCCCGATAAACAAGGTATTTTGCGATTGACAACGTCTCGTTGATGGTCAGATGCAGCCGCGAAGAAAGGTACTGTGGGCCCCGCTGAGCTTGTTGAAGGATGAGCGTTTATAAACGTGCTTGAAGTGTTGGCAGTGGCTCGCTTAAAGTCGTTCCGATACTCGGCTTGTTTTTTCGTGTTGATTTGAGGAGGGTTGGCAAACCTGAGGCATACGCATATGACATGTGTCACTGCACATTGTTTTCGCCGTGAAGCTGACTCGGATTCAGGAAATCAAGTTGGGGAGGGAGGAATATGATTCCGGGGTGCAATTGCCTGTAAAGGCAGCCCTTGATTTGGGTTCATTCCTTGCTCGTTTAGTTTGTTGGGCACAGCATGAAGCGAGGGTGGGTAGGATGGATGGGTGGAGAGGGTGTGGGGGCGAGCGTGTCAGTGGTAGGGAGCGAGTGCCTTGCACGCTCGAACATCATGGGCATCGATGAGCTCTGCGGTTTGGGGCTCGCTTCCAAGTGGGACGCTGTCTGATGACCCTTGCGCCCGATAGAGTGCGATGACGTCGTTCTTCTATTAATAGCTAACACGATTTTCAACATTGCGCGTCGTTGAATGAGTCTAAAGCCAGCCAAGACTCGGAGGCGTTGATCCTGTTCCTGGTCATCTTGGCCTGCTGCTCCACCAGACTGTCTCTTCCCATCATCCTCCCTTTTCTCCATCATCCTTCCTTATTTAAATCATCCTCCCTTTTCTCCATCATCCTCCCTTTTCTCCATCATCCTCCCTTTTCTCCATCATCCTCCCTTTTCTCCATCATCCTCCCTTTTCTCCATCTCCCTCCCGCCCACCATGCCTGAATTCTCAAATAATATCATTCGCATATTCAACCACTATGCAAAACGAGCAACGGCAACCGGCGAGGTATGCTTCGTCTCTCTCCCGAATTCATGTCCTCACCTCAGACAGGGTGGCCTCCTCACAGGCACTGATCCCTCTGCATTCACATCCACTGATCCCCTCCGCATGTGGATCATCCAAGTCGGTCCGTGCTCTGCTGCTCACTCTCTCCCTCACTCACCCCTTCCAGGCGTTATCATCATCATGACACAGCTTCTCGGTCTCCTCCTCGCTAAAATGAGACAACCAAAGGTCATCGCAGAGGTTTTGGGCGGTATCCTCCTAGGTCCTTTCCCTTCCTTTCTCCCTCTTCCTACCACTCACCCTTCCACAGGCCCAACCGCATTCGGTCGCATACCCGGTTTCACAATCCACATATTCCCCTCGGAATCCCTCCCCTACCTCTCCCTCGTCGCAAACATCGGTCTCTGCCTCTTCCTCTTCCTCGTCGGCCTCGAAATAGACGCAGCCATCATAAAACGCAATGCCCGTCTCTCCACCATCGTCTCCCTCGCTGGCATGGCTCTCCCCTTTGGCCTCGGCTCAGCCCTCTCCCTCCCCCTCTACCACCACTTCATCGACCCCTCCATCCAATTCACCCACTTCATGCTCTTCACTGGCGTCGCCTACTCCATCACCGCCTTCCCCGTCCTCTGCCGCATCCTCACAGAACTCAAACTCCTCGACACCACCGTCGGCATCATCGTCCTCTCCGCCGGCGTCGGAAACGATGTCGTCGGTTGGACCTTGTTGGCTCTCGCAGTCGCACTCGTCAATGCAGGCTCCGGCTTGACCGCCGTCTGGGTCTTGCTTTGTTGCGTCGCCTGGACCCTCTTTTTGCTGTGGCCCGTCAAGTGGGCCTTGTATTGGATCGCGAGGAAGACCGGCTCCATCGAGAATGGCCCCACCATGTTCTTCATGACAGTCGTCATCATCACCCTCTTCTCTTCTGCCTTTTTTACCGACATCATCGGTGTCAATGCTATCTTTGGTGAGTCGTGCTTTTTTGGTGTGTTGGGATGAGGTCGTAGCAGTGTGTTTGAGAATCATCGTTATTTGCACTTTATTTCTTGGGGCCCGCTCCCAACCACCACTAATCACACTTTCCACAGGCGCATTCTTAGCAGGCATCATCGTCCCCCGCGAAGGCGGCCTCACCATCGCGCTCACTGAAAAACTGGAAGACATGGTGTCGATTATCTTTTTGCCGCTTGTGAGTGTGGTTCCTTGATTTGCGTTGTGGGCGTTCGTGCGGTGTGATGTGCGATGTGCGGTGTGCGGTGTGCGGTGTGCGGTGTGTGCGTGCGGTGCGATGTGGCGCTCTTGCGTCTTTCATGCGATTATGCGGTCAAATCTACGCCTGTTGGGCTGGTTTGGGCCCTTGGCGGTTTGGATTGCCTTGCGTCTTTCATGCGTTGGCCCGCTGAACTCGTTCATGCGTTCATGCGTTTATACTCTGGGTTGTTCATGCGTTCATGCGTTGACGATCTGCGTTTATGCGTTTATACTTATTGGCTTCACCATACATTCATCGTCTATCCTTTCACATCTCGCATTGACTAACCGACCAAAACGCTTGATTTTGATAGTATTTCACGATATCGGGGCTGAACACGAACCTCGGGTTGCTTAATAATGGTGAGACTACCTTCCTTCCTTCACTTACTTACGTACGATCCTGTCATAATCAATACTGTCATCGTCACTCGCCACTTCCCACTTCTCTTTCGTCACTCATTACTCATTGTTCGCCACCTTTCACTCACTCGCTTCGCAGGGATCACCTGGGGGTTCACGATTGCCATCTGCTCGCTTGCGTTTACAGGAAAGTTTGGAGGATGTATGCTTGCAGCGCGATTTTCGGGCTTTAGTTGGAGAGAGGCGAGCGCGGTGGGGGCTTTGATGAGTTGTAAGGGGTGAGTGGGACAGTTTCTCGAGATTCTTCTCATTTTTGCGAGAGCTCTGAAACCTGGTTGCTCATATCGTTCGCATGACATTCTAGACTTGTCGAGCTCATCGTGCTCAACGTCGGTCTCTCAGCTGGTATTTTGTCTCAGGTGAGTAGGAAGGGGAACTAAGGGTGGGATATGCCTTTTTGCTGACGCGACGATTTGTGATGGGTGTAGCGCGTATTCTCGATGTTCGTATTGGAAGCGGTGCTCCTGACGTTCATGACAACCCCCCTCGTCAACACGCTCTACCCGCCCGAACGCCGCACGCGTGTGTCGCCCTTGGGCGGTCCCGCTCAGCCTTCTCTTACTGGCGCAGAGGGCGGCGCGGAAGGTGGAGTTGGAGCTGAGTTAAAACGCGAAGGACGGGGAGAGGAATGGGAGGGAGAAGGTGAGGGGAAAGGCGAGGGGTGGGAAGGGGAAGACGGGCTTGGGAGGTGGAAGACGCGGTTCACGATTGTGTTGGACAAACTGGAGCATATGCCAGGGATGATGGCGTTTACGCAGTTGATCCAGCCTCCTCATCCTTCTTCATCATCGTCCCCGCTGACGCCACGCCACGCACTCCCGCCTTCTCCACCCCCCATCCACATGACGCCCTCCGCCTGCTCGAGCTCCTCGGACCGTACCTCTGCTGTGATGCGTTCCTCCCCCTGCCGACCACTCTTCTCTACACCGATCCCTTGCTTGGCATATTTGGAATGTACGGCGAGCTGAATGGGGTCGGTGTGAGGGGTGGACTCGAATTTGTGGGATGGGAAGGGATGGCTGGGTGTGTTACGGAGTGGGCCGTAGGGAGGGGAAGCGAGATGGTGTGCCTTCCATGGTTGCCGCCCATGTCGTCTTCACCCACAGGTGCGATCACAGCTGGGGAAGACACCCCTGCGTTTACGCCTCGCGCGTCTGTGATGCACAACCCCTTTGAAGCATTCTTTGGAGGAGGAAGGGGAGGGGATAAGAGTGCGAGTGCGATACACTCTCAGTTTGTGAGGGGCGTGTTTGCGCAGGCGAAGACGGATGTGGCTATCTTTGTTGATCCTGGACACTCTACTTCGCATCTTCATCCCACCCCACGTGGACGCGGGCTTGGGGGGATGGAGGGTAAAGGAAGGGGCAAGCAGCACGTCTTCTTTCCCTTCTTTGGAGGCCCTGACGACCGACTCGCCCTCGAGTTTGTCGTTCAGCTATGTGCGAGTGGGAGGATGAGCGCGAGCGTGGTGAGGGTGTGTAAGAGGGTGGCGGTTGGGCATGTGGAAGAGCCGAAGACGGCGTATGGTGGGGAGGAGAGGGAGAAGGTGGATATGGCGACTGTGGCGAGTCATATTAGGGATCATGGCTTGACGGTGACTTCTGTGCGTGTGTTTTCTCTCCTTGTGTGCGAGGGGAATGTGCTGACGACATCATTTCATGTGCTCACTTGATGGGGGCGTTAGACTATCGGGTTCCCTGATACGGTGTATGGCGCTGCGACGACGGCGACGCGGCTGCAGTCTGAGACAGCGGATAACGTGGTGTGGGAGAGGTATGCGGCGAGAGCTGCGAGGGTGGTGGAGGGCGGCGAGGGAGAGGCTGCATCGACGTTGACGGCTGCGCTCTCACGCATGACGTTCTCGGAGCTCTCGACGCCTGCGCCCATTCATGCGATTTTGCACCACGTGTCTGCCCTCCGGTCTGGGACGTCCCTGGCGAATGTGAATGCGGGCTTGAATGCTGGTGCAGGCTCGGGTGCGGGTGCGGGTGCGCAGGGGGCGGGTATACGCCCGGTGGAGAGCGGGACGCGCTTACTCGTCGTTGCTGGGCGCTCGCGACGCATGTCGGTAGAGAGCCACGTGAGCGAGCTCCGAGAAGTAGCGGAAGAGTGTAAACAAGGGTTATGGGGCCACGGTGCTGGCGGCGGGGGCGGAGGAGGAGGAGGAGGAGGAGGAGGAGGAGGGGGAGGGGGAGGGGGAGGGGGAAGCAGTCGAAGCGAAGGGGAGATGGTGAGGAAGACGATTGGGGATGTGGGTGCTGCTGTTGTGTTGGCGGGGGTGGAGATGGCGGGGATGGTGGTGGTGCAGGCTGTTAATGTTGGGTTGGAGTGAGTGAGGGGGGAGGGGATGGGATACCCGATAGCGATAGGGGGGTGATACTGATACCCTGGCTCGAGTCGCTCTGGATCTGCATGGGGTTGAAAAGCATTAGGCATGGAATCGCGAAATATGAAGAGGGTGTGCAAGACTCGCCGAGTCATGATTCGGTTTTGTTCGATATTGTATTCACTTTGCGACGCAGCTCCTTTTTTTCAGTTCGTCGCGCGTATAATCGTTTTTTTTTCCTGCTTTTGTTGTATTCATTTAGAGATACCAGCAGCATGTACATGACTTGTCACGATCTTTTCCATAGCAGCTACTTTCGACTACCTCTCTAGTTTTTCGCATGGCACGAGGCATAACGCATAACGAGGTGTTCATACCAGCAACGATCATCTGTTTTATAGCACTAAATTACTAAATTAAAAGCTAGACGCACCTTGTCGATGCATTTCTTGTGAGTTGGGCACTGTCAATATCTCGCGCATGTTTTGCAGGGCGGGCAGGTAATACATAGTGTATCAATTCGATGTACTCTACACCCAAAGCACATAACATGCAACAAATATAACTTGGAACAGAGGCGAGTCGTGATAGATGAGAGATGATGAGAGGGGGGGGGGGTGTGTGTGCCGAAAAGACGAAAAGACGCGCAAATCATCTCGCTATTCCGTGCTCTTCTTCTTTTCCTTCTCCCTCTTCTCCTTCTTTTCCTTCTTCTTCTTAGGAATCTCCTGTACATTTTAGCGCGTGAGTGAAAAAGTGCGATGACAGGGTAGCTTGGCGTCACAAAAAAGGAGGGGGTGCTTACCTCGCCATCAACAGCCGCCTTCGCCTTCGCCGCCTTCTTCTCTGCCTTCTTCAGCGCCTTCTTCTCCTCTTTTGACAGCTTGGGCTTCTTGGCAGCCTTCTCGCCCTCGCCCTCGCTGTCATCCCCATCGACATCCATAGCGTCGCTCTTCCGCTTCTTCTTCTTCTCCTTCTTGGGACTGGGCTCGAGAAGGGTGAGGATGGGCTCGGCGTCGCCGTCTGCCATCTCTGCGTCCGAGTCGGCGCCTTCGTCGTCGTCGTCATCGAGAGCGAGCTGGTCGAGGACCTTGCGGATGGCGTCTGCATTTTTGGAGGGTGCTGCGCCTGTCTCGAAAAAGGCGAGACGTTCTTCGACTTGGGCGCGTAGGGCTTCGCCGAATTTTGGAGTTGGGTTATCTAGGGGGGGTAGTGGAACGTTGGGATGGGAGTACGAAGACGAGGGGACGAGGGAGCTTTACCTGAATAACAATCTATCCGCGATGCGATGGAGCATTTGTTGGCGAGGAATCGGGAGATGCGGCCCTTGTGCTTGGGTCCTGCGCGGCCAATGAAGGAGGAGTGGTAGAGAAGACCGTACTGTCGAACGCATGAGTGAATCGTCCACCAAATTAACGGGAAAAAAAAAGCACGCTCACCTTGGGCGTATTACCCTTCGTCTTAAGAGCCCTAAACAGCGCCTTCTCCGCACCCAAAATCTGCACCGTACTCGCCGGGTACTTGCTCAGATTCGTCAGACTGCCCGCATGGCTGATCAAGCGCGCCCCGATGCGCTCGCCGAGGAGCGCGGTGAGACTTGGCGCGACGAGGTTCATTTTCTCGCTCAGGTAGGCTATGAGTGATTTGCGGTAGTCGGAGATGGAGACGACGCGGACGGCGAAGGCGGAGATGTTGAGCATGTCGATCTCGGAGAGGGACGAGCCCATCGACCCTCTTGCCGCGTCGAGGATGTTCTGCGCAAGCGTCGTATCGTCTTCCAAAATAACAGCCAGCTCCTCCAGCTTCTCCTCATTCAGCGTATCCTTATCGCCCACAAAATGCGCCACGCGGGTGTACGTGTAGTTATCGGGGACGAGCCTGACGAGCTCTGGGAAATGATATCCATACCACTCGCGTATGCGCATCGAGAACAGGTTGACGTCCTTGTCGAGTTGGTCGAGGAGGGCGATGGCTTGGATGATCATGTTGTCGTACCTGTTCACGTTGAACTTGAGTTTGGCGCGGGAGTAGGAGTGGCCGAGGCCGAGCTGGGCTTTGGTGAGGTCGTTGGATTCGAGGCCTTTGAGGAGCTTGGGCGCGTGAAGGCGGATGCCGCGGATGAGCTCGAGGCCCTGTTCTGAGACTTCGCATTTGATTTTGAGTGTCGCATTTATTGAGTTTGCGAGTGCGGGTTCTGATACGGCGAGCAAGACGGGAGACTTTTTGCTGGATTTTGAGAGGTTGAGTTCGAGCAGAGATTGAAGGTGCTCGTTTAGCAGACCTGAGGTGGAGAAAAATTCGCATTAGGAAGTAATTCAAAAGCCACCGTTGATTTATCGTGCAAACAAGCCATGCGTACCTTCAGAAACGTCGTTTATGTTCTCCAGAGCCTCAGCAGCGCTTTTGAATGGTGAAAAACTGACCAACGAGACCATTTTTGTGAACTTGGAGAGGTCTTTTATCGAATCCTGCACGGCCTTGTGTTGGGCAGCGATGTTCTCGAACAACATCGCCTGGAATATGGCATAGCCAGACGCCGACTCGAACAGCACATGGGTGACCATTGTTGGGAGGAAAAAAAACCGGTCCCGTCGTTGTCGAGGACGATGGCGAGCGACAGGAAAGTGGAGAAATTTTGGGTCGGGAATGTCCGAACAGATAGTGACATACTTGGTAATCAATTCCCACACTGCAGCACCGGGTCTGACTTTTTGGCGTTGCGTCCTCCTTGTACGGATGACTCCTCCTTGATCTGAATCATGACTGGTCTTCATACCGTTCAGTCCTAGGCCCCTATCAATTGCTTACCTATCGGCGGGCATCAGCCTTACCAGGAGAGTGGTCTGTCCGCCAGGAACGGCCGCGCTCCGTACCAGTTGGCACTGGATCTTGTGTACATGTCTTGTTAACGGTTTGGAAGGCCTGAGCCACCACCTTCAAAATCATTTGCACCCCTCATCTACATGTCTCCCTATACAATTGATCTCATGACTTGCTCATCAACCGGCAGGATGACTTGTTGGCTTCTGGTTTTCCGCTGCTTGCTTGTTGCAGAATTCAGCTCGTTCTGGTAATGTTGTCACGACAGACCGGACGGATAGCTTGAAGGGCTATACTTGAGCCTTCGTTCGAACCTTCAGAGAACGTCGAATCATATGCCTCATATGAATCTTAACCCCTTTGAGTCGAGTCCATCTGACCATGTTGCTCCACCACACGCGTTTTTGGATCACATCCCACTTTCCATCAGTGCAGGTGAGCTGGTCGTGTCCACCGTGAGCTGCATTGTTCCAGAAGCATTGATGTTTCAGTCCATCCCCAAAGCACGCCGATCACGTCACATCTGTCAATCTTTATTAGGTCTACATCATATCAATGCTCAGTGTTTATGCTCTAGGTAGCGTTTACATTGTACAGTGTACCTCTATGGATGCGTTACCCACGATCCTAGTTAGGGGTAATCGTAACTGACAAACGCGCATTCACTGCCTTATCAATCAGATATTCTGCGGAATATATGTAGGAAATATCAATTTGGAAGTGCTACGTACACAATGCTGCGACCCTGCGACATAGAAGGCGCTTAGGAGGGTAGAATTAACCGGGCGTCACGACAAGGACAGGACTGAGTCATATAGCCATGCGCTGAACCTGTTACACATTTAGTATCCAGAGCGGTGTAATGGGGTTCGACGTCGAGAAACGTGTTCTTTTTTTTCTTCTGTCGCATGATAAGGCGGTGGAGGGCTGTTCTGGTGGGGTAACTTGCAGGACCCAGGCGAACGCACGGGGGTGATAGTGGAACACTTGCTGTGTTACAGGGAGAAAGGCATCTGGGTGGAGCATGCTTTGTTGTGCCATGCGGTGGAGAGAGAGCTGAGGAGGCATGGCCATATAAACGCCCAAAAAGCTGATTTTGGAGTCACGTGAGGCGGTACGCGCGCTGTGATTGGCCAGTGTTTCTTGGGAGCCTAAATAGATTGCCATAAGAGTTCCAAGCCTCGTGTCAGACTCGAGGAGGGTATTTCTTCCCCCCTCACTCACTCCCTCCTGTCCTGCACGCGTCACCCCCCCACCCATATCAGCGTCCTTAGCTGACTACGCTGGCCCGTGCGGGGCTACGAGGCTTTCACGACACTTCACTCGTCCTTCTTTCTGTCACGACCAGGTAACGTTCGCTCCTGAAATCAATATAAAGCGATCGAACCCTGCTTAACTGTTTCCCTTCCCCTTCTTCTTGATCAGCCCTCTTGATCTTCATTTCTCCTTCTCTCCCCACGTCGCCTTCATTCTTCCCCTCCGCACTGTCAAGAACTTCATTTATCTCTGTCGGACCAATCCACCTCGCCTTCACTTACCGTCATGTTCAAGAAGCTCAAGGGGGGCCGTAGTGGCACGCCAGCCACGCCCCTCATATCGAATAAACCGCTACCAGACGAAGGAGGAGGGGAAGACTGTTGCTCATCATCCTCATCGACCTCGAGCAGACACATGTCAAGACCAAGCACACCGATCAAGCCTGGCACATCATACAACAGGCCTCCGTCAACCATGCCCTCAAGCAACGAGCGCACACTTCGGCCAATTCTAAAATCAAAGCCCGTTCACGTTGCGGGCGATGTCGATAGAGTGTCGCCCACTGCGGCGGCGACGAAGGCCAAAGCCTTTGAGGGCAAGCCCCTTCGGAACGTTATCTCCCGTCAAGGTAAATAGCATATACCCCGTGTGCCACTCATTACGTACCTTATCTGATCATCGGGCCGCTTTCAATTTCTCTAGTGCCCATGAAGCCCCCCGCCGTCGACCTCCACTGGCAGCTACTCCCCTACGACGCCCGGCGGTCAAAGCAGCATATGCACTTCGACATCGCGTTCCCCATCGACCTCATCCGTTTCAACTCCACATACCCTCCTCGCTACCTGAATGCGAAAGACCTCGATAAGCCTGCGGCCGATGTCACGATCACCAAAATGGTGATCCAGTGCCCCTTTAAAACTGACTGGGAGGTGTATGTCAGCCGGACAGACGGCATCCGCTGCCGTGATGTGTTCGATGCCATATACGCATCGTTCAATACGGTGCTGACGCCCTTGGAGCGGCAGTCGATTCCTCTAAAGGACAGGAAGAGCTATGAAGAGGCTTGCAAGCTGCGATGTAAGGCGACCCATGGCCTCACCGCGGTCGAAGAGGCGCAAGGCCTCAAGCGCGTAGATGTGCTCTTGCACAATACTGTCTTCCAGGGCTTGACACAGCCGAAGTCAGGGGGAGATTGGGTACTCAATTTAGGCAGGTCCGCTTAGGGTTCCATTCGATTTACGATTAATTCACGACCTTGTATACATTACTGTACACCTCGGTGAGTCGTCATGATATTTCGGTAAAAGTCCCCACTTAATCGAACCGTACTCACCGATATGATCTTCATCAGGACTGTGTCCTTTCATTCTTACATGTTTACCACCACACTCATTCAGCCTGCTCTGCAATTTTAGCTCTGTCCGTCATCACAAACACTCCTCCGCAGCTTTCTTTTTGCTTTTTTTTCCGGTATCTTGATACCCCCTTTATGATATATTTTACTTCTTTGGAACTCATCGGGCAACCCTACAACTTGGTGTCTCGCATCTCGCATCTCGAGTAGTTGACGAGTAATGCTGTCCACCATGGTATAGTGCTGCCGATGAGGTATCATCCAAGCGTCTCTCATATCCAGGTTACGATTGCAGCCCTTCTTTTTTTTCTAACCACATACGGGTAAAGCTAGGACTGGCAGGCTTAAGGAAACCTATTGGAAATTGTACGTCCATGTCGTCTGAACACTGGTCCCCGCGGGGTCACGGGTGACAGTTGTTTAGGTCCGAAACTCCGTAGTAAGTTGTGCAATTACACCCGAAGATTGAAAAAAGTGACATGGAACGCCAAAAAGAATGACGGAGAACACTACGGAAAGTGTGTAAGACGCGATATGGCTTTGATGATTGTGGGAGAGGGAGTGCGAGAAAGAAGACCCGCAAGACAAGATTCCTTTCGATTTGTTCGAGGTTACTGTGACAGATCCAGAGGAAGGTAATCCGATCGTTTTGTATATCAAGATACCCCCAAAAACGCGGCGTTCAATAACGAAAAAGGAAGGCCCACGTTCAATTATAGATATAGCTGGCTGCTAGTTCTGATGTGAGCGGTAGGGCAGAACACGTTACAGCGTTACATGGGACTTTTAGGCCTCGTGCAGGCAGAATGAGGATAGAGTGTTGGGACTAGAAGCCTCCGTGCTGGCATTGAGGCATTGTTCGAGCTCCATGGAAGATGACATGTCGCACCGCACAGCGACGGTGATAGTTTGGAAGCCTTGCGGTTCATGATCTGGGTCTGGACTTTGAAGGGATGAAAACTATGGGTACCCACAGGATGGATGCGGACATGGACGATCCTGCTCGTTTAGACATTTCCTAGAACTGTGAATTTTGACCGTAATCTTGCATGATCTTCGTGTATTACTTGAGATCCAAGTCAATATGGCGTGCTTGGCTAGAATCACCAAAGAGGACCAGAGATCTAGTGGAGACATACATTTGTCGAACGTGCCAGCGTGGGATCTGAACAGTTCCGGGACCAGAAAAATGGCGTCTATCAACTTGGTAGTCGTATTGGTCCGAAGCTATGGCGAGCCGCGAGCGGTGATGCATTCATTTGCATCTAGTAGAGGACGAGATTAATGCGACAATCAGAAAATCTCTTCTAGCCAGAGGAAATATGGACGCACAGCGAAGATGGTTCTGTGGTGATAAAATACGTGAGATATTGTTGTACTGGCCCCATGATCATTCTCACCTATCTGACGCGTTGAAGTAAACGATTGTTTCACGTGATTGCAGTAGCGCAGTCATCAACAAAATGAACTCAGCTTGCTACCACGTTGCTTTGGTGGCTACGATCATATTTGTTCTTGCTTGAACCTGTATACACACTGTTACAATTTGTAATGCCAGGCAATGTTACTTTACTGCCTATTCCCATTATTTATGCCACATTTGTGATTTGTTACATACAATTCTACGGGTTTACAACGAGTGGCAATTATTTCTCATCGCCCGCATCTCGCACCCGTCAAGCATATAATTTATGATCAATGACAATTGAAATGTATCACATAGGCCAGCAACCACAAAACATAAGCAATAGCATTGTTCAAAGTAAACACTGAAATATTTTCAGGAGCCTGAAAACAAGAAAAGAAAAGTGGAGATTTACCAGAAAGGGTCGGGTATAGAAGAATTCTTGATCAGATCCACAAAGTCAGACTACAAAGGTTGTATATATAAGAATTGAATTCAGATCAGATTGAGCCTCCCCACCCACAAATCCATCATAACTATGAGCCAATGCTATCCTACAATCCGTGATAAGCATCTTGATGCTCTCGACAGTTTATCTGTCAACTCACAAATGACGCTACTTAATAACTTGCTAGCCTCCCTGAAAAAACCAGCCCAGTTGTCTATTGGCCTTTCAATGTCATCATCAAGTGGTTTTGACTCCAGCAACTTGGTTAGCTCCAATGTGGGATCAGAGTTGGGGTTGGGGCTCAATTTGGATAGCTTATCACTTAGCGGCGGGTCTGACGGCATAGGCAAGTTGGATTGAGGGTCGGAGGGTGGTAAGGACAACAATGCCGGGGATATGGGGTATCAATCACATCCGATCACTCAGCTCACACTTATGCAGTTCACATCTGTAGTATACATGATGCTACACAAAATGATGGAAGAGACCAGTGTAAGGACCATTTATTATTTTCTCCATGTCTTGGTTTTTGAACACTTTCCCTGTTACACCTCTGGCTCTAGGGCTAGAGGTATTATTTGCTATTCTACTTCTCAAAGCCCTCACAGGCTTTCTCAATCATCGCTACCACTTTATATCGCAGATCAGAGACTGGGTATCACTCCCAGCCAGCCAGCACGATGGGTAGGGGCTGGTAGTAGGCATCTCGCCAACCAGCTCCAAGCCCCATCAAGGCCTGGATATACTAATAAACACTTTAGTCAGGATCGTACCTCATCATGAGGATACGGTTCCTGAACACGCGTGACAAACACCTATTATTAGTACAATTCTCTCACTCGCTGATTAATCATTCAAAGTCGTACAATAGTTGTCTCTTTTTCTCATTGGATGATTTATTCCTCAGACCACTTTTCGTTTATTCCCCTTTTGGTCTCAGGAACGGATAATTAGCTATATAAACCCTACACATCTCATGTATAGCTTTTTAGTTTTCTATTACTTGAATTATCCACCTTACCTCTTATCAGAAACCTTTGAGTCTCCTCTCATATTCTCTACTTGCTATATTCACTAGCATCTGTCGATCTCAAGACTCATTGAACCTCTTACTCCCTGCAAGTGCAGAAGGAGAGAGGTTTTGTTTTTGTTATAGTTTGTCGTTGCCTCACAACCAGGGTTTTTTTCCCAAAGCACCTGCATTTTGGCAGCCTCAACTTGGCTTGCTTGAGTGGGCTTGCCATAATGACACCCTTTTGATGTGATCATGACCCTGATTGAGAACCACCCAATCTTTCATAATGAGTCCAACAACCCCCAGTTCGCTATTTCCCTCCAGCTCGCCAATTTTCTTGTTTGGGCCGGACATTACGTGAATGCTGCATCATGCAATGATGTAGCCAAATGGGCTGGAGTATGGGCTGGCACTGTAGTGCTATTGACTAAGCGGGCGGTTGTCACGCTCATTTCCCTGCATGACATGGTTATGTGCAAACCAACAAATGAGGAAAAAATAAAATCTAAAGCTTATGCAGGGTTAAAGGTCTGCCCATCGTGGCAAAACAGCTGGTTTTCAGTGGATGGGACAATATTCCCGCTGTTCCAAAAGCCAAACCATTTTGGCGATGTCATACACCAAAGTTGATTGGTAGCATGGACAGGTGTCAATAATGAAGCAAATATTCAAAAAAACTCGCCTTTGCGCCACACAGGCACAGTGCCACGTGGAATAGTAATTAATATTGCCTTTTTTGAACTTGTGGCTGATCAGCACCACCTCTATTAGGCAATACAGTCGCGCTCACCTTTGCTTTTCTATTCGGTACTTTCCATGTTTCGGCATTTTGGCAAATTTTTGTGTTGCCACTGGCTACACATTGCATTGCGCCCTCACTTTTGTTGTTTCCTTCACTTCCCTATTTTAGTTCACCTCCTCATCACCTCCACCCTCCTCCTCCTCATCTTCTTTGCTCCCCCATCATATCTGATGTCACCACTTTCTATCCGCTTCCGTCGCCAATCCATCAACCACCATGTGCCACTGCTGATATTAGCAAAGCCCTGGCGGCCGGTCCAAGTTGGGCAACAGGTCCATCTTCATGACGTTGATCTTCCATTGTATTCCATCAAAACATTGGTCACTCGTCTTGCCTGGTTGGAGTGTGGGTGGGTAGTTTTTGAGCTGGAACAGGTTCATCCCCTTGCGTTGCCCATGTACACTGCTGTCCCATTCACTTGGGTACACTTATCTTTCGTCCATTGTCTTCACTACAGCTACACCTACCACACACTGCCTGGGACTCACTTGTTCCAAATTGGGACTACTCCTCTCCCTCCCTTGTTTGACCAGGTGGTCCAACACAACCAGTCTATTGGTAAGGCCATGGAACTGTCAGATTTGGACTAGGTGGTGGACTGGTGGCTCCAGTTTCTTTTTTTCAGCAGAACATTCATTTACAGTGCAATTATTTTTGATTTTTGAATCATTTTTATGGACACATATTTTTTTAGAATGCCTGACTGACAATAAAGGAACTGTGTTGATACTGACATTTTTTTGCCTTGCCCTTTTTTTACTGCATCTTCCCATGACATCATGATTTTCTTGCTCTCTTTCTGCTATTGGACTTTACTTTATGGCTGTACAAACCTGTGACATTACTCACAGCATTTATTGTTCTATCCCTTTCTTTTCCTTTTTTGACAATCTTATTCTGTACTACCTACACAGGATTTGTCAGCATACATTCCTTCCTTCATGTTCTTTCTCATTCTGTTTGCACAGCTATACTGTGCATAGCCTACTTTTCTTTTACTATATAAACCCCTGTATTTTACCTTGTAAAATAACAACAAGAACTCGATTCCAGACTTCTTCTCTAATCTCAAGTTCACTACTTACTACTACTTGTGATCCAGTGTGGTCACAACACTTCCCACTGCTACCACTGTTAACTGCTGTCATCGTCACTCGTCACTTTTTGAAAGTGATTATCATCCCTTTCAATTAGAGTCCTTCTGAGCACTACAGTTTGTGCGTCAGGAGCCTGCTATCACTGGGAACCTCGTCACCTTGTCATCTTGTCATTCTCAAACCTACCTTGTGCTACGATTAGCAAGGTAGTGCTCATCTATACTCGCCACAAAGCCCCTATCTTTCTATATTCCAACTATCCCTCCTCCTCAAAACCCACACCCATACATCCCTGGGTTTTACTTTGAAGGCTCGTCATACATACCACCCCACGAACAACCAGAGCACCCACTGTTCTAGGAGGCAAAGCCCATAAACAAGTTCCGTGGAATCTGGGAGGATTGTGTGTTAGTTTGTTTTGTGTGTGGTTTTTCTAACAACAGTTCTCATCATCAACACCGGTTGTTGTTGAGATACCATGGGCCTTTTTTTTACTCGCTATTTCCTCTGTATTCACTCTTCCTTTTGCTGGAATGTTGAATGTGCCTGCAGGGGAGGTGATGACCCATCCCCTGTCCACTGAAAAGCATTGGTAACCCTTACTTTAACAAGTGATTTTGCTAGCGTTAATGTATCAGTGATAATGAAATAATGTATCTTCAATAATGCACTGTAGAACGCGAGATGTCAGGTCCAGGTCTGCCCCGGAGGGCCATGATATGAACATGATATAACCTGCAAAATGATGCTACCGAACATGACCTTAGCCTCTGTGCGATCTAATTTTTTTTTGGCCAACCTCTGTTCCCAAAAGGGATGTTTTATTCTTTCCCTCCAATCCAAGGCTTTTCCTGCGTAGCTGCGACTCCTGGTCACATAAAGTAGACTACACAGAGTCGAGGAATCCGGTAGACGTAGCGGGTATAATGGTATAATGGTAAAGAGTGTAAGGATTTCAAGGCGTTGGTATCGCCGGCAATCTCCTGATGATATAACCGATGCGACGGGTCCAATGAGTGACACCACGATAAAGGCCTGTGATATTTCCATCCTCCTTGTCAACAACGCGTGACCGTAGTTTCCAGCTACTGAGCTGCTTGAGAATCTGGTCAAAACGTGCAACGACTTCATCCATAGTAGGCCGCTTTGCTGGGTCAGTCTGTACCATGTCTTTCACCAGAGGTTCCATGAAGTCGAAGCCATCCTGTGTCTGGACATGCACAAAACCATCCGAGATTAACACTTGAGTTGATGATGCGGATATAACTCACCAACAAGAATTCATTCCTGACTATATTGCCCAGATAGTACACGTCCGTCGGGAATGGGTTACGAGGCTTGTTCGACTTTTGAAACTCGGGCACGCTTCTATCGCCACCCCATATTGGGGCTTCCAACGGCGCAACGTTGTTAGCATCGTAGCGGCGAGATATGCCGAAGTCGATGAAGAAATATTTTGGAGGGCACTGAGTACGAGTGAGGCACCTCGCTTCTCCTTTGTAGTCTCGTCTCATGAGAAGGTTTTGAGGATGATAAGGATCGATGAAAAGATGCGTAGCATCCATCATAATATTCAGATCCATACAGTCACTAAAATAATCTTCTATCAAGGAACGTTATGATGTCTCATCAATAAATATACATACCGGTGAGCAACATGTTGCTTGTGAATGAATTGTAGGCCCTGGCGTACCCATGAAGCTTATTAGAGATATATGTATATATTTGAGAGGTGCAGGTGATTTACCACAAACAGCTGGTGCAAACACTCGACTACTTCGCCATAAGTATCGAAGCGAGGTTTCGTGAACGGCCGTAATAAAGGCATCACAATAATGGCTTGGTCCTGATCCTCTGGTACTTGGAGCACATCATAAATTGGCACACAATGATTTGCAGGGTCAGAGGCGAGCGGTTCTGCTGAAAACAGTTGCCCTATTTCAATCTCATACGGATGTCGGGACTTGTTCATTAACTTCAGAGTCACGAATACTCCATCAAATGTGCGAGTTGCATCCAGTATATGTTGTACCTGAGAATAGTCGTGTTGGAAAAACACAGAGAATATGTATCACAGCGTACCCTCGGACCTCGACTATCTTCACACTCCATCCAAACCTTTTTAGTACCTTGCCATGAAGGGACCCATTCTGGAGAGTATCGAGGGCGAAGCAGATATCCAGCATCTTTCAACCATTGGTAGTGTTTGCACCACCATAATTCACCTGGTCTGATGGTACCGGGCATACTCGATATAGGTTCGCCGAACGTTTTTAGCGCACGTTCATCGATGCTCGCCTCATACTGGATTCTTTTCGTATACTCTTCAGCTTGACGCTTGCGACGAGACAGCATTAATGAGTACTTGCCAGCAGCGAAGCCACTAGTAATGAAGACTGGCAAAGTGAAGTTTGACCGAAAACACATCTACATATGGACCTCCGAATAACCACCACGCCACAAAACCAAGGACCGCGGTGTGCTCTAAACACAGCGGCAGACCTTCCAGACGTTCGAATTGAATACTTCCCCAGTGCGCTGTTTCCCTTTCTATGGCATCCGTCGGATTGTACATTCGATCACTTGGATCTATATTTTGAATATATTTCACTAACTTTCTGTGGCTCTTCTATGGAAGGTATCGGTGACGAGTCCTCAGGCAGGCCTCAGGCTCTAAGGTAATCAATCATACACAACTGAGATATTTCTCTTTCCACTATAGCTATAGGCTCCCAGCAGATCGACTGGGCCCTGAAGACCATTGAAGAAGTACCATGGCGGCGGGCCGTCAATAACCAGTATTCGTACATTCGGCCTCTGAATCCATGCCAGTCACGGTGTTTATATCTCTTTATACCTCAATGAGCCATTAACCTGTCAGTGATGGTGATTTCTCAGCGCGGCCCGACTTGAAACCCACAGACCCACCCTTTCCAAGCTCGAAAATCCACCTATTTTCCATGCTGCCTCCTTATCGACTTCAAATCTATGGAGAGTGTTAGGATTGCCCCAGACATTCTATCATCCATTAGCTCGGATGTTTTCATCCGCCGTTCTTTTATCTGATTGTTTTCTCATTTAGCCTGCTTCTCACCAGACGCGGGTATGAGCAAGCAAGGAAGTCACGGAATCTTTACAAATCCTGGAAAATGCATCGTCGCCATCTCCAACTGGCATCCGAAAGCCTTGACCTGTTACAAATGGCTAAGGTGAGTAAGCTGCAGATTTTCTGAGATCATTGCTCAAGGTGAAGTAGCGAACTTCAGATAGCATTGCAAGAATGTCACTTACCGCAGAAGGTGAGCACCAGAAATAAAACTCTTTCAAGATAGACATGTTCCGTTCAAATTGACCAATGTCAATTTCTGTTTGCTAGAGCAAGCATCATTAATCAGTACCACGGCAAGTTTTCTTACTGCGGTTGAAATTGTGACACAGGGTGGTGAGCGATCAAATTCTCCGATCCCCTAATGAGAAGGACTGATTCATCATGTTATGCCTGCATCCGTAAGAGGTAACTGATGATAATGACAACGATAACGACGAGACTACTCTGGAATTTTTCCGGTGAACGAGAGCAAAACGAGGAACAAGTCACAGCCCAAGTACAAGGTTTTACTCGGGCTATTCAAGAGATGCCAATCTCGCAAGCAACGAACTTTACAATGAACCAGTATATTTTCTCCCAAAGTGTTGTGCATCAAGGTTACGGGTCTAGTACAAATTCTTCAGTCATTGTGGGTGGGTCAAACAATAGAGGGGGAGATGCGTTATTTCTTTGTAGCTTGACCGAAAAGCAGACAAACAGCATTGGATTATAGGCAGTCAACTTACGGCCTCCTCTTCTCAACAGCCTACTGTTAGGATATGACAACCATAGATAGAACTTCACCGGATTTCCTATTCCATGATTACAAATTTGCACAGCCACTCATACAGAAACATGTTTAACTGCCTTAGCTTTAGCAAGCCAGTTAAACTGCGAGTAACAATTATACAAACATTATAGAGACACCTCATTAATAGCTTTCCAGTATATCACTCTATCTAGGTATATAATACCAATATATCAGCTTTAGCAAGCCAGTCAAACTTATATCACTCTGTTATGATAACACAATTTTCGGACCTTTCCTTTCATTTTTCATCTCCACCTTAACCTTGTACTTTAGCTTTCACACAGGGTGCCACGCGGCACTTCCCCTTTTGTTCAAACTCCTCTTTGTTGCGCCACATTGCCTTTCTTCTTATTTTTAGATACAACTTTCTCATGTAGTGGAGCTGGTCATGCGGTCTAGGCCCCATGACATCATCAGCCACTGTCTTTATCAACTGTACAGTACATAAGTACAAACACTCTGTATTAGTATATATACCCCAATAGATCCAGGAGACTCCTCAGCGAGTCCTCCTGTTGTTAACCAACAAACTCTTTGCAGCCTAAGGGGTAAACACTCCCTAATCACTACCTTTATAGTGTGTTCCTGTGTGTGCCAGAGTAACTAACTTTTGGTTGTTACACACTCTATCTAGCTTTGACAGCTAACACCTACATGAAACACAAATCTAGAGCAGTGATTGTGGTAGCCATCAGTGTAGAGAGTTCATGAAATGATCTCAGTGGAAACAGAATCACTATCAATTGAGGAGTCAACAAATAATAAATCTAAGTGAAACTACAATAGATGTTAGTTTAGGGTAATCTCTAATAAATGTAATGTAACATACCTCAGCCACTGCACAAGAGGCTATAGAAACGATTGAGGTATTCCTATACTAAACCCCCTACTACTTATAGTTGGAGGTGCTACTCGCCAAGGTATAAAGACTCCTAGGAGAACAATAGTGACTCCATGGAGTGGTGGCTATGCTCCATGGAGAACAATGGCCGCTTTAGCAGAGACCGGGTTTATCCAGTTTTGTCACTCCCACTCAAGTGCAACCATAGTCCCATAGCTTTAGAGAATTTCCAGTGCTTGTTGTGAGTGAGGGGTTCAATAAGAATGTCAGCAACCATATTTCCTGTAGGAACATATCTGATTACTGCCTCTCCCTTTGATACTAAGTCATCTTGGATGGAATGATATTTCCGTTAAATATGCTTTGTGCGAGCACAGAACTGCATATCTTGTGTAAGAATAATAGCTGCTTGATCATCATAGTGCAATGTTGTAGGTCCATTTTGAGCATGTCCAATTTCTTCAAAAAAATGTCCAAAGCCATGCAAGGTGTTGTCCAGCATTGCTCAATCCAATGTATCCTGACTCCGTGGAGGATAAAGCTACCATGCTTTGCCTTGTCCAGGGGATTGCTCCTCAAAAGGTGATAAAAACAAACCCTGATGTTGATTGAGATGTGTCTGGGTCTCCAGACCAATCTGCATCCAAATATCCATAGAAATCCATGTCTATGAAGACATCTGTGCCATCATAACATAGTTCCATGTCCCTGGTTGCTTTAAAATATTGGAGGACATGTTTGGCAGCTCCCCAGTGATGGCTCCTTGGAGCTGAGCTGTGTCTGCTTAGTATTACAACAACGTCTGGGCAGGTTCCAAGCATGGCATACATGAGGGAGCCTATAATTGAGAGGTATGACACTTGATGTCCTTCAACATGCATCTCATGTTGCACAATATCTTCCCCTGGAGCATTTCTGAGGAGTTTTGATCTATGGGCCATTGGTGTCCATACTGGTTTGCAGTTCTTCATTCTGGTATGCTCCAGGACTATGTCAATGTATTAGCATTGCAATAGAGAGATTGTTTTGTTTGAACAATTATGCTGGATTTGTATTCTGAGGATATATTTTGCTTCTCCAAGATCCTGCATTTTGAATATGGATTCAAGTTTGGCTTTTGTGATATCCATGAATTTTTGGGATGAAGCTCCTAGGAGGAGGTCATCTATATAGACAACAACAAAGCGTATTTATTTGTTGCCCCGGAATACATAGAGACATATTTCTGCATTTAGTATTGTGAAACTGAGCTCCTGGAGCTTGCGAGCAAAAGTGTTGTCCCATGTACAACCAGTTTGTTTTAATCCATAGATGGATCTCTTCAACCTCCACCAGTATCCAGATTGGATAGGAACACCCCCTGGAGGAAGCATGTACAGTTCTTCCCCAAGCTCTCTATTGAGATAAGCTGTGGATACATCCATTTGATCAAGTTCTAGGTCGTACTTTGCTGCCAGGGCTAGAATAATTCAGATTGATTCTAAGTTTGCAACTGGAGCAACTGGAGCAAAAACCTCCTGGTAATCAATCCCCTCCCTTTGAGTAAAACCTTGTGCAACAATCTGGAGTTTGTATCTCGCAATGTTTCCATTTTGATCAAACTTGATCTGGAACACAGGTTTTGGTGTGATAGGTTTCACTCCATTCAGAAGTGAGACAGTGTCATATACTGCATTAGTATTGAAACTTAGGAGTTCCTCCTTCAAGACATACTTCCATAATTCTCTATCTGGATGTGATAAGGCTTCCTATTGTAACGACCAAGAGTTAGTTACTCTAGCGCACACAGAACACACTATAAGGAAGATGATGAGGGAGTGGTTACCCCTTGAGCTGCAGAGAGTTTGTTGGTATACAACAGGAGGACTCGCTGAGGAGTCTCCTGGATCTATTGGGGTATATATACTACTACAGGTTTGGTTGTACATGTGTATTATACAATTGATAGAGACAGTGGCTGATGATGTCATGGGGCCTAGCCCGCATGGCCAGCTCCACTGCGTGAGAGAGTTGTGTCTAAAATAAGAAGAAAGGCAATGCGGCGCGAAAAAGAGGAGTTTGGACAAAAGGGGAAGTGCCGCGTGGCATCATGTGTGAAAGCTTAAAGTACAAGGTTAAAGCGGAGAATGAAAAATAAAGGAAAGGTCCGAAAATTGTGTTATCGTAACAGTTGCTAATGTAGCCAATGTCTGATTCATGTATTCTGCAATGCTATTTTGTTCTGGAGTATCTGCGGCTGTGGTTCCTTGGGGGACACTATCTTCTGGGGGTTGATTTTTGAATGTGTTGCCAGTATATTCTCCTCCCCCATCGCTCTGGAGGAATTCTGTGTACAGTGGAGTGAAGTTCTCTTCTCCCAAATGAGTTTGGAAAGAATATTTGGACATCTTCTTTCCATTGCTTGTA